GGATCCTTTCACGATAAAATATTCACAACAAATGCTTTAAACCCAAAATCGGGTTTGTTTGTGAAGTTGTCATTGTGCTGCGTTTTTTTTTTTTTTTTTTGGCGTCTGTATAAAAAGGTGTCAAACTTGTTTTCTCCGCTGTAAGAATTGAAATATAAGAAAGTAAGACACAGAGAGAGAGAGAGAGAGAGTGGCTGCTGTGACCTCCCTTTGCCAAAATGTCTGCGCCTGCATATTACTGTATCTCCCCCCAACATGCTCTCTCATTTACAAAAGAAACGCTTGGCTGGCTGCCTATAAGTCAGTTTATCCGCGTGAGATGACCAACGTCCCTCTTTTTCCTTTCCCTTTTTTTCCCTTCTCACTATCTCATACAGTGTGTGTGTGAGTGTGTATGATCTATAGCTCCCTGCCTCCCCTCTTCCCTCCCTCCCTCCTTCCTCCCTCCCTCCCTCACCCTAACCCTTCTTAATATGATGTAAAAAGCTAATCGCATGCAAATGTCTGTTGTCCCGGTAACCGGGCCTGAAAAATCCCTTTGATGTTTCCCCCGACTCATTCTCTTCACGTTCTCTTTGTTCGCCACAGTCTCGCTGCTTTGTCAACATCCCCCCTTTTTACCCCGCTCGCTCTCTCTCCTTCATCCTTTCTGCAGCTCTCTCGGCCCTCTCTTAGCTCTCTCCATTCGGAAAGAAAAAAAAAAAAAAGTTCTAACTCTACTTTGTGTCTCCCTCTTTCTATAAGCCCCCCTTTTCTATTCTTCCTCTCCTTTTTTCCCTCTCCCCCCTTGACTGTGCCTCTCTGTCTGTCTGCCCCTTCGCCCTCGCTCATTTCCCATCATTCCCACCTACTGTCTCCTGTCCTTCTCCTCTGTCGCTCCCTTTCTCCCTCTCCCCTCAGTTCTGCCCCTTCCTGTCCTCCCTCCTCCTCCCTCCTCCTCCTCCTCTCTGCCCGGCCTTTATCTCTCATTCGGCTCTCTCTCCATGTCCCTCACATGCACAGATGGACACACACACTCTCAAACTGCCCTCCCCTGCTTTAGAGAATTTGATCCCTGGAACTATTTGATATGGCGCTGCACTGTAGTTATCTAATCACTCTGCTTTTTGTGAGGCCTGGTGGAAGCAGAAGCACAGCTGGCCCTCAGAGGAGAGACCCCGCTCATTACAGCCGGTTCGAGGTTGAGAGGTTAGAGGTTTCGACACGAAACTTCTAACCCCTCAGAGCGTAGAAATCAACACAAGCGAGATCCGCCACTTGCATCCAGTTTAATTCAACACGGAGAAGTATAAAACAGTTTAAAAATAGAACAATATCAAGTCAGCTTAACATGCGTTTCCAACATTCCTTCAGAAAAATGTAAACATCGGGCAGATGTGTCATGGCGAAACGAAAAGGGAAGTTTCCTCGTCGTGGCGCACACACACACACAAAAAAAGTGAGGATTTCTTCATGTGACAGTCTATACTGCGGTAAGAATGAAAGATGGTGTTCATTACATTGCTTCCAATATAACGCAATGTACCAAACAGCTAAAGGCTATGAAGTGTACGAGGCTTCTCCGAGCCAACAAATTACATATTGATTCAAAGACGGCTCAATAGCCATTTGCAATTTTTGGAATTTGAATGCAGATATGAAACGTGCTAAATCTGATAACGGCGACAAAGTGCTGCTGCTGCTGTCTGCAGACGCGAGCTTAACCTCCCGCCGCCGCTGCCGCCGCCACTGCCGCTTCTAACTCTCGCTACCTGATGGTTTCATTTTGTACCTAAAGTGTGATGTTGTTTGATAGGGATACACACGCCATACAATCAGACCTGGTGAGTGGGTGATTACAGGCCTTACTGACTGCATGGTCATAAAACAGGAACTACAACAATAAATGAAATTGTCTCTTTTCTTGAAGTGGTGAAAAAGTTGTAAATGTGTCTAAAATAAAAGGCCTTTATTTTAATGCACATGACCTTAAAAGCAAACTTTGACGCGTTTCGCATCAAGACCTTATCAGGAAGTAAGGTGAAGTTTGCTTTTAAGGCTTTTAAAACGACATTTTATATTTTATATCTCTTTTTGCGCCACTGACTTTGTGAATCCTATTCCAAAGAGCATCTCGGACAAACTTTTAGTTGAGTCCAGGTAACACTCCTTTTCTTTTGTCTTGTTAATGTACTCAATCCTCTGCTGAAGTATCTCTAAAAACACTTTTCAAAACACAGGGTTGAATGTTTTGTTTTCTGAGACCTAAACGCTAATTCTTCAGAGTGACAAATTTCACAATATCTGATTCCACGTAAAAGGTTGCAAAGATTTTGATGTATGAAAAAGTTGTTTAATTTATTGTCTATTTCCATGTGAGGAGCCACATTTAGCAGAGTTTCAAGCAAACTGATTGAAGTGTTTTCATTTGGAGTTCACTTTGGTTTCAGGGAGACAGCGCGAGAGTTGGGGAGTAATACTTAGACAAGAAAGTCGCCCTTCAACTCACTTGTGTGAAAGAGCATAGGGTTTACCAAACACAGCCTGTGTTGTGAGTCAGGGGTTACAAAGGAAAATGTGAAGAAAAAAAAAAACACCTGTAGTTACATGTTACCGGCAGAGGGGGCGCCAAAGAGAACAGAACATTTCCTCAAAGTTTTGGCTTGAAGGGCAAAGTTTTGGGTTTTTGCTCTGCTACCAGATGTTGAATATTGTGAAAAATTCTAAATTAAATTTGATTTAGTTTAGAATTTCGCACTTTTAATGCTAGGCTAATAAGTGACTCCCAAGACATGCGATATGACAGTGGAATTAATCGTAAGGTTGGAAACAGAATTCTTCAAAATATCACTGGCACCTCTCTAGACTGTGATCTTGACCCTTGAACTCCAAGTCTTATTTCCAACCGCCGCTAGCATTGCCACACTTGTAATTACACCTTATCACCACAGGGGTCGCCAAAGGGACACAAATTAAGACGTTTGAGATTGTTTCATTGAAGGAAAAAACTTGATGCTTCTTCGTTTCACTAAGAAGTAGCAATAATACTGAAGTTGGTTTAAGGCAACACAAGCGGTAAAAAAGCCATGTTTACAAAAACTTGAGAGTATTCGCAAAAAGTCTGAACAATCGTAAAAACTCTAAAAACGTCACTTTCACCTCTTTGAATTGTGATCCTGAGGCTTGGAATCAAATATCTGTTCTTTTAAATCTGCTAGCAGTGCTTGTGATCGGCTAATCTATATAATATTCAAAATCTCACCTGCAATTACAGCTTTCACCAGAGGGGGCACTAAAAACACATGAAATTAAGACGTGTCTCTGAAGGGCAAACATAGCACTTCTTCATTTTGGTGGGCAGCATCAATCCTAAAGTTGGTGAGAGGAAACATCGGGTAATAAAGTTAAAAGACATATTTACAAAAACTTTTAAGTACTCTAAAAAAGTAATAAAATTCAAAATATTTGGATGTTAGCTCTTAAAAATATTGCTTCAGCTTTTTTTTTCGAACTAAAGCGCAGATGGAATATCGTTTTCAATCTCTGCTGACTTTTTATTCAATCGCTGTTACTGAGGTTATAATAAGGTTGAAAAGAAGCGCCTGCAATTACATTTCATCACCACAGGGGCCGCCAAAATCAAAACAGAACACTCCGGGGCCGTTTTAAGAACACTATTTAGCTGAAATAACCAGATGTGATGTTTCTCATGTAGCCGAAAGCATAAAAACAGTAAAACCGGAATATCAAACACGTTGACCTAACTCCATTTTATGGAGCGATCATCGAGTTCAAACAACATTATTTCTTTGTACACAAATTAACATTGCACAGACACCCATTTTGGCATATAGACTATGGCATCTTATATCAAAAGGTATGAATGAAAGTCATTATAACTGCCTTTCAGTACACGTACGACACTTTGAAGCTCATGTTACATAAGTTATATTCCACAGAAGGCTTAATACACTTCCGCTTCTGTTGTAAATACACTTTAGCTTAAACAAACACTGTAAAAAAAACAATTTAGCTGGCAGATATAACACTGTAAAAACTTTCCTGTTTATCATTGAGGCAGCACTAACAGCATGATGTGCCCAGATGTTGATTTAGTCACTGTACCAGGCTGTAAAGCGGCCTCAGTGAGCATGTGAATAGTGCTCTACTGTCTTGTAACAATAAGAATGACTGCATGCGTAGAGGGACAGCGTGTGTGTGTGTGTGTGTCTCATTTACATAGATGCAATCACACCTAGCTCACGCCACGTCTTCTGCACACAGCGTACAGTACTGCATTCAGCTTTATGAAAACGATAACGTACAGAATACATTCTAAAAGGGTGGACTTACGCCCCGTATATATGTATTACTTCCTGTTTATTATCAGATGCCCGAGCATGTGATGCGTACAGTCAGCCAGCCAGCCAGTCAGTGGTTCAGACCGAGTGGTTTGGCCTAGTGGGGAGCCGCGGGGCAGACAATGGCCGCACTGTGTGGCTGAAGTGCCTTTGGTGTCAATGACTCTGCCAGCAACTGAGACTGGCAGATCCAAAATGGCGGAAACGCACAGCAGAGCCCCGCTGGTGCTTGTCATGGTCTGAACAGGGCAGTTTTGATCCTTTTTGGAGGCAGCTTTGGTTTTTTTTTTTTCTTTTCCTTTTCTGTCAGAGCTGGGAGGAAAGAGGGAGGAGGGGGGGAGAGCAGTGCAGCGCTGCTCCGGCGAATGTGCTGGCATTTTATTTGTTTTAAGGAGGTGAAGGGAGAGCAAGCATGAGGGAGAAGTTCAAACAGAGTCAGAGGGGTCTTTTTATTTCGTCCTCTCGCTCCTCGAGGTCCAGTTTGAATCACCCGGGGGTGGGTTAGAGATGTTCAAATCTTCAATGAAGTCCAGGATCCAGTTTCTAAACGTGAAAAAAGTTGCAGAAAGAGAAAAATTTGAGCATTAATCAGACAAATATTTAAATTTCGTAGAAAAAGCGTTAAAATAAATAAATCGACTTACTATCCGAGGATGACAGTTACACCGCCGTAGATGGAGACTGATTCTTAGAGAGAAAAAAGAAACAGTGATTTTTTTAAAATGCGCCACAGTGTGTGTGAGTGTGTGTGTGTGTGTGTGTGTGTGTGTGTCCGTGGGCACCGGCGTCAATCCTCCCTCTGTTGTCGAATATGCACGGATCGCTGTCTGTGTGTTTGCCCTATCTGTTTATGCTGCGTGTGTCCGTCTGTCTGTCAATCTGTTCCCAGCGCAGTCTGTTTGCCAATCTGTCATATTCTGTTTGCTGGATAAGGAGATTGAGAAAGTGTGTGTGTGTGTGTGTATATATATGTGTGTGTGTTTACAAAGCAGATTCATTTAAACCTGAGAGATAGAGACAGACAGGTACTACAGTTTTCTTACAGCGGGGAGGAGGCGTCGTCTGTTTTAAGTCACATACATGATTGTTTTAGCTGTTTGGAGGGTCTTGAACATAAAACATTTGAGTTTAAAGCTCCTATAAGGAGTTTTTTGACGTATGGAATAGCCTTATATTCATATTGACACCTATTTATGACATTCAATTTAAATTTAAAGGGATATTCTGGCGTAACATTAATTTAGGGTCAAACACACCGTAACATCGAGTTAGACACCCCGTCGAGAGATGAATGTTGACGACCGCTTGCTTCTCTAGTTATACCAACTTTAGTAACGACCGCACGATAGCAATACACAGCGGTCTGAGGAGCCATAAACAAACCTCAACCAAAACGCCACAAATAATGCTCAGAACAGCACCTAACTTCATCAACAGGACATATAGAGTCCTAGCCATAGTACTAGCCACCAAACATCTTTTTAACTTTGACTCATTTCTTTAGCAAAGAGACTAAACACAACTCACCTACTCTCTTCCAGCAGCCACTTGTTTGTAGCGAGACCTCAGGCCAGTCCATTACAGACTACAGCGGAGTTTCACAGCTCAAGGAAGAACATTTATGATAATAAGTAATAATCATCAGATTAATCATTTTGCACTGCAGACGCGGTAGTTCTTCTGCCTTAGCATCTCGGTCTGATTGTATTTCCATGAAGAAAATGATCATAAATGTTCTTCCTTGAGCTGCGAAACTCCGCTGTAGTCCGTAATGGACTGGTCAAGGTCTCGCTATAGTGGCTATAGAGTGGCGTTTTTGTTGAGGTTAGTTTATGGCTCCTCAGACCGCTGTGTTTTGCTATTGTGCGGTCGTTACTAAAGTTGGTATAACTAGAGAAGTAAGCGGTCGGCAACATTCATCTCTGTAGGGGGTGTCCAACTCGGTGTTACGGTGTGTTTGACCCTAACTTAATTCTACGCTGGAATATCCCTTTAACATGCTATAGGCAAGATAAGTTAAGACAGCTTTGTCCACAGTTGACTTAAACCAAGAAGTTCCTCACAGGAGCTTTAATGACAAAGCGCAGAAAACCAAGTGTCGAAACATGTTTTGTGAAAAGCTCATGATAGCAAGCAACATGTTTAAAAACAGGGACAGGAGCAACAAAACCCTGAAGGAGTGGTTCGAGAAAAAACACTCAGGGAAACATCTCTCAACTAACCGCCTAAATTTGCAACAAGTTTGTATCAAAACTGGGAATAAAAACGGCATTTCAGATCGGCTGAGTCTCTCAGAAGGAAGATGGGAGTAATTACTCAACAACTCCAGGATAATGTTCAGAATTTGACGGCTTTATCTATTGTGTTATATTGAAAACAGGCTAAAATGTTGTGCTCTCAGATGCCACTTCTTAAAAAAGCAGAGCAGGACTCTGTAGTGGAAATCACCACATGGGTTTAAAACCCTTGTCTGGGATTGAAACTCAACTGTTTCATGCAAAGAGGAAACTTTGAATAAACATGATCTAGAAATGCTGTCGACATCTCTGGGGCCTGACCCCACTTCAGGTGGACTGATGAATCAAAATGTGACTTTTTGTTGCTATATTTCCTGGATTTGATTGGATTTGTTTAGAGAGAAGAGGCTTGATGCATGGGACACGTAGGTAGACTACTGGGCCAAGATTGAAAATTCGAAAACTAGCAGAAGAAGTCGCTCTGTAGTAAAAGAGTCGACAAAGGATAACCTAAAGTGTTGGACAGTTGAGAGAAAGTGCTCTGATTGGATCCCAAACATCCCAAAGAAGAGATGATGTGACTCAATCGTCCACATGTCCTCGTCTGAACTACTTAAAACACGTTACATCACAGTTTTCACATTTTTCCGTTTCGAGAAATGAGGTTTGAAATGATTCACACTCCATTGAGTTCTGCATCCCAGCTCTTATGAAACCGGGGTCGAGAACGGGTCACTTAAAAATGTCCTTCAGCGTTCTCTGCATTTCAAACTCCACCTTGATCATTCCTGAGTTTACAGTCAGCACTGAAAGGATCTTTTTTTTTGGGAACTGTGGGGACAAGAGTTCCTGAAAAGTATTCCTGGAAAGCTTCGAGCCATTTGGAAAATCACGAACCCAGCGGGGGAAAAAAAAAAAAAAACACACCCTTCACATTCCTCACATTTCTAAATCTATATTTAACCGTCGTAAAGCGTGGAGTCATTTCTGTCAGTATTAACTTCTGCTGGGATCACTGGATCATGTGTAATGTGGACCCCCCACCTGTGAGTAACTTGTTGATCCGGAGCTCCTCCGGGGGTCCCTCCCAGACGCCGGGGATCCCCCCTCCTTCTGGCTGCCGACTGAGGAGGAGTCGGAGCAGCTACTGTGGACTAAGAAGAGAGGAGAAGGTTTGAAGATTAACAGAAAGCATCTAAAAAATCAAATCAAGCATGTGACATTGAAATGTTTTGCTCTTTGCGTGGAGGTAGTGCAGTGAAACCATCCTGCTGCATGCTTAGAGTGTTTTAATTTAACATCTGCATCATGTGTCTGCGCTTTCAACACGTAAAACCGTATCACCGTGATCTTATCTGGGAGTGAAATGAGGGAGAAACTGTATACGGGGGAGACAAAGAGAGAGGAGTCAGAGTGAAGGCGTTTTTTTCTCATCCTGTTCAATGAATTTCTAACACTGCTCTCTGTCCCAGAGGACAATTCATGCATTGAAACCCTGAGCCGCCTCACTCAATGAGACACCTGGTGAGCAGTGCGTGCATTACACCCGGCTATGAATGGGAAATGACTTTGGCTCGAGGGCAGCAGTGGCCTTTTGAGAGTGGATGGTTGGTGTGGGATCTGAGGTTTATATTTATGATTGGGTGTTTTTTATTTGATTTTTTGTTGTTGTTGTTTTGACTTCCTCGTTCCTTAAAGGGATACACCGCCTACAGATTAGTATAAAACGCGTTACTTGTGATTTTTATGGTGCCGTTTCAATCTGTAATTTCCTTCTTTCCTCCACAGCGCTCAATTGGGAAAACTAACAGACCTGTTGTTCCGATTAAGTGGTTTTTATGAAGACTTTCATAGATTTGGGACAGGATTTATTTTTAAAATGGGCAGTTTTGGTGAGATTTCTTGTCTTACTTGAGCTGGAAGTGATCCTGTTTAACCTTTAAACCACTTATCAAAGTAAAGACTCTCTACTCTGTGGTTTCTTCTTCTCTAAATAGAACCATCTATATTTAAAAGAAACAAAACTGATAGATTTATTCACTGAGGTGATAGACCTTCATAGACTTCTGTACAATCACCTTTTTTAATTAAAGCAACCAGTGAAGTCGCCCCCTGCTGGCTGTTAGAAATCATACCCCTGCAAAAAAATGATTATTTAGATGGCAATAATCAAATTTGCAAGAGGGATTTTATTGCATTATGGCCCTTTGCCCAGAAGATGGCGCCAAAAGAATTAAGCAACTGCTTTGCTACAAAAGCACGCTGGATACAAAGCGAGGTAGACGAGTCTAGCAATGCTAGCGCGACAGTTCTTCGCTCATTAGTTCACATTCATGTCTGGTTGCTGTATCTTAAGACGACAAATGACCAGCAGAGGGCGGTGGTGCAAGTCTTGGCAAATTGGTCGCCAGCAGTGAGTTCGTCTCACAGCAAATGTTTGCGCTAGTTTTAACTAACGTACTCGTATAACTAGAAACACAACCTCTTTAGACCGTCACAGAGTTAGTCGACATTAGTAAATGGGGGGCTTATCTGGAGGGATAACAGCCGTCTAGAGGCGGCTACAACTGGGGTTAGGGGGGCGTGGCGAATGCGCACATGCATTGTCCAATCATACTCCAACTACGCCGGTTACATGGTAGAGGAGATCGAATTCCAATCACATAATCTGGGTGTCTTAATCGGAGTTCTCAAACTTCGATTATTGTCGGACTAAGGTGTTTACGTGCGCTTGAGTTGTCCGGTCTTAATCGGAGTGAGGCAATAATTCGGTTTTCTCGGGTGTCATGTAAACGTACAATTGTACAATAGTTGCTCATTTGGTGGATTTGACAGAACCCCTGAAGGTGGAATGGATGGACATTTACGGCGCCAAAGGGACATAAAAATAAGCCGTTTTGCTGTGAATCGAAGCTTTAGCCCAGGTGCTAAGAAGTTAGCATAAATAACTTCATTGAGCCGTAAGCAGGACAGAAAACCAGATGTCTAAGTGCTTCACATTTGCACAGATACCTCACATTGTGGACGTCCTCATGTTGGAAGACAGTGAAAGAGAATATACCAAAAAGTGGAGGCGCCCCCTGCTGGCCCTCAAAAAAACTGCAGATTTAGAGCACTCTTCTGTGTCCCTATCACAGACTTTGATGTCTGGGCCAACCAAGACCAAAGTATTGACCCATCCTCCCCTGACTCCTCACAGTGCAGTATCAGGGCCTGCTTTACAGCCTCCAACAGTCACTTTAGAGCCTCAATCCGCTGCTATTTTTAGAGCACAACAAGTAAAACATGAAAATAAGTGGCTCACAGCTGCTTTAGCTGCCCCATTTTGCAGCCAGAAAGATAAAAAATTCTGTTTTGTGGATATTTTGTGTCACCGCTTGATGTGAAGATATTAAACCACTGAGAAATCCAGTGTAATAATCGCGCTAAATCTCTGCGTAACGTGGTAAATACCGTCACCAAACCATACTCTTTTTTTGAAGGGTGCAGCAGTATCTTAAAGCTGCACATTTCCTTTAATATTCCTGCTGTTTGGTTACTGTAAAGGATGACAAAGCTCCAGTTTAACAGAGACCGAAGCCTGTCATGGGATTTGATCAGAGCAGCGCTGAAAATGTGTTTCCATAATGGAGCTTACATATCCTCTGCAGGCAGCTCCTCCAAATTTCTCAGTGTGAGACAAATATCAAAAATTCATAGAGAAGCCCGAGGCCATGAGATTGAAACAAAAAAAAAAAAAAAAACATGTAGCACGTTATTACCTTGTCACATGGGGAGATACACCCAAGACCCGTTTTGTTTCCTGTCTGTAATCTCAGGAAGACATCGCCTCGGCTCAGGAAGCAAAAAAAACGAACAATCCGGTAATCTAATCAGGTTAATTTGGACCGAGTGACTTCCTGAAGCCACAGATTTACCTGATGACAGTTTAGACTTCCTGTAAGTGCGGGCTGTTAAGGCTGAAAAAACTGGAATGAAATCTTATCTGATTGTTAAAAAAATTCATTAATAATTCAGAGCTTTCATACTTTTGCTTGTCTTACTCTCGTCTCTCAGAGCGCAGTGGTTATCCTGCGTACGATTATGTCATCCTGGTGGGCTCACCTCTGTCATTGAGACTGTAGATGGAGTCCAGCTCTGTGACTGGAGTCCCTGTCGCGTCCAGGAGGAGTTTACTGGAAATTCCCATACACAGCGACTCCTTCAGACACAACTCTGAGAGAGGAGAGAATCGTAAAAACACGATTTAATATTTACTCTTGGAGGAAGGCCCAATTTTAAGGGCGCCGCTAATAGCATTCTACACTTGTGCCTCATGTACGGACGTTATTTCACAAGGTGTAGAGGAGTCAGTGTGAGTAGATGAACAGCACTTGTTTGTTGTACGTGTAACCCGAGTCGGCATCAGGAAGAGATCCTGAGACGTGGATATCATGGATATCAGGAGGTGGATATGATATGTGATACGTGAAAGCGGACAGGACCGCTGCTGCTGCTGATGTTGGTTTTAATATGCTCTGTATTAATAGAACATATGCGGTAATAATATATCCTGGATCAGGTTACGGAGACAAATCGGATTGTCAGATGAAAACAGCCCGCTCTCCGAATGCTTGTCAAACTGTGTGAGTTTCTAAAGATATGTGAGTCTTATGTCAGGGTACATACTGAGGCTTAAGATGAGGCTAAAGGGGTCAAACAGGGCGCTCATGTGCTCTTAAGTTGAAAAGGTAAGGGGCACACAAAGAACTTGAGGAGCAGATTGATCAAATAATGTTTGTCTTATTGGTCGACATAAGTACGATTATTTGAAATCAATTTCAGGTCTTTTGGTCACATGACATGAAAGCTATTGAAGGAAATGTTCAAAATTTGACTTTAAATTTAACGCAAACATTTTTTAGAGGACAAATTATGAAAATAAACAGGTGTGTCTTATCGTCCAACTTTAGTACTATTATTTGAAATCAATTTTAGGTCAATTGATCACATGACATGGAAGCTATTGAAGGAAAACAGACTTTTTTGAGAACATCAACCAGTAATTTATTGACGGCCCCTTATTCAACACGGGTGCCAGGTAGATTTAACCGCGCTGCTCTTGCCATTCCTGATTATAGAGAGCGAGAAGACACTGGTAGATCAGCAGTGATTGTCCGTCAAATATCCAACCAAAAACTAACTTCCCCGCAGTATTAACATTTTGCATTTGTTGCCTCGGCTGATTTGTGCCCCTAAATACATTTTACAATTCGCACACATGTATTTTTAGTCTCAAATGTGAGTGAAACGGTCGCGCTGTTGAGCCCTGTCAAAGGTCAGTCTGTACCTGTGTTGTTGATGGCGTGTGTCCACAGCAGGTGGGCGATGTCATGAGTCCAGGCGGTTCTGTCGTCCCGGTCCTTCGCCTGCAGCGTGACGCAGTCTTTGGTTCGCGGAGCCTGTCGGACCCAAACTTCGAACTTCAGCCCCTCCTCCCCAACGCTCTGGGTCAGACCCATCTCACCTGTCTGCAGGGTCAAAGGAAATCTGTGTTTTTCTTCAGCTAAACCAAATTTAAAAAAATTTTTCCTTTTTTAACCCTCGGTTCCTACTTTGTCCATTTTGAGGACATTTGTCATTTTTTTCATCTTGATTTTGAGCTGACAGTCACATTTTTCAAAATATTTTCATCAACATCATCGTCAACGAAAACAACACTGGTGTAAGGAAAAGTTTGTGTGCTCATGCTTGTATGTAAAAAATGATTATTTTTTATGGACACTTATCTGCATGTCCGTTTTGGTGACAAAGTAGGCTAGATGGAGCTAAAATACGGAAATTGGCACTACAAAAAGGATTTAAATGCACCAAAATCGATTTTACTCCTCATCACTTACATGACCCAGACTATTTTTATCAAAAAAAAAAAATCATCTAGGTCATTTTATATAGCAAATATGGCGATTTTGTGTTTTTTACTATTAAAAAATAACATTGACACGTTGCAGAATAACTGGCATAAAAAGGATAATACATTGAATTTTTTATTTATTATTTTTTTAATGGTCAGGGCTGAAGTTGTTCAAAAGATACGAGTCAAAAAAAGTTTTAAAAAAGTTTAAAAATGATTATTTTATGAATACTTATCTGCATGTCCGTTTTGGGGGTAAAATAGGCTGGATGGAGCTTAAAATATGAAAAATTGGCACTAATAAAAGGATTTAAACGCACCAAAATCGATTTTACTCCTCATTATTGACATGGCCCGGACTCTATTTATTAAAAATTTTTTTATCTAGGTCATTTTATATGGGAAATATGGCGATTTTGTGTTTTTTAGCATTAAAAATAATGATGAAATGTTGCAGAAAAACTGGCATAAAAAGGATAATACATTGAATTTTTTAATTATAATTTTCTTAATGTTAGGTCTGAAGTTGTTAAAAGATACGAGTCGAAAAATTAAAAAAATAAAAGGAAAAAAATGATTATTTTTTATGGACACTTATCTGCGTGTCCATTTTGGGGACAAGTTGGCTGGATGGAGCTTAAAATTCACAGGAGCCGAGGGTTAAAAGAGCTTACAGACGGATTATGTGTGTTTAAGGTAGAGACAGAAACTCTGTGTTCGTGTGTGTGAACCTTGATGCTGTGTTTGTAGCTGTAGGCGGTGCGTCCAGGACTCGGGCTCTTCTGTTTGGTGAAGATGATGGCGTGCTGATAGAGGAAAATGTTCCTGATGCCCGCACGCTTCCTCCGAGGGCCCCCGCACACCGTCAGCTCGCCCTGACGCACCAGCTCGCCGCGCTCCGCGACCGGGATCTGAAACACACATCGATGTCAGGATTCCCTCTAAGCGGCCTGAGGCAGCGGCTTTAGGTCTTTATCTACCAAACAGACCGACTTCACCTGGACAGGAGGTATTTATTCACTTGTGGGCTGAATTTTTCCACCTCTTTCTCTCACATTGTCTTAAAACTTACAGTAAATCAAACATGAAACCTCGCTCAACAATTTAAAGGGCTAGTACAACTAATTTGACATGTTTTCTTTGAGCTTCTGCGACCTCGAAAAGTTCATTTTGGACTTTTAACGCTTACTCTCTGTTCTGTTTTTTTTTCATTTAAAGTGGAGAAAACAACCAGGACTTTTAATTTGAAGACATCAGAGCTCCAAAGAGTGAAAAGATTTATTGTCAAGACTTTAAAAAAAGGACAAAGCCGTTTCATTATTGTGATTATTGAGCATGCGAGGTGACATTCTGACTTCTCGAGGATGCTCTCTTTGTGTTGGATCTCTGCTGTAATTGGCTGGCTGACTCATGTCTTTTGTAAAAATGGGACTCCTTTGTTCATGTCAATTACAGAGTGAGAAGACTTGTCACAACTCCCACCAGAGGCGCACAGAGGTCCAGAAAAGTCACATTTTTACATGGAGCGTCTTAATAAGGACTCAGGAAATAGACAAAAACAAACAAACGAGCGGAGGTTGATTCGGACCGAAAATGGCCTCGCTATAAAAATAAAATCACTAATAATTTACCTGCAATCAGGACTTTTATTTCCAAACCTCTAGAGATGTGTGGGTCATGATGTAAGTGATGCTTCACATGCATTTTGAACACCCACATCCACACCTACACACACACACACACACACCTGCGCGTACAGTTTTATATGTGGAGAGCTTTTCGAGCGCAATTTGGAGGAGCTCAATGGGAGTGTTTGTGCCGCTGTAATCTGAGTGTGTGTGTGTGTGTGTGTGTGGGAGTTAATCATTTGTCACGACCGGCTCTGAATGATCCTGCTGTGTCAGAGAAACACAATATAGAGTAAGAGGAAGTGTTTTTTTTTAAAAGGATGGAGCTTTATTTTGAAATTCCTGCTACAGTAAAAGAAAGAGTTCTCTGAAGTACGACAGAGTATTAGGGCCACATTTAAAGTCGTGATCAAGTAATTACTAACGAGAATAAAGTCGTAGGAAAATCATTACTTATGAGGATAAAGTCGTATAAAATCATAATAAAATCGTTAATTATGCCGAAGGATTTATCTCCTTGTTTGTAGAACCGAGCTGTAGAAGTTCAGTTCATCTAAATGCTTCACGGCGCTCATTTAAACAACTAACAACAGGTAGAAGAGCTTTTAGCTACGAATTTATTCACATAAGTAACGATTTTACTACGACTTAATTCTCGTTAGTTATTACTTTATGACGACATAATTCTGGTAAGAAATGATTTTATTTCAAATTTATTCTCGTAGGAAATTACTTTATTACGGCTTAATTTTCGTAAGTAATGATTTTATTAGCTACGACTTTATTCTCTTAAGAAATCACTTTATTCCGACTTAATTCTCCAAAGTAATGAGTTTATAACGACTTTATACTCGTATTGATTTTATTAGCTACAACTTATTCTTGTAAGAAATTACTTGATTACGACATTATTCTTATAGGAAATTGCTTTATTACGACTTTATACTCTTAAGTATTGATTAGGTACGACTTTATTCTCGTAAGAAATAACTTTATTCCGACTTAATTCTCGTAAAGAATAACTTTATTACGACAAAATTTTCGTGTGAAATTACTTTCTTACAGCTTAATTCTAGAAAGTAATGATTTTATTACTACTTGATACTCGTAAGTAATTACATTATTACAACTTAATTTGCCTAAGTAGTGATTTTATTATGGCTATACTCGTTAGTATTGATTTTATTAGCTACGAATTTTTTTCTAGTAAGAAATTACTTTATTCCGACTTAATTCTTGTAAGTAATGATTTTATTACAACTTTATTCTCATAAGAAATTATTTTATTCCAACTTTACTCTCTTTATTAAATCTTAAATGTTTTTTTCCTAATGTGGCCCTAATACTTATTCGTACCGTAAGTGTGCTTTACAAAAAAAAAAAGAATCCCTCTTTCTCTCTATTTATTTATTCATTTTTGAGTTATTATTTTGATTATTATTGTCTTTTAGGGCGCCTCATCAAACAGGAAGTAGTATTTGAAAGTGTTTAATCGCTTGCAGAGCCGTCAAATTTTGGTACACATGTTTCATACATGTGTTGTAACTAAATCCTGGATAAACCGCGTACAGACGTGCATCACACATCAATTGATCGTGAAGGTGTGAGGGTTCACATCGTTTTTTCAATTTTTGTTGATTTGCATTCAAAACAATCTCAGTTCAGAGTGTCGTTAAAAAAACAGGATTTTAGGAGATCTTTCATGTCACACACACACACAGACACACTCTTCAAAGTAAAGTTGTTGTGTTTTCTAATTTAAGGAGGTGTTGATTAATGTAATTCGTTATAAAGTGGTGAAAAGCAGACCTCGATGAAAAAGAGGGTGAAATTTCAGCTTCTGTACGTAAACTCCAAAGGATTCATTTGAAGCTCGTTTCAACTCCTGCTTTTGATATTCAAATTAAATACTAAAAAATTCCCTTTTTAAATAAAAACAAACTGTAAATAAAGAACTTCAGATAAAAGGTGTAAAAGTGATAAAACGGTTCCTTCACTCTCCGCTGCCCGACCTCGTCATCCACATGTTTTTTTTCTTCTTCTCCCCCTCTGAGAAAAGGAAAGTGGGACTTCATTCAGACTTGCAGAGTCACAAACTGGGACAGGCGTTCTCACCGGACATCCCACGATGAGGTCGCTGGCCCGGAGGTCCTCGCCGTGACGCTGGGCGTGTCTCAGGATGGAGAGGGCGGAGTCGGAGGCGGGGTTTATCCCTCCCAGCTCTTCCAGGGCCTCGCAGTACTGCTCGAGTCTCTGAGTGGGAGCCTGGAGGCAGTGAGGGAAGGAGAGGGGGGAGAGCGGGGAGGCCGGGGGGAGTTTGGACTGAGAGGAAGGAGGGAGAGAAACAAGAGAGAAGGAGAGAGAGGAGAGAGACACAAGAAAGAGAGAAGGAGAGAGAGAGGGGAGAGACAAGGGAGAGAGAGAGAGAAAAGGAGAGAAAAAGAGGAGAGACAAGAGAGAGATAAGTGAGTAAGGAGAGAACGAGAGAGAGAAGAGAGAGAGAGAGAGTAGAAAGAGAAAGAAGTGAGAAAGGAGTAAGAAAGGAGAGAAGAGAGAAAGAAGTGGGAAAGGAGAGAAAGAAGAGAGAGAACAGGAGGGAGAAAAAAGAGAGAAAGAAGTGAGTAAGGTGAGAGAAAGGAGAGAGAGCAAAAGTAGAGAAAAAGAAATGAGAGATTCAGGAGGAGAAAGAAAGGAGAGATAAAGGAGAGAGAAAGAAAGGAGAGAGAAAGGAAAGAGAGAAAGGTGAGAAAAATGAGAGAGAAAAGAGAGGAAGGAGAGAGAAATGAAAGGGAGAGAAAAAAGAAAGGAGAGAGAAAGAAAGGAGAGAAAAAGGAGAGAGGGAGAGAAAGAAAGGAGAGAGGGAGAGAAGGAGAGAGACAGAGGAGAGAGAGAGAAAGGAGAGAGAGAAAGAAGAGAAAATCGAGAGAGAGAGGAGGAGAGAGAACGAGGAGAGAGAAAGGAAAGAAGGGAGAAAGAAAGAAGAGAAAAAGGAGAGAGAGAGAGGAGGAGAGAGAAAGAGGAGAGAGAGAAAAAGGAGATAGAGAGAAGGAGAGAGAAAGGAGAGAGAAAGGGGAGCGAGAGAGAAGGTGGAGAGAGAGAAAGGAGAGAAAAGGGAGAGAGAGAGAGGAGGAGAGAGAAAGAGGAGAGAGAGAGAAGGGAGAGAAAGAGAAAGAAGAGAGAAAGAAAGGAGGGAGAAAGAAATGAGAGAGAGAGAGAAAAGGACAGGGAAAGGAGAGAGAGAGAAGGGAGAAAGAGAAGGGAGAAAGAAAGGAGAGGGAAAGAAGAGAGAGTGAGAGAGAGAGAGAAATGTTGTCGTTAAAATTTAAGTTACATCTGACGCTTCATCTAGGACTCTCAAACAGAGTCCAGATCAGAGTCCAGTCTGGATCCACTTGGAGTCTGTAAATAAAGATTAAATATGTTTTATTTCCTCATAAAGATCCAGTCTAGCTGATTTCACCCTCAAGTTCTCAATCTGAAACCACCAAACTCGTCTTTTTCCTCTCCTCTGAAATAAAAATCATCACTTCACTCCCTCGAATGATCCCGATCATCGCTCAGCTTCACCTCCATCACCATCACAATAACCATAAAACCCTCCTGCGGCAGTCATCTCCAACATCTTCATCTGTTTCCCAGCTGCCGCAGGGACGTGGCGTTGTCTCACGCTGCCCTCTGGTGGCCGTTTCTCAAAACTGCCTCTCAATGAAACACTTGAACGCAGCTCTCCAGCGCTCTGATCTCTGCCTGTACAGTCCTTTTAGTGATCTTGTGATGCCGTCAATGTATTAGTTTGAGATAATTGTAGCCTGCGAGCTCAAATTACTTTCTCTATAATCCGCCTTTAATTGGCTTTTCTGGTGTACATTAAATATGTAATTAGCTTTACTGTATACAGCTCGTTTTTAATTGCAGCCACCGCTGAATAAAGCTACTGTAATTCATTTTTTGCTGGTGATGCGCTCCAGAATAACTCATAATGATGTTTCTATATTGTGATTAAAGAGATTTCAGCGAGGAAAATAACCGAATGACAACACTACAACCCTGACACCCTTATTATGAGTGTAGATTAATGAATGAGCGATAATAAGTGAGAAATAGAGAGCTTTGATTTAATTAAACGTGTTGAAACATAAGCAGGAAAATAGAGAGGGACATTTGAACTCTTTAAATGTTGGTGATTTGAAGAGTTTCTCAGATTCTTACCTTGAAGAAGTCAGCAGCCTGGGTGACGAGGGGCGAATCCAGATCTGGTTTGGTCCTGATGTAGTGGGAATACTGCAGGAACTGTTCTCGCTGTGGGAAAAGAAGGAGATTATTAAATGTAGAAGCTCCAATTTTATGTGTTTTTTCCCCAGTTATGTGGAAACATCTGTTGTCTTAAAATCAAGAATATAAGTCACACAGGTATACTGAGTTAGGGCTGGGCGATAAACAGAAAATTTACCGATTCCAAAATTTACGACATATTCATTGTCAAAAAATAAATAAATCAATAAAAGTTGGTTTTGGATGTGTGTAGGTAGGCTATGGTCTCATGTCCCTTTAAGATACTGTCCTACGTCAGAGACGTGACTCCGCCCCATCCTGTCCGTAACAAAGAGTGAAAGACAGGTGAGGAGACGGGGGCCTGTTCAAAAGTTGTAGACGAAGTTAATGTCGGAGGGGGTGAGCAGCTTGTGGAGTAGTTATCGTTTGGTCATATATATCCTGATATTGATTTGAGGCCATATCGCCCAGCCCTACGTTGAATACAGTCTGTTGTTGGCGAAGGTTTAAACCATTTTCCTGCACGACCGCTTTAACTGCGTTCAGCAATGTGCGGTTTCCATGCAGATGTGTAGCTCTCTTAATTCACTCAAACCCACCACCGTCTTTATCGTACGTCTATTTTCTTTAAAAGCAGAATTACCAGATTTTCGGGCCATAAACTGCACCAGATTATGCGGCGCACTGTGAATTAACATGTCTATGTTCATGTATAAGGCGCACCGGATTGTAAGGCGCATTAAGCATCGATTGGTTTATTGTTGCTAGCGCGTAATCCAGGCTGCCTTACATGAATGTACTTTTAGTTTAGACACTACAGTCAGGCGGTGTTGTAGACTGCTCTGTGGTTGTGTTACTGTTGCTTACCAAAGTCATACATACACATTTCGACAGATTTTGAGCGCATTGTATCACATAAAATTGGTCAGTTAGCACAAGAAGTGATCATACATTAAGTGCGCACTGTCATTTTTTTTAGAAAATCTAAGGATTTTAAGTGCGCCTTACAGTCCGAAAAGTACGGTATAACCTTATGAAGTTGATAAAAAAGTACATCTTATACAACAAACTTTACGTTACATGTAAAGCTACAATCTGTGACATTTCAACAAAACAGTTCAACACCAGCTGTCACACAACATTTTATAAAGTCATAAATGTAAAACAGCTGGAGAACATGACTGCCTGTTTGTGACTGGCAGAGGTATAGGTCATAAAACCCTCCTCCATGTAATCAGATGGGACATGGGTCAAACTTTAAAATCAAAATACACATGAAATACATTTCTCTCAAATGTAGTTTTTGTCCTTAAACTTCGTTCTCATCATGCAGATTTTTGTTTCAGTGTTCATTTCTGAAAGAAGTATCTGGATTTGTCATCCTCTGATCTTACTGAAAAGTTTCAAAATAAAGCTCCACTGTGGGTCGGTTTTAGCAAATCAAGCATCTTTGTGTATCTTAAGTCAGAAAAAGCACTTTCCTCTACTCCTCTGTGTGAACCTTCCACTCTGCAGAACTTACATATTTACTGAAGCAGTCCTGTTGCAACAAGCTCTGCACGAGAGCGCCCTCCATGGCGGGCAGCAGGTGCTGCGAGTGGAAGGAGCTCAGACCGGCCCAGTTCGGGAAAAGTGTGTCCCCTTTCCCTCTGATGGAGGTCGGGGTGTCTGAGAGCTCCAGCAGGGGGAGGTACGTCTCCTCGACACCCTTCAGGACGGTGACGTACTGCCTCTCTGAGCTCAGCATGCGGCACCAGAGGAGGTAGAGTTTACTGCGGGACATGAAGACGGAGAAACGAGATGAGTGAACAAACATGAGGAGGAAAGAGGAAGTCGAGAGGGACGCAGAAGTCAAAAATGGACGGAGATCAAACAATTTGAAGTGATTCAATTATCTCTGATTGCACAGTGACTGATCAATTATTCTGAAAGAGATTTCTCTCTTTCATGTGAGTCCGGCCTCTCCCCAAAGTAATTTCACATGCTGGTCTTGTTTTGAAGATCTGCGCCAACTTCTGCTGATGACTTCCTCCAAAAACAGAATAGAAAACATCCTAAACTCACCTTTGTGAACTCGAACCACCTCTGTCCGTCCCCGTCTCCCTCTCAGTCCTCCCGAGCAGGACATGTTGCCGTGGTGACCCTGTGTGGTCCACCACCTCCTTGCTGCTGACCTCAACTCCTCGGATCAACACCCCACCACCACCTCCTGCCCCTCCTCCTCCTCCTCCTCCTCCCCATCCGGGTATAGCCGCAGCCATGCTAGTGGTGATAACTGGGTCGGCTACGGCTCTTCTCCCCAACCAGGACATGGGGGAGTGTCGGCTGACCCCGCCCACTGGGGAGTCAGGTTTTGGGTTGGCGCCGCCTCTGCGTGGGGCAAGGAGAGCCTGGAGGTCGAAGCTGGGGTGGCGTTTCCTCGGGGGCTTTGGGGGTAGTGGAGTATCAGTCGGCTGTAAAACAAAGAGCATGGTGTTTAGATGACATGAGCAGGAAAATGGTTTAATAATAAACCTCTTAAAGGGATATTCCGGCGTAAAATTTTTTAAGGTCAAACACCGAGTTAGACACCCTGTTAAGAGATGAATGTTGCAGACCGTTTGCTTCTCTAGTTAAACCAACTTTAGTAACGACCGCACGATAGCAATACACAGCAGTCTGAGCAGCCATAAACAAACCTCAACCAAAACGCCACTCTATAGCCACAAATAATGCTCAGAACAGCACCTAACTTCATCAACAGGACATATAGGGTCCCAGCCATAGTACTAGACACCAAACATCTTTTTAACTTTTACTAATTTCTTTAGCAAAGAGACTAAACACAACTCACCTACTCTCTTCCAGCAGCCACTTGTTTGTAGCGAGACCTCTGGCCAGTCCATTACAGACTACAGCGGAGTTTCGCAGCTCAAGGAGGAACATTTATGATCATTTCTTTATCATTTCCTTGAAGTAATAATCACCATATTGATCATTTTGCACTGCAGACGCAGTAGTTCTTCTGTCTTACTGTCTCGGTCTGATTGCATTTCCATGAAGAAATGATCATAAATGTTCTTCCTTGAGCTGTGAAACCCCGCTGTAGTCCATAATGGACTGGCCTGAGGTCTCACTACAAACAAGCGGCTGCTGGAAGAGAGTAGGTGAGTTGTGTTTAGTCTCTTTGTTAAAGAAATTAGTCAAAGTTAAAAAGATGTTTGGTGGCTGGGACCCTATATGTCCTGTTGATGAAGTTAGGTGCTGTTCTGAGCATTATTTGTGGCTATAGAGTGGCGTTTTGGTTGAGGTTTGTTTATGGCTCCTCAGACCGCTGTGTATTGCTATCGTGCGGTCGTTACTAAAGTTGGTAAAACTAGAGAAGCAAACAGTTGGCAACATTCATCTCTTGATAGGGTGTCTAACTCGGTGTTACAGTGTTTGACCCTACATTAATTTTACGCCGGAATATCCCTTTAAACACTAGATTGCAGGATTTGATTTCCTTCACTCACGTTTTTCTTCGCAGGATTCAGAAGATTCTGGAGGAACTTCCCTCCTCCAGCTCCGCCCACTCCTCCTATGACTCCTCCCCCTGCGCCCTCCTTCTTATTCCCTTTATCGTCTCCGATCTTCAGCGTGGAGCAGGTCTGCGGCCTGAACAGCGACGCCAAGGATCCCCAAGACTGAAGCCCTCCATCTCCTCCTCCGGCTCCCAGTCCCCAGTCCCCCTCCCCTTCAGATCCCATCAAGTCCCACAGGCTGCTCGCTGACGGCGTTTTGGACCTCCCCTGGGCTTGATTCTGGTTCCTGTCAGACTGGAGGAAGCGGGGTTTAACCTGCGCCACAGTCCGCTGATAGCGCTCCACAGTCTGGGTCCAGAGATCCAGGAGCTGCCCGCCGCCGAGCTCTATAGCCAAAGAGCGAGCGTCTTGGAAACGGGACGGAGGGATCGGAGGGAGGGAGGCGAGAGGGCAGGTGGAGGAAGAGGAGGACGGGGAGGTGGAGACGGCGTCGCACCACTGTGTGGCCTGAGAGGAAGACAGGAAAGAAGTGATGACTCAGGAAGTTTTGAGAACTGTGAGCGTGCGTTCATAGTTTCCTGGATTACCTCGGTCAGCGTGGACAGCAGCCTCTGTGTGTTGTCCAGCGTGGTCCAGCAGTCGGACAGACAGTGGGACATGTCTCTCAGCTTCTCCCTGACTGGAGGAAGTCGGATCTGGACGTCGCTCAGGCCCGCCCAGTCCAGCTCGCACCAGCCCTCCAAGTCACTGAGCACGGACAGAGTCTCACTGTGTAGATCCTGAAGAAGCCAAAGTGTTTACCAAACGTTCCTGACAGGAGCTTTAATCATCAATATCATATCACAGACTCACGTTGGCGGTTTCTCTGAACGTCTTGAACTTCTGCTGTTTGAGGGAGAGCCTGCTGAGGGACAGAGGAGGGTCCTTGTAGTCCTCCAGCTGAGACTGGACTTGCTCAATCTCCTTATCGCACTGAGGGAAGAGGACAGCGAGATAGCGAGTTGTTTACGGCGCATTAGAGGCGAAAGAATAACGAGGAGTCGTTAAGAAGGAGCAGAAAACAGGAGGTGAGAGGTCGTTTAGGTTTTACACACAAAAGAAAAGAGAGTCATGAGAGTTTAAATTCAAGGTTTTTGGAAACAGCAGAGAAGAAGAAAAGGGGGAGGACATCTTCAGGGATTCAGGCTAACACCACGGTTAGTTCTGGAAATCTGTATCTCCATGAAGCTCTTTAGAAGACGGAAGCATGAAGGTCTCTAAGATCTACATCAACCCAGGACTTGATAAAACAAGACAAGACAGCACACGATGGAGCAGTCAAGGAGGGTCTTGACAGGAAGAGCGTGGACTTTGTCTTAACCAGGATTTCCACCGCATCCGTAACCGCCATCCGCCAGTTCCTATCGGATCCATTTGTGAGGCCAATTTCGTGGCGGATTACAGACAGCAGGAATCCGAAGAATTTACAAGAACCCGCGGATTCACGTGCAATCACGCGATAACAAGTTGTCTCTAACAACATAGGCTAACCCTATAAGCAGTAGATTGTGTCCTTCCAGAGGAGGAAATCTACTTCTAGACTTCTAGAATCAGCATCTCCTCATCCATTGTGTCATCGGGGTAAAAAGCTGTCTATAAACCTTTCACATGAGTGTTTTATTTTGAAAAGAAGCTGGATGTTTTATTTTTTGTCCGACTTCCTTTCCAGCACGGGTTAATCTGTGCTGAATTTATCCGTTATGCTCCAGCATCCAGAAAAAATAGAACTCTTGCAATAAGCTGCGAAGTCCGGCGATCCGCAGCGGAACGGAAAGAAGCCGGTGGAAATTGACACGTTAACTTGAACGGTTACAATCAGCTACGATCGGCGGATACGGCCTTTTTGTAGACGTTCCGGATGAGATAGAAATTGTGGGTAAGCAGTTTTTTTGGGATTCCTAACACCATGATTAGCAAACCAGTTTCTGTCAGTTCTGGTCCTTGCTGGGAAAGAAACTCTCTAGGTCTCCAAGACCTGCATCGAATGTGGCTTTCATAAAACTCATTCGACTAACAGTAGAAGACAGATGTCACCACAAATCCCCAACAGACTTTCGAAACGTCACAAAAGACTTCAAGCACCTTGAAAGAGGGTCTTGACAGTAGGAACACAGAACTTGTCTTAGTCCAGTTCTTGTGAGGCCCCCCTAAGTTCCTGAATCTGATTGTTCGACAGTCCTCTCCAGGCTGTGATCATCTCTCAACAACGCCTTTGAGCTGCAACTCATCAGGATCATGTTTATTAAGTAACTGAACCAGATGAGAGGAGGGTCCTTTTCTTTTATAGACTTCTATGGTTCTGTTTTTGAAGTAGAGCTGCCCCCTACTGGCCATAACAGGGAACACAAGAAAGGCTCTACTTCTTTAACGCCACATATAAGGAGGGAAACCCAACTAGTTAGTCCAGGAAACGAGTCTGAAATCAAACTCCTCGACCCTCATTAATCACCTTCTCAAGTTTGTCCACCAGCCCCGCCAGCCGTCCCAGCGCCTCCAGGTCGCGACCTCTCTGATTGGACACCCGGACGAGCCGATGGAGGGCGTCATCCACGCTGTCGTAGAGTTTGGAGGTTGTGGTGAGAGCGGCCCTGATGAGAAGAAAGTGGAAAAACTGAGAGTGAGAAGTCTTCTTCTTCTTCTTCTTCTTTGTTTGATTCAAATTATAATTAAATTGAGGACTTGTCGCTGCCATAAATCACAGATGGTAGAAATGTTATTATGGGAAACACACACACACACAAAAAAAAGAAAAGCCTTGCAGACCAACTGTCAGACAGAAAAAGGAATCAAATCAGCAATCAGCTCATACTTGTATTTGGCCTATTTTCTTTGCGCAGACGGAGCCAAAACTCATTACTGGATAAGAAGAGGAGCTACACATACAGCAGTTTTTAGATCATCGTAAAGCTGCAGTCATTCAAACAAACAAGCTGCGGGGCTCTGTCAGCCTTTTTTTCTCTGTTTCTTATTTGTCTGCAGAAGAAAAACAACTTTTTCTTCATTATGAGCAGCAGATTTTTTAACCCTTCGCTTTTTTTTACCCACAGAAGAATCTCAGAGGGCACTCGGATCTCTTTTTATGCCCCTCAGGACCAGATTTGAGTTTCTTTGAGTGTTTCTACTGAGATTTGTTGTTCTCATCATGAGGTCTATATCTGATATATCTCAGGCTGTGTGTAATCTACAATATTTATCGGTGAGAAAACAGGTCTGTAAAGGTATAAAGGTACTAATATTATCCATATATGAGCAGACGCATATTTAAGCTGTAGTCCCACATTAGTGTCTGATCATATTTCAATACTGACGCTTGTGTGCGAAGTAGAGCAGGACACGGGAGCGGATTTTCACTCCTGTCCCACTCCCAGAGAAAAAATCCCGTCCCAATCCCGGACCGGAGTAAAAAAATTAATCCTGTCCCGTCCCACTCCCGAAGAATGACTCCCACTCCCATCCCGCTCCCACTCAAAATTACTCCCACTCCTCTCATTTGAATAAAACCAAACATGTTGAAAAAACTGAGAATTTTTTCAAATTTTAGGTAAAAGGGGCAGCGGAGTTGGAGCGGCAGTCGCTCCGAGTCGCTTTTCACTTCTGGTGGTGACAGGAAGTCAAACCACTGTTGTAGTTCTTCTGTGTTGCTTGCGCGGTCAAGAGTGTTGGCCCTCACTGAGAGATGACTGCAAAAATGGACGCATCTGTTCATCTGGTTGTTTAACACGGCTGAAAATGATTGTCTATTAATGTTATTCCTGCTCCCGTTGCTTTTTTTCCCGTCCGATCACGGGATTAATTAAAAAATGTCATCCTCAAGGGCGGAGCAGTGTTGTTTTCGTTGATGATGGCAAATATATTTCTTCAACGTCATCGTCAACAAACTCAACATTCCTTTTTTTCCACGACGAAGGCGTGACGTTGACGAGCTAAACATACGTCTTAGACGACTAAAATGTGACGATATGAATGTGCGTTTACGTTGACGAGACGAGTCTAGATGAAAACGTTAGTGGTGGACGACGAACAGTTTTGCAAAATCCATGAGCACTTCGTCAGTCAAACACTAAACATATATTCTGCAGTGTTTTTTTCGATGACGTTGACAAAATATTTTCGTCAGCGTCATCGTCAACGAAAACAACAAAATCAATTTAGCACGAAATAGCTGCATGTTTGTATCAAAAGGGAGAAAAATAAATAATAAATATAGTAAAAGAAGCATCATGGCTTCTGGTACCTGCAGTCTGGTGATTTCTGTGCTAGTCCAGTCGTGCTGTTGGTCAGCCCAGCGAGCCAAGCCCCGCCCCTTCGCTGTAGTTCAGTCACACGCTGGTCGGCCAGGACGCTCGCCATCAGCTGCCGGTGTTTGTCGATGCTCTGAGGAACGGTCTGGAGAACAAAAACATGTTTTTTAAAAAAGTTTTTCTTACCTTGAAAATATTTCAAAGCAAAAACATTTTAGTTTGTTTTATTAAACTTAATTTTATTTGAACCATAACAGAAAAAAGACATTTTTTCATACAGAGTAAAATATAAATAAAAAATACAAATAAAAACATTTTTTCCATTTTTACCACATTCGAGTTTTTGTTTCTTGCTGGAGTCGTAGAGCGTGTGTAAGTTTCTCCATTTCATAAAGCAAAATCATTTCAGTTATGATGAGTTTTTAACATTCTCTAAAGGAGGTCAAAACATCTGGAGTTTCAGTACCTTGATGTTATCCGGCATGGGTTCAGCCTCCATGGACTGCAGTGCCTCTTCTAGCAGAGAGAGGGCGCTCTCACAGCGCTCTGTCAGACTCTCCAGGCTCTGCATGCAGAAAAGAGCGAACAGATCAGAGTCAAATCTGAGATTTACTTCAGTTTTCAATCAAAACACCTGAACAGGAGAGTAAAATCGACGCAGGTTTATCTCTGATGTTCCTCTAAATCCCTCTCTGTGGGTTCATGAGAGAGTTCAGGGAACAAGAGCAGAGGACGGGGAAATGTTTTCATCTGTTTGGATAAAGTAACATAAACTGTCTGCTAAGAAGCCATTAAGAGTCCTTAGGCTTTCTCTCTTGATTTATAATACACAGCCGGTCCATCACAAATGTTTGCAATCATAGACGACACCCAGATGACTGCTCTCTCTCAGCCAACGCGCTCTTATCTAGACCTCCTCCTCTGCAAACTTCGCTCCCTCCCAGAATACTCCCTCAAATTTTCCTGGTTACTGAAAATCAAACAAACAATAAAATTTAGTTTCAAAGCTTCCTCCCTAAAGCTGCGGGCCTTCGCTTCATCCTCCATCCAAGAACTATGAGAATAAAAGTGAACCAAACAACACGACTACAAGGGTATATATGATCAAATACTGGTCGATATTAAATGATCCTCGCCTGGTGAGCGAAAAACTACTAAATACTGAGATGATATCTGTCAAAATACGATTACTCACTTGTCTGAAGACCAGCCAGTCTGCATGACAGTGTGTGAACTCTCCGTCCATCTCTGTGGGCAGCTGCTGCTTGTCCACATGCTGCTGGAGGACCACTGTTCCTTTAACTGTGTGGACCTGAACACAGCAGAGGGAGAGGAAACGGAGCCGTGAGAAAGCAGAGGAATCAAACTTTGACAGTGGAAATCATGGAAACCACAAATTCATGAGGAGAGCAGGAAGGGTTAAAAATAGGGCTGGGCGATAAACCGAAAATTTACCAAAAAATGTACTCACATTAAACAATTAAATTTTTTTTAATAAAGAAATGTGAAAATTAAGCCGTTCCTTTATTTTTGTACGAGATTTAACTTTACGTTAGGGCTGGGCGATAAACCGAAAATTTACCAATAAATTTACTCACATTTACTCACATTTTTGTAGAACTAATTTTGTTATAAAGAAATGTTAAAATTAAGCTTTTACTTTATTTTTGTACCCTAATCTATAAACGTTAGGGCTGGGCGATGAACCAAAATTTACCAATATCGACATTTACGTCAATAACCGACGTCATTTTGCCCATATGGGTATAATCAGTGTTAAAATAAAAGTTGGTTTTGGATGTGTGTAGGTAGGCTATGGTCTCATGTCCCTTTAAGATGCTGTCCTACGTCAGACACGTGACTCCGCCCCATCCAGTCCATAACAAAGAGGTAAAGACAGGTGAGGAGATGGAGGACGGCGACTGAAGTAGACGAAGTTAATGTAGAAGGGAGTGAGCAGCTTGTGGAGTAGTTATCGTCCATTTATCGTTATCGAGGTGAACTGATCAATATATCCTGATATTGATTTGAGGCCATATCGCCCAGCCCTACATTGAATACAGTCTGTTGTTGGCGAAGGTTTCCTGCAAGACCACTTTAACTGCATTCAGCAATGTGAGGTTTCCATGCGGATGTGTAGCTCTCTTAATTCACTCAAACTCACCGCCATCTTTATTGTTTATCCGTTTTCTTTAAAAGCACAATCATAACCTTCTGAAGTTGTTAAAAAAAGTACATCTTTTACGACAAATAACGTTATTAAGGTGACTTTGATTTGAGGTCATGTCGCCCAGCCCTGGTTAAAAATGAAAATATATGAAAACAGATGGTAGACGAATCAAAATGTGGATTTGGGGGTAAAAACTCGTCTCTAAATGCTTTCATGTACCCAAACATGTCTCTGTTTGGTACATATTTTACAGCCTTCACATTAGATAAGACCCTGTAATGTTTTTAAAAAGGAAAACAGAAGGGAAACAAATGTTCCTCTTCCACTCTTGCATAATATCAGCGATTAATTCACCCACAGGAACAGAAATAATTATCACCAAATCTCAACCAGTGCTGCTCCAACAGCTGTGTTTTCCTTCACTGTTTCACTTAAAATAACATGAAGTGTGTATGTACTAAAAGCAAAAGCAACCTGCTAATTAATACCCTGAATGAGCGTAAAAATTTGGGGTTATTTACAACCTTCCATGCGCCAAATGTCTGGAAATAAGGTTCATTCAGCTCGATGCATGACGTGGATGTTGGCTGCAGCTAAAAGCTTTTGTTAAAGATCAGATTTTAGCAGCGAACACAAACGAAGCACGGCTTGTGAATTTTTATTTTCACTCTGACTCTGTTTGCATTCCTCATATGAGCAATTATCCCTGTTTTTATGACGCTAATGATAATGGAGGTTCAGGGACTTTAATTCGGCTAATGTTCCACGTGGGTGTTCAATCTGCTCTCATATTCAGATGTGTAAACACCAGGATTCAAACCAAGCGAGAAAACATCCTCCTGGATCGTAAACTCGAGGGTGTAATTCGTGCGAGCTCACCTCTGCTCCTTCAAGATTCAAAGAGGAGGAGGAGGAGGAGGAGGAGGACTCCTGCTGCTCCTCCACCAGCACCAGAACAGACCCCAGGCCGCCAGGAACCAGCACCTGGAACATACAAAACACACACAAACATGTGCTTGAGCTTTGCTTTGCATCTGCAGGCTCAGACACGCAAACATTTGGCAGTTTTTGATTTTTTTATTTTTTTACTCACCTGGAACGATTTAAGCGCGGAGAGGCAGAGAGTGGAGGGCGGAGAGCGTCTGCTGTCCATTAGCACCGTGAGACCTTTTTCTTTGGCTGAAGGACTGATGGAGAGTGAATTCAGAGTTAAAACAAGAGGATTGTTCGGGGGAAAAAGTCTGTTATATAAAAAAATATCCCACAGTTTGAATCTAGAGGACATCCATCTTCTACAAACTTTCAAACCACTCCCTCTTTTTCTGATGTGTCTGATTTAACAAGTGTCATATGTTCTCTTATGGTGCATTCCAGTGTTGTTTTCGTTGACGATGATGTTAACGAAAATATTCTTCATAGCTCATGAATTTTCGAACTCTGTTCGTCGTCCACCACTGACATTTTCGTCTAGTCTCGTCTCGTCTCGTCAATGTAAACGCACATTCGTCTCGTCACATTTTAGTCATCTAAGACTTATGTTTAGCTCCTCACAGTGTTGTTTTTGTTGACGAAAATATTTGGTCAACGTCATCGTCAACGAAAACAACACTGGCGCGTTCACACCAAGATTAACCAAGCGAATAAATTACATGTTAGATCCATGCAAAGACGCGATTAGACACTCGTACTACTCTGGCGGCGCAAATGTTGTGACTTGAGCGGGCGCGAATTCGCGAGAGTTGAAAATATCGCAACTTGAGCGAATATTCACGTCACGATAACCAATCAGCGTGAAGATTCCCCTGTGACATATGAATACGGACCGGAAGACGTTCACTGGATAGAGCGCCTGTAATTGGTATCCTGAAGGGACATCCTAGCACCAACCCTTACCAACAGGTCATCAAATTGGGTGTAGGTAACCCGGAAATCAAGCTGGAACTGGCGCAGCTATTGGAGGAGACCCAGACACGGCGACACCAACATCTCCGACGGTTGTGGGTCTTCCACAACAAAAACAAAGCAGCAATCCGCTGAACATGGTCCACTCCTACCGTGCTTGATGGAGACTCTCCCCCTCTCTCGTATCCACGTGAGTGAGGAGGTCGGATTTTCTGGTAAGTTGTGAAAAACCGATGACTTTCACTTGATCCCACCGGTTGAATTGGCAAGGATCACTGTTGAACTTCGCATAAAGGACTATCCACGGCCTTTAAGCATCTAGATACGAATGTAGATGATTTTACTCGCTCTTGGTGTGAACGCGTCATTAACGTTGCATGCTGGGGGATTTTGCTGCTGCTCTCCCTGCCTTTGCTTTTCGTGTAAACCCATGAAACAGAGAAGAGATGTGCTTTCCCTTCACTCCTTACACTCTACAGTTTGGATTCATGATCAGCAGATGATTGTTTCTTTTCGTCAGATTTACGGCCAAGCTCGTAGTCGCTCTTTAAATTAAAGTTTGAATCAGTGTGTTGAGGTTTTCCAGCTGTTTGGCACATGCTCTGTTTTCCCACCCCCCCACAACCATCTACACTTGGCAAAGTCAGCAGAAAGCAAGTTGAGTCAAATGTAATTATGAAGCTCTTCTGGCTGAGCGAGCTTGCAAATGAGTGTCGTAATAAAAAGCACACGCTGACATGCCTCACATAAGGTCAGAGAGATTAACGAATTAAAGATACAGTTAGAGGTTTCGAGCGATAAAGGAAACGCCATATTGTGGCATCAAAGTGGATCTCTGCACAGACAGGTTTACAAGATCTACAAGCCTTACCGTGTGATTCTGTGGTAGCAGGCCAAAACCCGCGCCATCTCCTCCTCTGAGCAGCTCTCCTCAGATTTATCCGTTTCCGTGACGACCAGAGCACGCCCTAACCTGTCCACTGTACCTGCAGATAGAGAGCATCATGATTGACATTAAGAGACGTTTGAACATGCTGAGATCACAATCCGTAGCTTGATATTTGTTGCCACTTGCTAAACTGATGGATATCTGAGGTGTTACTCCTGGGTAGAGTTTCTCGTCCAAAAATCAACCACAACAAATACTTGAAGAGATTCTGCAGAAGCTCCTCAAGCATCAGAACGGACAGACTCACCTGTCAACTTGAACTTCCCCGACTGGAGAAGCTCTGGGTCCAGTTCTCTCAGGAGGGGAGGATCTTTAGATGCAGCACCGTTCACTTTGTCAGGACACGTCTCACCTGAACCTGACTCTTCATTCGAGTGGTTAAATAAAGATGCGCCTGATTGGCCGTTGCAGACAGGTAACGACTCTGCCTGTGTTTCTGTAAAGAGACAGAAACAAGGAAGTTAGAATCATCTGTGTGGTATCTCAAGACTCATGCATTACCACACCATCGTCTTCAGACCTTCACTAGTCTTCCTCTTGTCTTCTTTACCATCACTGGTCGAAGTTGGTACCCCATCAGGTTCATCCGCCTGTTCTCTTGACTCCAACTGGTTCTCCTCTGTGATTGGTGGATTCACCAAAGCAGAGGATGTACTTGGACTTGGTTGAGAAGCTTTACCCTGCTGTTTTGATCCCTTCTGGTGTGCCCGACCACCAGACCTCGCCCTGCTTTTGGCCCCTTTTCCCCTCCTTTTCCTCCTAGAGACAAAACAAAGGAAGCTCTAATGAAGGTTCATGAATTGTTCCACTTAGGATGATGTGATTTTTAACAAACTTTCCCTCAAAGGAGGTTGAAAAGGTTTATCTGTGAGGTTAGCTTCAGGTTTGTGTGTGCGGCGGTTCTCGAGTGGAGAGTTCGCGCCCAAGTGTTACCGATCTGAACCTTCATATGGAAGTGTGAAGATATAAACAAACAGAAGGACAGGGTGTGACCTCCCATAGGAAACAGACTCCTACCTTGGTGCTCTGAATCCTGCTGTTTTCACTTCCTTTCCTCTGGGACAGACTCTGTCCTCCGTCTTTCCAACATCCTTTCCCTCGGTAACCTTTGTGTTTGATGTGCTCTTCATTTTAGATCCACCTTTGGTACTTTCAAGAACTCCAGTGAAGGGTCTTTCAGGTGCATCTGATGTTGGGGTGGTGGCATCACTGTCCCCACTCAGTGGTTTATCAGTATCCTCAAAAACAGAGTCTGAATGAGATCCGTGATCCGATTGGCCTTCAATGACCTGTCCGGTTTTGTGGTTAGCCGTGTCGTTTATCTCAGGACCATCCCCACTTTCGGAATCTTTCGTAAGACTATCTCTTTCTTTGCCAACACCAGGTCTTCTTTCCTTACACGGACCATCAAAGTAAAGCCGTTGGCTTCCCAGGCCTACAGAGTCTCTGCTTGTTTTATCCCCTTCATCAGAGTCGTGAACAGAAGAGGAGTAAGACTGCCTCCCTCCTCTGGATTCAGCGACTCCTGATGGAGGCCGTGGTGGGGCAGTGTCACCTTTAGGGGGTGCTACTTCTCTTTTGGAACCAAGGATGGATCTAAAACTTCCTGATCCTTCCAGTCGTCCATATCCCCAAGCCTTCCCCTTCCTGAGTTTGATGGCTTTACCTCTCCTGACCAGAGGCAAAGTCTTGGTCTTGCAAATCCCATGCATCTCCAGGTACCTTTGTCTTGTATCGACCCCTCCATCAGGGCCCACTCTTGGCTCCAACAGCTCTACGTAGTCCCCATCCAGCTGTGGAAGCCTCGCTGTTCGCCCAAGCCCATCCTCACTTCTCCTTCGTCTAGGCTCATGAGCCAAGCCATCCGGCGGTAAACCATCGTCTTCCTCCTCATCCCAGGACCAGGAATCAGGTTCCCCAGAGGATGAGCCACCCCAGCCTCCTAGGCTGCTACCCCCCTCACTGGGTAGGCGGTTTTCGTGGTTGGACATCAGCTCCTCAGAAGGGTCGTGGATGAATTTTGGGTAGACGACCTCCTTCCAGGGGAGCCGCACAACACCATCACAGGTACTGACCAGGCAGGTGTCGAGTCCTCCTCCAACTACACAAAGACATAAAAGAACGATTTTACCAACAGGGAAAGAAACGTCTAGCCTTAGCTCAACCTGCTCTGATCTTTCGCTCCTCTTCTCTCTCTGGAAGACACAGTGTCCAACCTAGTCCTTACCAAAACAGGCTACCAACCCTAGATCTGCCTTCTTCTTGGCAAACCTCTACATACTCCACTCCCTGATTTTTCTATTTTCCGGTCTTTTATGGTGCATGTGGGAAAAAGTACTCCAGGGACACCAGAAATAACCGTTGTGTTTCCCTGAGTTGTTGCTGGCCTAACTTGGTGACGGGGTTGCTCATTGGACAACCGTGGTGATGTACTGGTTCCTCCCTACCATCCACCTTCCTGTTTGGATGGGGGACATTAAAGGCTATGTAGCAGGATTAGAGATTTGTCACCATCTAATACCAACAAAAATACGGGACACCCTTCCTTCTTACCTTCTCTCTTGTGGCCTCGTTCTTTGTTGATGCTGTGCAGCCACTCAGTCGTGAACACGAGGGGGTGCTGAGACTCAGGTACCAAGATTTCCTGAACAGTGCGCCCCCCGGGTGCCAGACATTTCAGGGCAAGCCGTGGGCAGCGAGTAGAGAAGGGCACCACCTGCAGGTAGAAGTCATTACAGCGCAGAAGCCTCCAGTCCAAGGTAGAGAGCTGGACGACCACCTTCTCACCGAGACACAGAGGCCAGCCGGAGTGAAGGAACAAGCAGCCGAGGTACTGCGACTGTGATGACAAGAGCAAAAGGAAAGGGGAGGATAATCAGTGTAAATAGAGTCTTTTCTTTGCACTCTTGCTTTTTGAGTCCTCTTTCACCAGACATGATCCAATTTTATGCTCATACACAATCTTCCGCTCACATTCACAAATCACAGCCCACATGAGCCAATTGGAGCCTGCCAGCATGTCAGCGCCCGGCTTAGTGATTCAGTGAGTCGAATTTCTAGAACTGATACCGCACCAGTCGACAGAATTCGCTAGATCAACTGGCCAAACGCCAGCACCAGATACAAACAGCAGACATGTGACTCAGGCAGTGTGAAAGTGCTTAGCTGGCATGACGCTGGCAGAAGAGTCTGGAGAGTCGGGGTGAGTCAGGAGGACGGATGACCAACACAACAACACAACAGCCAGCCACTGTTACAACAGCGCACTGTTTCAAAAGCAGAAAACACATCAAGAAACGTCTCCAGAGTGAGGAAACCGGTCTTAATCAGGCAACAGTGAGAAACACGAGTCTAAATTTAGAAAGTCTCACAAAAGACCAAAGAGTTCTGTGAATTTAGGTGAAAAGAATGAAACAGCACCTTAGTCCATCCGCCGTCCCCACCTTAATCAATGCTGTGTCAGATCTACAGTATATCCTCTCTCTCTCGCAGTCTAAAGGTAGAAGAACCAATCTCTGCTGCTCCCAGTCACATCTAATCGACCCACACAGGGCTGCTCTTGCTCCCCTTCGTGCCCTCCAGACTCACGAGTCGTGATCAAATTATATTCCTTACTCACTCTCTCTCTAACAACAACCCTACTCCACCTCTCTCTCTCTACCTTCTCTTTAAGCCTCTCTTTTCTTCGCAAAGTTTTGGAGGAAGAAAAAGTAGATTTTTTGTCAGGGTATTAAATCCAAAAAGGAGAAAAATGTTGAAAAAAAAAAAAGATTTTGTTTGTTTGCAAACTAAGGAAACTCTATTTTAGTCACTCCATACATTCAAAAAATCTACTTATTGCATACGTCAAACTTGAAGTTGCTGCTGAAATTAATGCAAACAAATCAGTGTGACTGAAATCTCGAATATGAGAACTTTCAACAAGTGAAGAAAGGATATAAAATCGAAACTTTCCTACTCCATGAACAAAAGGTACAGAATTGAAGATGTTGCAGTGTTTTCATCGTTCAACATACATCACGCTAACTTCTTACTAATGCGTATTTACAAGTTTTTTTGGACGTAATAGGTCAACCTGGAGACAACCCTGTGGTAACTGGGTGAACTTCTGACTATAATTCGATTCTTGTCCACTTAAATCGCCTATTCAAGATGTAACTGCATGTAAATGTACTCACTATATCGTCTTAACGTTGCCTCCAAAAACTGGCGATTTCTCAAATTTGGACATTCCTTTTGGAGACCATGTTTTGTGGTTTTACATGCAGAGGAACCACCTGATTTGTTTTAAGTGTACAGTTCAAAAACTAGCATCTATGATGTGCAAGTGTCTACGGCATGGGTTGCTCACGTATCTCAGAAGACGCCATTCATGCTGAATGACACTTAAAAGTTTTGGGGCAACAGTTTATGCATGTATTACAACAGTGTGACTCTGTAGTAGAAGAGTCTGGGTCCTTTTGATGGATGCATCACAAAAAAACAAGAAATACAAAAAGGGAGGCGCCATTTTTAAAACTGCAACAAAATGTCAAACTTGTCCTTTCCTGACTTTCTTTTGAAACCTGTTTCAGACATTGAATCTTAAAGTTGGAGCTGTAGCTGTTTAAACCATGAGTAACCTTTCCTCACTCTTCTGAGTCAGCCCACACTCTCTAACCCTCCTCCCTCCTCCTCCTCTCCCTCTCCCTCTCCCTCAATGCCCCCCACTGTTTGCTCCATCCACCACACCTACCATTTCACAAAAATCCCTCAATCAGTCCACTATAATCCACACAGGCCTGCATCTTCCCCTCTCTGAGTACACACGATCACGCACACATGTGAATGGATTCTCCCACTGCCTGCTGTCTGCTCCTCTCTCTCTCTCTCTCTCTCTCTCTCTCTCTCTCTCTCTCTCTCTCTCTCTGTCTTTCTCTCACACTCACATATGGAAGGAATTATTGCTATGACTCACAGTCTAACTCCCGTCCCAGGCAGCTCTACTCAGCGACAATGAAAACATAGTTTGCTCACAATGCCAATTCCTATGTGTGTGTGTGTGTGAGACGAGGAAAACCTTAAAGGGGAAATATGAGACAGCTCTGCACCTCCAAGCTTCTCCTAAACACTGTGTGTGTTGTTTACCCGTCTTTGTGTTGGAAAGCTGAACTAAAGGAATGCGGTTGGATATAAACATAAATCAAGAAATGCACGAGAGCGATGCGAGGACACGACGTCGAAATTGCACAGTTTGCATAACGTATCTTATTTCGTACTGTTTTCATGCAAAAATTGCAACCAGAGCTCTTTTTATTTACGCTTCACTTCACTGCGTTTCATTCATCTCCGTCCATTCAGCGCAGCTTCCAAGACAGGAAACCACCTCTTTTGTCTGCGGGTCACAGCGGCTGGTAAATCTCAAATTTCACCAGCCACTTTCGCTCAATTCAACGGCCGTGTTACAGCTTTAGAGCAGACCCGACCCTCCGCAGCGCAGTCGGGTCACACATGTGCCAAATTATAAATGCCTTGAACTTCCCTTCGCACCGGTTCCTCCCTGTTATCTGGAGCTGTGAAACCAGACTGAGAACTTGTCAAGGAGATTTAAAGGCACAAGAGTGAAGGGCGGGGATTGACTTTGACTCCTGCAGGTCTTTAGATCTGATTAAAGCTCCTGTGAGGAGTTTTTTTTTTTTCTCACACTGACACCTTTTAATGAGATATAAAAGCAAACAAAACCATCTGCAACAGGACTGACTGTTTCTTCATAAAACCAGTCAGTGCGTTCACATGTACAGCTTAATCGGACTAAGCTCATGATTCGTTTTTTTTTTCGAACTTCTCTCCTTGTCCGCTTTTACATGCAGCTGAGAAAATCGGGTTATTGACGTAGACGTGTCCTCCTCCCCAAAACTAGGGGGCGATATGGGTCTTTTCAGCTGCGCTGTTTTCCGTTGACCCAACAACAGCAGCAGGTCCGTGCCAGACGTCAGAGGTAGCTACAACTGCTGCTCCGCATTTTCGAGCAAGAAGATGGAGCCATCGTACAGCGTTGATTTTGTCGTACTTTTTCTTTAGTTGAGATGCACGCTACTCCTCTTCTCTGGTGTTTTTGTTCTGAGGTTACAGGGGTGTGGTGCAAGCGCATACGCATTGTCCGATCATACTCCGACTACGCTGGTTACATGGTAGAGAAAATTGAATTCCAATCGCATTATCTGGGTGTCTTAAGGTCCTTACACACCGGGAGAGTTTTTTTTCGTACGATTATTTTGGACGTCAATATTTTTTTTCGAACCATTATCCTGTCAATACAAGCGTTCACATCAGCGACGTTTTCCCGTCCTGCGATATTTCGGCATTCATGTTTTCGTATCACAGTCGATTTTTCTAAAGTTTTGCATACTGTCTGTCCACTTCTGACCAATCAGATTTCGTGTTGTTGCGACGTCAGATTCACTGGTATATCCAACATGGCCGACCGGCTGATTGTTTACGTGTCAGAGAACAGAGGGATTTTTGATAAAAAACACAAATGTTACAAAGATAACGACCTGAAGGACGACTTGTGGAGAGTCATAGCGTCGGATTTCTCATATGATGATAGTTTGTGCGCTTTAACAGTTTGCTAAACGTCTTTGTTTTAACTTTCATCTGTGCTAAGTAACTTTAGCTCGTAAGCTAAGAAACAGCTCTGCTTTTACATTTTCCACATCAAACATTCATCGTAATGATATATTTATTCATCAGTGGTTGGCAAGATGACATTTTTGTGATAAGACAATCTGAGTAAAGGATGTTAAGTTCCTCACAGGAGCTTTAATTACACTTTTTTAAAATCTAAACTAAATGCATTTCATTCTTTTTTATGTTTTTATCTCTTCTTTTACTGTTTTAATTAAATTTACTTTACTACCATTCATGCATCTCTACTAATCCTGTTTCTTTCAATGAAAATGTCCCATTTTATGTCTTTTTTTTTGCTGTTCAGACATCATTTAAAGCACTTTTAACCGTGTTTGACTTGTATGAAAAGTGCGATATAAATAAAGTTTGATTGATTCCTTTAAACTTGGCGTTTTCCCGTGTTTTAGACTTGGCAAATGTAACAGCTGACAGTCCTCCAACACTGTATATTTTCTCAACGTCTGATCGATTCTGCTTTGAATTAAACATCTTGTGTGTGTGTGTGTGTGTGTGTGTGTGTGTGTGTGTGTGTGTTTCCTTCCACATCGTTTGCATTCGGGGACTCACACAGGCGTGCTGCTGGAGTTTGTGCAGGAGGTGCTTGGCGGGGACAAAGTAATCCAGGAGGTATCGAAGACTGTCGTGTTGATAGGTGGACTCCAGGACTGAGAAGACCTGTGAGAAAAAAGAGGCGAATAATGAACAGATTCAAGTCAACCGCCTGTGGGAAACTCTCCGACTTTGAATCTTAGTTTCTCATCCGCTGTGATCGATTTCAGCTCGGCCGCCACGCCGTTTCGAGTGTATCTAATGGATTTCAGGACAGGGTGGAACAGTACCCTCGGCTCAGACAGCATGTAATCAGAAATAAAACAAGGAAATCATAAAGGCTGCACGATTGTTTGTGAGACCACCAAATTCCCATGTGTTGTTAAGAAGATAGTCCAAATTTGCAGCTAATTTCGTGGCCCTTTTATGGGAATCTTGTGACTTTTGTTCTTTAAATATGAAACAGCTCTGCCCTTAAAATAAATGTTATGACGCAAAAGCAGAAGTTGTGTTGAAATTTGGGTAAAGCAGGTCATAAAAAAGCCTCTTGTTAGAGGAAGAGGGTTTGGCCGTAACGACCATCTGGCTGGATTTGTTTGTGTTGGCTCCTGCAGCCGTTTATATCAGGAGGGGGAAATCCACATTATCTGCACACTGCATCGCCGTTTACCCTTATCATTTAATTAAATCTGCATTGTTTACGTTGCCTGTTTGGAGATAGAAAAAGGTGTGTGGGTGCTACCTGGGAGAGGAGAGGCGGCGCTGTGCTCTCGAAAGGGGGATAGAGCGACGAGAGCGCCCCCTGCACGCAATCCTCCATTGCCTCCGAACCCTGAGAAAGAGACAAACACACAGAGAAAGGGTTAATTCTTAACCGGACACTGCGTCAGCTCTACTGTCTGTGTTTGTGTTGTCTCTAGATTTTGCTGACGGACACATACACGCGCATATTCTACTCTTAAACTTCCTGTTGCACGGTCTGGGGAGTGTCAAACGTTTCCCTCCGAGGGGCCGTAAACGTAACGACCCCTCAGAACAAAAGAGTCGAACCACGTCAACATGTTAACTCCCCGAAAAAAACACACTCACGCCATTCATGCACGCACATCATAGGAGAGGGCCGTCCCGCGAAGGCGGAGGGTGACAGAGCAGTGCATGCAACACATTAACTGTTTATTTTTCTACATAGAGCGTTGGCATGGCAACCCGCGACTTTTTTTCCAACTTCCCCGCAAACTTCCCAGCTGCTTTTTTCTCCCTCTTTCCCAAACTTTCACCCCCTTTCGCAGCTTTTGACTCTCTGATTTCTTTTCACCCGACGTTCTTTGTTTCACCTCTTGAGTGTCATCTGACAACAATTACGCCAGGATTCACTTCAACAGACGGCATATTGTGTGCTCCATTACTACAACAGCCGAGGGATAGAAAACCCAGGAAAGGAGAACATGGTGTACGGAAAAACAACAGAGCGGCTGCAGGGAGAGAGAGGGGCCAGGAGGGAATGAGTTGTCAGCGGTGTTAGTCGGGGGGTTATGGAAGAAGAAGACCCAGGTTCAACAGTATTTGGGAATTCGTTTTGTTTTTGTGCAGCAGAGGGGGGGTTTGGTGAACCGCAGAGGAGGACAGAATGAGTCGAACAACCACAAATGTCTTTGAAACAAACTGTTTTTTTTACAGCTTATGCAACTTCTGCTTGTGCTTAAATAATTCAACAAATGTGCTGCTCAAACTGAGGTTAAAACAAATGTCAAGTCTCATTTGGAAAGGTTTTTTTGACCAAAGTCTGAAAGAGACGAGGAGGGGGGATGGAAATTTAGCCGCGGAAAAGGTCAAGTCGTCATACAGTGTGATAGAAAAACAGAAAAACAGGAAAAAGGCCATAAAACTGTTTTGTTTTTAGATTAAAACCTGCACAGAAAACTGTCAAATACAGCTTCAAACGCATTGAATGTTAGCTAACGCGCCAATTTAATGCTAACATTTACAGCAATTGTTAAAACAGCAACCTAAACAGCCGTTAATGTGATGGATGCTACTAGCAGCTCGCATTATCACTAGCATGGCGAAAGAAGAACTGGCATTAGCTTAAAGGCATGGTTGACGATTGGAGATATTGGTAATTGTTGTGAACCTCGTTTCTATGGTGATCGTCGTCCTATAGTGCGATCGCCACAAAGTGAAGAGAAAAAAGAACGGAAAAAATCTGTTCACCCTAGCAGGTGCAGGGCTGCAAAAACATTGACCAATGGGAGCCATCCGTCCCGGACAGCTCCTATTGGTCGATCTCCTGCTCAGCCTCTCCATCCAACCACCTCGCTGTATTCGACACACCCTTTTCCTGTAGTTCCGACTCATCCCCTCCCACTCCCCCGGCCCTCCTCGGAACTCTGAGTGGCTAAAAGTAGCGTAGCGGCTTAGCTACAGGAGCTGTGATGGAGAAGGACGCAAAAAAAACACTTCTGCTCGCCCCAAAAGAAAAGGCGGAGTCAAAGAGGAAATGTGACCAAGCAACGACTGTAACTCGAATAAACATCAGGTCATCCTTTGAGTGGTGGAGAAAGCTTGGCCAGGATTTGGACCTGAAAACAGACGCCTGTTTTTGTTGAACAGGTCATTTTTATCACCTTTTATTGTGGCACATGTTACATAAATAACTCTTATTAGTCTCTGCAATGTCAACACAGTAGCTGTCCGGGCAGCTGCAGACAGTGCTTGCTAGCAGAGCTGGCGTTTACTGCCGCTAGTCACTCGCAATCCGACATCGTGAATCCGATTTGAAGTTAGCATAGGATCTTCTGACGGCCGGCTTCTTGCTCTGCCAGAGGGGGTGTGTCGTGGGGAGGGCGATACAGCTTCTGGAGGAGTGGGACGCTTTTTTCAAATCTGCCTCAACGGCTCTGCTTTGTTCAACTGCTTCTCCAGTCGTCAACCACGCCTTTAAATAGCGTACAGCGTTTGCAAACATAGTGCTAGCAGAGTGTAGCATCGGTCAAGACTCCAAGTCCAACTGTGCTTGGAAACCTGCTCTGCCGAGGTTGCTCAAGGTAACTCGAAGGGGATGTTTGTTTCTGTTTCCACTGGGCTGCAGAGAAAACGCTTCGACTGTGACTTCAGCTCTTGCGGCACCAACCAACAGCAGGAGAGTGGCACTGCCGGGCACAAACTCAGGCAGCTTTATTTTTTTCCATGGTAACAGAGGAGTTCGGAGTGAAGCTTCAAGGCAGTTTGTAGAGAGGGGGGAAAAAGACAAATCTTATATAAATGTTCTGTAATACAGCTTTAGGGTCATGTGAGTCTGTTGGCTCCTCGATGAACAAAACCACAAAATCACCAAGAGAGAGAGAGAGAGAGGCTTTGGTGGAAACTGGATATTCAGTGTTTTGTTTTTTTTTGCAGAAGAAAGTTGCAAATCATTCCCATTTACCTTAAGACGCGCTAAAACTTTGTCAAGTTTGGCATGCAGAGAAGTTTTCCATGTCATAAACCACTTTTAGGAGCCATTAGTTTGATTAAAGTATACTCTGTGTGCAGCCCTTAAATTTACGGTTATGTTTTCTATTAAAACAGTTGCTATAGATACCCTGAACTCTGAAACCAACAGCAGATTAGCAGACTTGATTTTGTGTATTTTTGTAATTTGGGTTTGTCTGAATGGAAAACTGTAAAAGGATCATAAAAACTCTTTGGTGAACGCTTCAAACTTTAAAAATAGTGAAATGAAACTTTGTGCCGTGAGGACGTCTTTACATCACGTTCACAGTAGGAAGTGTAAAAGTGAGCATTCAACAGTAAACACCCGTCTGGTAGAGAGAGCATGTTGTAATAGGTATGTCGGCTGTAAAACAAGCTCCTGGCTCACTGACAGAACATATTGAGGGCAGTAAAAGCACAGCAGGGGGTCCAGAGGATTGGGAGGCGAGCCAGTAGGAACTTCCTCTCGTTCTCAAGTACCTTTAAAGTGTCCCGCAAGACTTATTACAGCACAGCCCTAAATTACCTGAAAAGTTAAACATAACAAAGCAAAGCCTCTAGTGTCTGTTCATGTGGGTTTTCTTAAAGACTCGGCTCTTTATGTGTCATCAGACCGGCTGTGAATACCAGAACAACAACACTTCAAATGTGGTATGACAAAAAACACACAAAGGGCTGAATACTGCGCGGTTTAGCTACTTAACACTTGTGGTTTAAACAGTTTTAGCCAATTGGGAGTGTTTTTTTAGCTAGCTAATTTTTTAGAGAAGCTAGCTAACTGTAAGCGACAAAATTTTGCTAAAAAGTGTGATCACGAAATTTCCCCTCAGAGCTGTTTTTGTGTTTTCAGACCCGGATAAATGCACATTAGCTAAAAGTGGTGTTGCTTTTCAAACTACATGAAAACGACAAGAAAAACCTGCAAGATTCATCATTTTTAAGTAAAACCGGGGTAACTCCTTTAGCGCCAAACTTTGTCAGGTTTGTTTCAAGGTAAAAGGTCAGGACTATTCACAGATATTTTACTCCTTCCTAACCTAAAGTTAGCAGCGCAGCTAATGCAATCAGCCCTTGTCCTGTTTGATCACAGACCTAAACACTGACATGAAACAAAGACGCCTTTATAGAATTTGTAAATTAGATTTCCTTTCAGACTCCAAGACAGAAGGAGACTCTTATGTTTAACCTGGTGCCTCTGCTTTAACACACTATTCAGTTACTCTTCAACCGGAGACAGGTTAACGCTTACTTCTCACAAGTCCTCCAGGAAAATGCACGATTAAACAAAACAAGAGGAGAGCTTTTACATTTAAAGGGAGCTGATATCCTATCTATGCTTTTATTCTAGACTGTATAAGCTTTTGGTTGACCTAGCAAGAGGTTAAGAGGCGAAGTTGAGAAAGGCCTTTAGCCTCCTGGTGAAAAGTTTGTGGTCCATGGTGGTATTTGTACCACATTTGTATTTTGGACTTTGTCAATGTAAATATTTATATTTTGCTAACAATTTGCAATTTAACATGAGAACTAATGGGAATTCTTGGTCTATTCAAGCCAGCCTCTAGTGGACACTCAAGGAACTGCAGCATTTTTGTCAAAAAAATAAATTCTGTTTGTAGCACGGCTGCTGTCAATGTTAAAATGACATACTGGTCTGGTTAGAAATGTTTAACTTCGATAAACAGTCAAGATGACCTTTTTTGGGCTAGCATAATCGCTTGTTGTTTTTGCCAAATGATTGACTTTAAAGGACACAGAATATGCCTTTTTTGTTGCATGATGGTGCAGCTTGGAATATAGCACAATTAAGTGCATCATGGCCCGGCTTAAAAAGTCTTCCAATTGGGTTAGGAGTTTGAACCATAGCATCTTTCGCCCGTCCGGTAGCCTAGCCTTTCACGTGTTGACACTCGTGGCTACTATGGGCAGCAAGAGCATATTTCTCGTCTCCAGAACTACCAGCTACAAACTTGCGGTTAACTTCTTACTCATTGGGTCCACTGTTATTTACAGCCTGTGGTTATGAAGCCACCGGAAAATGTGTTCATGCAGCACGTGGATTGTTGGTGGGGACGTCCAGAGCATGAGTTTGCATCCTCCTGTTTGTGTCAAATATGGAGACTCAATTGGGAATCGGGGTATGTCACCATTCTTGCGTCAGATTTCCTGTCTTTCTCTGCTGTACACAGACTGAAACGGAAGAGGTGGCTGTTGTCCCTCGAACAGATGCTTGGCATGAACGCAAAAATGGAGAAAAAGAGGAAAAGTAGTTATTTACTTAAGAAACAAAGATAAAGTTAGAGTTCAAGTGGTTTTGGCAGATGTGAAGCACTTGGACTGTCGGAGTGTGCGAGACTCCAATATTAAAGATTTTAAATGTGACATGGAAACATTGAGAGAAGCAGACGGCCCAACGGAGACTCAAAGTTTGAACAAAAAGAGGGGAAAAGGAAAGAAAAGAGGAGGAGGCTGACCGGTGGGAGAGATCGATGGGAAACAAGAGCAGCAGCAACCATGATAGAAACCAGATGTAGACCCCTACAGTACACGAAGAGGACGGAGAGAGAGAGAGAGGAAGACAGCAACAGGAGAGAGCTGGAGGAGGGTGGGGGTGACAGTAGATGACATGATTAAGGGAAAATATGAAAAGGATGCAGACAGGGTGAGAGGGAACAGAAAGACGACAAGGTGGTGAAGGGAGGAGGCAGGAAAAAGAGACAGACACAGACAAAGAGAAGGGAGGATGGAGGAGAAGAAAGAGGAGAAGCCTGAGACTGATTTCCTCTCCTAAATCTTATCCAATCCCAACCTGACCTACAGTAGGTCAGACAGCTCGGCTGGAGCTTTTACTGATTGTTTTAGACCACTTAAGTGCTGCAGTCTGCCGCTGAATAGCGTGAGAAGGCGAGTTTAACAGCAGACCAGATTTCACATTACGGTTTTCTGATATCCTTATGGTATAATATAGGAAAAGAACATTTGATGAAGTGATGTCACATTTATCTGCGTGAGTGTGAAATTTCCAAGCGGCTATCAACGGCCAGGGTTGGGCGATTACTCAACGCTCAATTTCAGCCGCGATTTTCACTGAGGCTAACAGATTACTTCACCATCTGCTGTGTTGCACTTGGGTCGCTTCAACTTGCAGCGGCAATGAGGAGTAAGGGTGACCCCAAGAATGAAGTGAATGTACATCCACTACTTTGGGAACATTCTTACTTTCAGCAAAATGAAAAAGGAGAACCAGATTATTTAGAAGAGACCAAAATGTAAAAATCTGCGCCAGAGTCTCCATGAAACAGAGGAAGACATTTGATGGTCAACATGAAAACCTACCGTATTGATAAGGCGCACTGGATTATACGGCGCACTGTGAATCAACATGTCTATGTTCACACATTAGGCGCACCGGATTGTAAGGCGCATTAAGCATTGATTGGTTCATTGTTGCTAGCGCGTACCGTCAGGCAGTGTTGTAGACTGCTCAGGGGTTCTGTTACAGGGCTAATCAGGTTGTGACACAGTTTCCCATAATGCTCCGAATATCCATTGAGCAGAGCGGCTTTGTTCCTTACAAAAGTAGTACATGTATGTCGTGTATGTCATTGTACCACATAAAATTGGTCAGTAAGCACAACAAGTAATCAAACATAAGGCGCACCGCCAAATTTTGAGGAAATCTAAGGATTTTAAGTGCGCCTTATAGTCTGAAGAATACGGTACTTAAAAACGAAAAGAGGTTAACCTGTGAAAAGTCCTACTGCCATAAACTCCCCTCCTATTCTAGATACCAGGAGGAGGCAGGTGTTTTTTTGCATGCGCCTGAAAAGCAAAGGGACAGAATGAGCACGACAAAGGAGAGGCGACAAAAGGAGTGTGCACGAATGCCAGGGAGCTACGGAATTAACGCACGGTTCCTTTCAGTACTGTAACTTATCATTCAATCCAGTTAGACAGGCAGACATGCCCCGGACCGTGATGACTGATTCAAAAGTATCAACATGAATTGCTTTGGCGCCCAATAACCGATGATAAACTTTGCATTAGAAAGCTGCGCTTTTGTGTCTTTGTGCACCGCACACGTCGGAGACAATCACAGGAAAACACAGTGAAAGATTCCTGTGACTGACAGCATCACATAGGCGGTCTGGATTGTTACAGTGCTGTTATCTCCACCCGCCTGGTCTGCCATGTGGGTCAAAACAAACACAGGGAATCATTAGCGGTAACTTCCACCAGTTTCAGTTGCTGTTTCCCGGCCAGACTCGAGGCTGGTACACACTAAATGTTCCACCAGACTGAGGAGAATGGAAATACCATCTACTACATATGCTTGGCATTTTATGGAGCACTGTTAAGCGCAGTATAACTCAATGTCCATGACTGTTTGTTGATACATTTTAACACCTATGTGCATGTGTTAGCAACAGTGTTTGTACCCGGATGCATGTACGTTTTCATTCGTACACTTGTTGTTTGCTTGATAACACCTCTGTTTTGAGCATTTACAAACTCATTCTGCACAAATTTGACGTTGCTTTGCGTACGCAACTTGACATCTGTTGCTATTTTCCACCCAACTTGTTACTGAGGAGGACAAAACTGTACTGCACATGTTCTTCCCCCCCTGAAGTCCGTGCCATCCCTTGTTCCCCCTCTCTTTCGCTTTTTTCAGTCTCTTCTTTTCTCTAAGGCCCAATGTGGAAAATGCGGCATCACCGAAACCGCTGCTGCCGCCGTCCAAGTCTCCTAAAATAAAAAAGAAACCCTACCCTCCTCCTTTATTCCGCTCTTTCCTACTCCATCTCCCTCTCTCTGTTTTTTTTCTCTCTTCCTCTCTCTGCCAAAACGCTCCACCCATACCAAACATACAGGAGCAAGAATATGACCTCCCTTTAATTTCTATCTATCTTGGATTAATTTCCCCGCTCATGTGTCTGCCTGGCTGTCTCTCTTCTCAGTTTCTCTGCCTCCGCATGTCACTGATCACACCAGAGTGGGTGGGGATGGTAAACAAAATCCCTAGAGATGCAACAGAGGGCTCTTTTTCTCTTGTGATTCCCTTCCCACCACAAAACTCAGCTAAGTCACACAACTTAAATCATGTCAGAGTGATTTGTTGCCGCTGGGGTTTTTGACTGATTTGCAAGTGCTGACTTAACAAGTGCATGTCTTTGTGAGAATCTGATTTAAGACAAGTCTACACAGTAATGATGCTGTTGGAGGTTGTGGAGCAGATGTGGAGGTCTCAAGTAGAAAACAGAACTCAAAGTCATGTTTATGTTTGTTTACAACACAAATTCACGAGTAAAACCTACACAAATGAAGAGTTAAAGTAGGTTTAAAAGTATGTAGAGGCCTTTTTTAGCAGTAAGTTATCACATTTTAGGCACACAGCTGTCTGTAACATCAGAAAAAGGGACTAACCATGACTTCAGTCAGGAATTCCTACATCGTCCTCTTCTCCTTTCCTGCATGTGTTTCCTCTCTGCATTCTCCACGAAAACTTTCCCCCTCTCCGGTTTTATCGCACTGCCTCCATCACCCAAACTTCCACCGATACTTTTTCGCCTTTTAACGCCGTTTTTCGGGGGGGATTCCGGCGCGTTGAAACAGCCTCTCGTCTCCTCTAACCCTCCGCTGGATCCCGCAGCCTGGGAATGTCCGAGCTACATATTTTCCTCCCCTCTTCCCCTCGTCGTCTGCCCGGCAGTCCCACGCACTCCCACCGCCCCTCTTCTCCTCCTCCCCTCCTCCTCTCTCACCTAACAAGAGCTCCACAGTCCCTCTCTCCACTCAAACTTTCCATTCCCCCTTCAGACTAACTTAAATGAATAGACAATGAAAAAGCCGTTACCCCACCCAACATAACAGCGTAAAAAACTCTGTAATATTTTATTGTTGGCCATTAGTCTAATTGCGCTGTGGGAGATATTCGCCTTTAAACTTCGCTTGATGAAAAGCTTTAGTGCAATTATAGAAATTTCTCTACTGAGATCTCTTTCATGTAAACAGGCGCCAAAATACCTCATAATAAAAGAAAACCATTAACATTTTACAAACACACCCAAATGCTTTAACGACCACTTCAGCTTTAGCAGGATGGATCTACCAGAACACTGAAGAAGCTGTTAGCTAACCGAGAAAAGTTCCATACTGCTGATTTGTGCGTTAGGACAGGGGCACGTCCAAAAGGGGGGGCTATGACCTAAGTGAATCCGGCCACCCCAGTATCTTTAAAGGGATATTCCGGCGTAAAATTAATATAGGGTTAAACACACTGTAACACCGAGTTAGACACCCCCTCAAGAGATGAATGTTGCTGACCGCTTCCTCTGCTAATTATACCAATTTAGTAACGATCGCACGATAGCAATACTTAGGGGTCAGAGGAGCCATAAACAAACCTCGACCAAAACGCCACAAATAATGATCAGAACAGCACCTAACTTCATCAACAGTGCATATAGGGTCCCAGCCATAGTGCTAGCCACCTAGCATCTTTTTAGCTTTGCCTGATTTCTTGTTGGTAGCGAGACCTCAGGCCAGTCCATCAACTACAGTGGGGTGACGCAGCTCAAGGAAGAACATTTATGATCATTTCTTCATGGAAATGCAATCAGACCGAGTTAGGTGCTGTTCTGAGCATTAGTTTTGGCTACAGAGTAGCGTTTTGGTTGAGCGTGGCTCTCTGTATTGCTATCGCGCGGTTGTTACTAAAGCTGGTGTAACTAGAGAAGCAAGCAGTCGGCGACATTTATCTCTCGACGGAGTGTCTAACTTGGTGTTAGTATGTTTGACCCTAAGTTAATTTTACGCCTGAATACTCCTTTAACTCTGGTTTACACATCAGCATTGACTCTGTCCTGTACATCAGTGTAACTCTGTACTTAAGCGACCATGCATTTAAACTAGCGTTCAACTAATCACAATTTTTCTACAGCCAATGCCGACTCCCAATATATGATGCTGATATGGCATTCTTTTTTCTTTTCCCTTTTCTCATATTTAACAAAATACACCGATCTAGTAATACTAAAGAATAAGAAACAACATTGCTGAGCACTAGCGAACATTTAAGTAACAGTAGACAAAAAATTATTTGCTTGGTAAAATATTGCCACATAGAAATTTTGGACGTCTGTCAGGCCATCCTAAAACATGATAATAGAAACAAAAATCAAAGCTAAATACTATGATTAAAATCAAGAAAAGTCAAGTCAAAAACTTTTTTGAAGAGCTCTAGAGTACAAGAAAAGAGGATATGCAACCATATGGATTTTGCGTACTTTTTGAATAACTTCAAATATTCTCTCTAGATCCTCAGCATACTATCTTGATATTTCAGAATAAGAAAGCTGATTTCATCATTATAAGGTGTAATATTTTAATGACTAGAAAACTCATCAACAGACCGGTCACTTTGATAGGCCAGACCATAAAAAGCTAATGAAAAAACAAAAAAACAAACTAATGAAAACTGTGCGATTATGCCGTCCAGTCAAGCTGCAGTAGAGACATGTTTCTGCCACGGTGGGAGAGACATGAATTTTCCCATCAGTATAAATATAAAGTCACGTTTTTTGGCTGAAGTTGCCTTAACTCACCACTTCTTAAGCCTTTTACAGCCTCATTGCTCCATAATGATGCCACACGGGTTGCTCTGCTACTGCCAAATATAAACTCCGCAGTTTGTTTATAGACCGCTGTAATAAGTGAAGAGATGGAGCCAGATTAAACATGCACTACAGTTGTTCAACAGCGCCCTCTTGTGTTTATTAAGTGGCATTACAAATACAGAAAAGACAGTCCCCTATTCCTTTTAACAAGTACTGTACCTGATATACAACCCCAGTTCCAAAATAGCTTGGTAAAAAGTTAAAATGGATTTTTCAGAGGTGACTTTAACACTTCAGAGTCATATCTGTTTTTAACACAGTGCTGCCTAAGGACTCAAAAATCAGTAGTTTTTTTTACCTTATCCTAAAAATTTTCACATTATGCCCTCTAGATGATGATCTCCCTAAATTCTTTATGAAACATTATTTTGCCTGTTGAACCATTTGCTCACACAGTCTCTCATAGAGTGATAAATCTTATCGTGTCCTTACTCAGACTCTGCCTCTCTGGAATGTTCTTTTTAAAACCACATAACCAACCTGTTGCCAATTAACCTTATAAGGGTTTGTTCCTCCGGGTGTTTTTGGTTTCTCGTTTTGCAATACCCAACTTTTTTTTTTTTTTCCTTGCTGAAACTTTTTTTATGTGTTGACGAGATCAAATTTAAAATAAGCATACTCAAAAAAAAATTGCCTTTTATTTGCTTACTGATTGCTTAACGATTTGCATGTCAACCATCAGAATCTGTTAAAAATTTAAGATAGCACCTTTTTTTGGAATTGGGGTTGTATACAATTAAAATGAATAAACTGAACATTATAAGTAAAATTTTATCATCTGTAGTTTGTACAGTGTGGATTATAGTGATGTGTGTTTCAGAGCGTGATAGAACCAGTGTACTAGACCAGCACACCCATGCAGACACGCAGCAAAGAAACCATGCACAAGGACAAGAAAAACAGGGTAAATCCCCGATCCAGTCCTGCCTCTGGGTGTGCCTATCAGTCATGTGTCGTTATGTCTTTATAACAGACACACCTGTATCAAAACTGAGATCTTTTGTCAAATCTGAAACTGGGACAGAGTCTGTCAACTGCAGGATTGTGCCACACCTAATCTAAGGCACTGTGTGTAGTGACATGTGTCTTCACTGTGTTTGTCCCAGCTTGAATTAACAGAGCAGTTTGAAAGTCCCAAAGAAGAAATAATAGTTTTTTGACCGACTTGAACAATTCAAGCACCTATCTTGATTTGGACAGAGATACCTCTTATCTCTTCGCTGATTTCCTCCAAGTTGTGTTTCCAATATATTTGCTGTGTAAATAAATGCAGTTTCTATAGCATGATGACAAGGATCTAGTCTGACACCTACGCCCTTTCAGCAAATTCAGGCATAAAAATTACAATATAGAAATGTTCAATCTTGTTCCGAACGGTCCTGTTTCTTTTTTTCCCGCCTGTTTAACAACCAGTCAAAAGCTTTAAAAGTGCTTTTATTTTAAAGGTTAGTCAAAAAACACAGGTATCAATTTTCCACAATTTTAATCCAAATTCGTCCATATGATGATATTGATGTGTTCACCTGCCACTTTTCATATGTCAGTCCCGCACTTCTTGTGGCCTTCACTCTGATGAAACTCCTGGGGTCATTTCCTTATTTAATATTTGTTTAAGTAACTTCTTAACTAGGCTGACTGTTCAGTTTGCTTAGCAATAAAGCACACACAAAAACGATCAAGGGACATTTTGCCGGTTTGTACTTGTTTGTACTGCTGTTGTCCTTCGTTAGTAAGTATAAGTTATGTCTTCATACTTTTTAAAGTGTAAATCAGTAGTTCTAGCTAAATTAAAAAGAAATTATTCAAAGAAAATACAACTGACTCATCAACTGAAAACAGATGACTTCATGAGATTAGAGCAACTCACACCTGCTTATTTAGAGCATGAACTACGCCTTTGTCAAACCCAGGTACACGAGATAACAACAACAACTTGAAGAGCAAGTCAAACACCAGATCACATGAGACAAGGAGCAGAGAGAGTTTATAATGATTGCATTGACTCATAAAAGGTGTCCCATGAAGAGGATGAGAGTCAGGCACATGGAAACCTACTTTTAAAAAGATAAAGCTGTGACACAGAGGCTAAAACTTAACCTTGGGAAATGAACATTTTTACACCTGAGTAGGAAAATGTTGGTGTTTTTACTCATTTTTCAAGATTTGGACATAAAAAAATTAAATCCCTTAAATTTAATATCTCCTATGCCCCAAATCATTTATAACCTTCAAGGCTGCAGTGGTAGTACTGTTTTTTTGCAAAATCCTGACTGACTGCATAAGACCGCTATAACATTTGTAATATTTAGCAAACATGGTGAAAACATTAATTATATATGCACTCCCATAGCTACTGCTAAAAAGCATCAGGTCTACAGGGTAGTTAGCTAGCGCGCTAAAACTATTGATGATTATGATTTGGTTATCAGGCTGGCTTGCCATTCATCAAAGGAATATACCGGCGTAAAACTACGTTAGGGTCAAACACACCATAACACCGAGTTTGACACCCCGTCGAGAGATGAACATTGCCGACTGCTTGCTTCTCTAGTTATACCAACTTTACTAACGACCGCAGATAGCAATACAGAGAGACTAAACACAACTCACCAACTCTCTTCCAGCAGCCACTTGTTTGTAGCGAGACCTCCGGGCGAGTCCATCGACTGTGGCGGGAGGACGCAGCACAAGGAAGAACATTTATAATCATTTCTTCATAGAAGTGCAATCAGACTGAGACGCTAAGGCAGAAGAACTACCGCGGCTGCAGTGCAAAATTATTAATATGATGATTATTACTTCAAGGAAATTATAAACTAATGATCATAAGTTCACATGTACTTAGGTACAGTACCTACAGCATCTTGACCTAATGTGAGTGTGCCTCTAGATGATCACTCCAAAGGCTTTGTTGTCTCCTATTTCTCTAATTTATGAGAGTGTGACAGCAGATTTTAAACAGAAATGTATCCAAGAGATTACTGTATAGCACCCCAGCATGTCTCTCTTGAGTTGCCGCCAATGCAAATGGGTGAATAAAAATGTACGCAAACTCTGACTTCACTACAAAGTAAATTTACAAAGTAAATTTGTTAAATTCAAATCCTTACACTTTAGGGCTTTGTTGAGGGTGAACAAGGACAGGGACATGCCCCTTTTGGAAATAGACTGACATGGGATGAAACATGTAAGTTGTGTTACTTGTAAAACTGCCAGTAGCTCAGGTTATCTAACTCACATCTCACTGATGTTAGTGGTTGAACTTGTTTAAGTACTATCAGTTCAGGTTTTTCGGGAGAACTTTTTGAGAACGACAAAATCACAGATTTACACTAACCAACATGGGACAATGTCGATTGAGTTTTGTCAACTTGCATCAGACTTCTAATATACTTTTATATATAGCAAACATAGTCAAAATCTAAAGTAAGTAACATCAATTTATTCATTCAGGAGCTTATCTGACAAGATTAACAATACCTAAATTGACACTCCGATAGCTACTGCCAATATGCATCAGATCTACCAGGTAGTTAGCTATCGTGCTAAAACTATTAATGATTATGATTATGTTATCGGGCTGGCTTGCAATTCATTAATGTTAGCTATCAAGTTTTAAAATCAATATATAATAGGATGGATAGCAGAGGTTAAAGTTGTCATGACGCTGACATATTTCTGATGTTCGGAGTAAGTCATGATCCTGTCATTGCTGAGCCCCAGGATTCTCATTTGTAGGGCCTGGGAAGGTGGGAAACATGTGCTTAGGTACGGTATGAGGCATCTTGGGCTAGTATGAGTGTGCCTCTAGATAATCACTCCAAAGACTCTGTGCTCCTCTAAGTGAGTTAGTGATTTACGGTGATGTGACAGCAAATTTTAAACAAAAACGTATACAAGATATCATTGTATAGCACCCCTGCATGTCTCTCGGGAGTTGCCACCAATGCAAATGGGTGAATAAAAAGGTACGCAAACTCTGACTTAACTACAAAGTAAATTTACAAAGTAAATTTGTTAAATTCAAATCCTTAAGCTTTGGGGCTTTGTTGACGGTCAACAAGGATGGGAAGATGCTGAGTCTACTCCTGATAGTTGGACTTCAATCAGTGTCCTTCATGCACCTTACTTAATCAAAAAAACCTCCAACAACTCCTGTCCTTTCTTTCAGAGCTAAAGAATACTTTGGTTCACTTTCAACAGAGCTCCAGAGGGTACATAGAAGTGTACCCTCAGGAGAATATAAGTGTATAATAGAATATAATACTAGTATAAGATAGAATAGAAGAAGAAAGAAGAATTAAGAATCCTCTTTACTCCTTGAAGCAGCACAGTGACATAGCGCCCCTTCTTACCCGCTACATGAGACATAAACTGTTTGCCGTTTTGGAATGTGAGAGATGACCGCACACCTGCATGTGAAAAAACAGGAAAAGAAGACGTAAAAGTGAAGAGAGCAAAACTTTTACCAATTTCAATGCAGTTGATATTACAGAGGAAAGTGTCAAGCTTTCACACCTGAAATCTTTGGCTCTGCTGGTCTCTACAGAGGTTTCAATCCAGATTTCAGCCCCGTCCAACCTATTCTCATGTTTATCTCTGTTTGTTGCAGTCAGAGCACCTGATTGAAAAATAAGTTTTTATCAGGCAAAAATTTAAAAAATACACAAAAAACTGAAAAAGTACTGAGGTCAAAACAGTTTACCTTCCAGTTCTCCACATGTTAGCATTGGGGAGATGCCTTTTGGGTGATTGAACACAGTTAGAGGTTAGATACAATGGTTCGATTTTCACTCAGTTATGAATCATAAAGGCAAACTTGAGTGAATCGTTCATTCAAAAATATTTAGCCAGCTTTTTTGGCGCTGGTTATTATGCAAAATAGAGCCTCCTCAAGGTGGGACAAGCAACCTGTTAAAATTGTCTTTCGCCTAACAACTTGCTCACCATACATTATCCCTTACATGGATTTTCTCAAGTAAATATGCACACTATGAAAAAGATATACTAATGATGCCAAATAATCACAATTTTACAACCTTGAATGTGGGACTGTCAGAAAAAACAAACCAAAATATGCTCTTTTTTGAATTTTTAGATATGGCACCATACACTTCATTGGTAATTTTAAGTTTAGTCAAGTTATTTTTTTTTTTTTTCGAACATGTGTGCGCAACACAAGAAAGTAAACTGAAAACAAACAAACAAAACCAGTGAGAATAATATTCAAAACAACAATAATCAAAGCAAAAAAAGTAAAAATAACAAAATAAAAAAATACTACTAATAACAATGCGAACCCAACATGTCCAAAAAGGAATAGGATGAAGCATTATGCTACCCCAGTCAGTCTCCCGCATATTTACATTATATAAGCAAAAATAAATAAAAAAATAAAATAAAACATTAATAGTGTAAAGAAGTACATTAATCATTTATGAAAACACCCGATCGTTACAGCCCTTCTTCCTCCCTGTACCTGGTGAGCACCATGTTTTTGTACCGCTTTTTAAACTGGGTCATGCTTGGACAACACTCAAGCTCCACACCTACAAACAGCCACAAACAGAAACGCAAAAACTTTTCAATGTTGTACGTGCCCGCTGATGCTTTAAGTTAAAGTCCCCCCTCAGATGGGGGGAATGAATGGAGTGGATTTAAAGGATAAAAAAAGGGATAAAAATTTTGAGCTATAACAATCTATTAAAAAAAATAAATAATGGATGTAGTGTAAAGGGCTGTGACTCACCGTTTAGGACCCAGATGTACCGATTCCATGTCATCGCTCTGCAATCAACGTAAGGACAGTCTTGCAGTGAAAGATTCATGCTGGCTACTTTGAAGGCTACCAATTAAATATATACCAGTTAATTTGTTTTGGTACATGAGAACATGTAAATTTTGATTCAGAGGACTTTGCATATGAATGAAACACCTGGGGGAATGTATGTATGTGTGTTGTGTTTTTTAAACTCAAATACATGATTAAAAGTCCTTTACATTTTAAGGTGCCATAGGCCAAGCAGTTTCATGTGTCTCTTGACACTTTCTCTCCTAGTTTCCTTTTACATCTGTCCTATCCTCTCTAATAAATGCCAGAAAAACCTGAAGACAAAAAAGTCTTTCTATTTTGAAATGTTGAATATTATCTATTATTCCTTCATTAAATACTTCTGTTTTATTATGCATTTTATTTAGCATTGTCATTAAACTGACATTTACAAAATGTTAAAAAAAATAAAAATTCAAGACCCAAGAGAAATATTTTGTACAAAGTGAGATAGTGTAGAAAGATCTTTTCATTTTGTCATCTTCTCTTTGACAAATTAAATTGGCTTGAAATTAGGGTAAAAATGATGTGAATATTGAGTATTGATTTTGTAAAGTTAACACATGAATATCAGTGCTAGTCCTATAAAAAACAAAAGCCCAAATATTGACATCACATATGAATATCTGAGGAGCTTGTTTCAGATTTTAGCGTTCAGCACTTGCTGTATTTACTTCTAACTTACCTCTAACCTGTTGACCGGACTTTCCTTTGGAAGTGCTAATCAGGACACTAATCCGCTGCTTTGTTTGGGCGAGGTCAGTCAGGGATGCTTTGCAGGCGACAAAAGTTGGATTGATTTAGAAGGCCTTAAAATAGAAAAGCTCTTCACAACATAAACATCGACCATTTGCCGTTTAGAACATTCATGATGGCAATTGCGAATTTCTCCTCTGAAACTACCTGACAGTCTGCCCAACTACATGTTTAGAAAAAACGCAAATAGTCAACATACCTACAGTAGGGGAGAGTGGGGTGAGTTGAGCCAAAGGGTAAGTTGAGCCACCCCCTGTTGCTTGGAAATGGTAAAAGAAATTGATCATGTGATCAAATATTTAGGAGGTGGGCATCAATTCATGGAGTCTGTGAAGGTTAGAAGCACATGGGGGAAGGGCTTAGACATTTATTTCCAAAAGAACATTATTTACTCAGGAAAATGATTTTAGTCTGTCAAAAGTTTTATTAGAATTGTGTTCAGAACAAAAAGATCATTTAAAAATTGTTTTAGACATCAATTGGGGTTTTTATGAGCTACAACATGAGGTCAAAAACCTTGCATTAAAGTCCACCATTTTAGCTTAGAGGACTAATAAAGTCATAATAGTAGTTCTGGGGTAAGTTGAGCCATTTTTTGGCATGCTATATTATCAAGACAGTTATGTTTACATTCATTCTGTTGGTTTGCAGAGATGCACAACATCTTGAAATGCAGATACACTAGTTAGAAACAAAACTATGATTGATGTAGTGATCTGAATTATGAAAAATGGCTCATCTTATCCCACTCTCCCCTAATCGAAACATGTGAGTAAAAACTTGAACTGTTTACTTACAGGAATAGCCTCTGTCATATCGCGGCGACGTCAACGTAATCTAAAAATGTTTGAAACGGTGGAAAATAAAACGTCTGCGTTGTGCGGCGAACATAAAAGCACAGTAGTTTGCACGCTAATATACATAGTACCTCGTTAAGGTACTTGTCTTCGATAAACCCGTAAGTTTTTCACTGTACTGAAGTTACAGTCTCACCAATCCAGGAACGTTGAGAGGCACGAGCGTTGCCGACCGTTAATTTAAATCGAACGCCTCGCGCACCGCAGCTTATATTGTAGCTAATAGCTGCTACGGGTAGCCTACTTAACTCAAGGTTTAGTGCAGTTACTTTTCAACCTCACTAAGGACTCTTTTAACCTTCTACGACTTTTAAAACAACTCCACCGCTTCTAAAACTCGTTGTAACAAGGCTTTTACCGACCCAGTCTTCTTTAGATTCGTCAGTGTTAGCTCAAGCGGATCCGCCATCTTGATAAATCGCCGCTCTGCCGCCACCATATTGGATTGCGGATCCCGACGTTATGACCACCTCCAGCTGTTAACAAAACTGTACGTATTTGCTTTTTTTGGCCTCTCTAATGACAGAAAAACAAAAGGCAATAATGATAAGTAGATATTGTTTTGATTAAGTATCTATCTATCTATCTATCTATCTATCTATCTATCTATCTATCTAAATATCTATCTATCTATCTATCTATCTATCTATCTATCTATCTATCTGCAAAAACGATGTGACACTGGCACAGACAGGAATGGACTACAACTAACTCTACAGTTTAATATAGTAAGGTGGAATACTTTTGCTGTTATGGAAAATTGCTGTTCAGACTAACTTAGTATGCAGTATCTCAGTAGGATAGGCCACCTTGAATTAGAAACAAGCAAAACTGAAATGTGTTTTTACCTCTTTTTTCCATTAATGTGCAGTGATAGGTGGACCTTTCCTTTAACCAACCCTGCAGGCCAAGATAATTTGTCTCCTTGACTCTGCCAACAAGGTACTGTAGATACTTCTGTATAATCTTTGATAAGGCTACTTACACCAGCTACCTCTATTCCCCATTTGTGTTGTGTAGATATTTATGTATAGCAAGGTGAAGGTAGTTTTCTGTATTATTGAAAACTAAGATATTTAATTTCAGGGTTGGCTGTAATTGATATATGAGTAAATGGGGGGAGGGAAATTATAATCATAATAGCATCTCAGTTTACATTTCAGTTATATGGTGTATCTTTGCCTTAGATATTCTTTCTGTTCAATTGCTATCTTGTGTTATTTAAGCATATAAAGTGAGCTGTTGCTGAAAACTAATTTGATGAGATTCAAATTGGAAAACCAATGAACAACAAACATTTGATACTGATAAAAGGTTCACATCCATCAGTTTGACATCCAGACTGTTAACGTTAAATATTTATTTCCAAAATATTTACAAAAAACTCATCTGCGACATAATTCGATGTGCAAAAGTTTCTTCACAATTTGGTATTATCATGTAAGGCATTCTTAACAAGCAAAGCCTCATAAACATTTGTACTTTAACATAAACATGCACACACACAACACATCAGCCAGTAGTGGCTTCATTTAAGTTACTGTTGATGCATCAACAGTTTACATTCACATAAAAAAGTGTAAGATATCAACATAAGTCAAAAACACATCTGCCATTTCATGGTATCATAGTGCGTGAATAAAGAACAATATTTTGTCGATGTGTTGTCATGTGTCAAATGACAGTGACATACACAAGCAAAGCAATCATGAACCTTCATCTGCCAGATCTGCCTGTTCTGGGAGCATGCTTAGTCATAAAACTGATAACAAAATGTTCTTTGTTAGTTCACCAGCTTATAATGAAAAAAGATTTGACATGGATACATTTTTAAATCCCTAAAAAAGGTGCTTTACTGTCCTTTTGGCAGCTTGATGGCCCCAGAGTTTACAGGAATGTCATTAATTTGTGAGCTTTTGGCCTAATAGTATTAATGTGAGCTTAAAAAAATAAATGGACCAATTGATCAGTAAGGCCAATAAGTTGATTAATAACATTGTGAAATAGCAAGCATTGTCCAATACCTGGCCAATTGAAAAAAACTGAAGTAAAATAATGTCTGCAGGCAGCTTTATTATTGTGGCTTCAGTTGAGTGATGTTAACTCCCCCTAAAATGATAGTCTCTCAAATCTAAAACAGTTGTTGGCAAGTGTTTCATATAGATTCAGTTAATGAATGAATAGAACAGGGCTGTTAAGTGTTGGTTCTGACATATCAGCCATTGTCAGAAACCTGTGACATAACCCAATGCATTTTGCTATTTAAAGAATTATTTAAAAAAAACTCCTCTAAAATATGTAACAGGCTAAGATAAGTATGTCACTTACATTGTGGTGTGTTCAGAACAACAGGTAAAAAACAACAAAAAAACATCAAAGTGATATTGGCACTATATTGGCATCAGCTGACCTGATGTCTAAATATTGGTATTGTCCATTGAAAAAAGATATTTGTCGAATGCAACTTCAATGGTAACTAGACCCCAAACCCAAAATTTGTATTTGCTGACACCTACAAGTATTGACAAGGTGCTGACTGATTTGGTTCAAACTTTAGGGGTTTGGTAAATCTTGAAGGGTGTCATTCCAAGATAAACTTGTGTCTAGAGCAGAGAGCAAATCCCTTTTTGCATTTGATGCTAAACAACTCTTTGCACAGAAAATTAACAGTGCTATAGTTTAAAATAACAATAAATCCAAAACTCCTAGAACTTATTCATTTCTGAGACTTTAAGAGACGTGAATGCAGTCTGATGATTATAAAAAGTGACCACCCTCCACCTTTTCCTTCTTCAGCTGCAGTAAGTCGACACGGAATAAAACATGACACAAAACAATCTGGAGTGCAATGTGTGTATGCAGAAGTACGTGCATATGTATGGCGGGGTTATGATTTTCTTCATAGGACTGGTGCAGGTTTCAGTTGTCTCATAGCATGGCCAGACAGAGCATACCCACAGTCATCAGCAGGGCTACAGATAAGGATGATAGAGAAGAGAAATTAGTTACAAAGTGTGCAAATAGATACATTTCAGTGTATGTTTTGGATAACTGTTGTGTTAAGGGAATTACTTAGGCTGCATGGTATATTTTTGATTAAGAATGTGTGTTGCAATTTTTTTTCTTTGTGTCCATAGTGCAATATTAAAAAAATACTGGAGTTTATAACATTTCATTGTTGTTTAAATAAGCTGTCAAACAAAACTTCTTTTTCTACTTTGAACACACATTGCCCAGCCCTTAGACAGTGGCTGTGACACCCACAGAAGTAGAAAGACTAGAGGAGGAGAGAGCTACAGGTGGATGAAATGTTTATTTTTTAAACTTGAAGCAAGTAAGCGCAATTGACTTATCTAAAAGTCCTGAATTATTTCTGTGTAAGTCTAAGACTATGTTTAATTTGCATCACCAAGTCTGTGACAGCCTAATCAAACTCACTGTCTAGCTCTGCAGTTGATTTCCACATCACTGCAATGCACATGCACTGCAAATAGACATTTAAGTAAACAATCCGTATTCCTGGTGTATTAACAGTCTGAACCAGGATAAGTGGGAACACTGTTGAAAAATCTTACTCGCTTTACTGAGCGTTTGCTGAGGTATTTGTGACAGTGGAAGCATCGTGTACATGTTTGCATTTTAAAGCTTCTCATGTGACACATGGATGCAAACTGATGAGCAGCATCAGTAGTAGATGTTTACAGTAGTTCAGTTTAACCAGGAAGTGGTGAAAGCATGAAATGATTCAGGTCATATGACCGACATGGCTCTTCCTGTATTGTGTCTATTTTACATCCCAATTACATTGCTCAAATTATCATCCAGTTCTAGAAATGACCATATCTCTTTCACTCACCTTGTGCAAATGACTGCTGGAGTACAACAGCATGGCCAGTAGTAGGAGCAACAGTGGTTGTAATCTGGTTGGTGGCTGTGGCGTTGGGATTTCCCAGGTCAACAAGACCGCTGCTGAATACAGTGCTTGGGGTTCCAAGAGTACCACTGGCTGTAAACACAGGCAAAAAGATTGTATTATAATCTTATAAAAATCATATTCACTGTGAAAGTGTGTGTGATTATGGTATGGTTGATAGGTGAAAAGGTTATATTTTGTATGTCTGTAATTTTGTTTTGTGAGCTTACTGCTGTTGAAAGCTCCCTTGCTGATTCCAAGTGCCAAATTTGGAGTTCTTGTTGTTTGGGTTGGTAGGGTGGCAGAAAACGTACACTGGATTGTGCTTCCATTAATGCTGCCTTTCACAGAGTTGACATTCAGCTTGAGAACAGAGATGGACAAAGAAGATGATCATTAAGTGTTGAGTGCTTGATCAAGGATGGGATTCGTAGCCCAGAAGTCAAATAAATAAAAAATGAGATGTAAAGATTTGGTTGTTAATGACTGCATCATTATCAAAAAATTGTTTTTGATTTCATGTAGTCTGGGTAAAGCTGAACTTACCATTGTTTCTGTCAGCTGGCTATTGTTGAGGCGAGCAGGAATGAATTTGAGAACACCATTGTCGTTTGCACAGACATAGGTCTCGTCGTTCCCTCCCTGTGGACAAAAAACAGAAATGGTCAACACATTGCGTTTACCAAGATGACTTAAAACAAACTGTGGCTTGAGGCTCGACTCGAAGGTACTTTAAGTGACAGAACTTGACTTACCAGTGAAGCGTCTTGTGACACAGTGAGAGCCATGTACCCATCAGACTCTCCAGAGAGCTCCATATCAAAGTTTTGACCACTACTCCTCTTGGCAGAAGCAAAGGCACAACCTGTCTCTGATGGGTCGCATGTAGAGGGCTCATCTGCACAAAATTTTTCAGTTCCACAACCTGACCTAGAAAGAGCTGTCTGCAATAAGACAGCAGTAATACATTGTTAGAGTTTCTCTAAGATGTGTCCATCACCAACAAAAAAGTTACACAACTTAATTCTGTTCTTCTCAATTAAACTTTGTATAACTCACCCCAAGTAGTGTTACTGTGGTGTTGGCCACAAGTGGGGCTGCTGTTGTGGCAGCCATAGTCGTAGTTGCTGCAACAGTTGCCCCCGCAGCAGTTGTTGCCCCAGCAGCAGTTGACGCCCCTGCGGCATTTGTCATCCCTGCAGCAGTTGTTGCCGCAGCAGGATTTGTGGCTGCGGCAGCAGTTGACGCCCCTGCACCAGCATTTGTGGCTGCGGCAGCACTTGTTGCTCCTGCACCAGCATTTGTGGCTGCAGCAGCAGTTGATGCCCCTGCACCAGCATTTGTGGCTGCAGCAGCAGATGTCATCCCTCCTGCAGCCGTTGACGCCCCTGCAGCATTTGTCATCCCTGCAGCAGTTGTTGCTGCAGCAGGATTTGTGGCTGCGGCAGCAGTTGACGCCCCTGCACCAGCATTTGTGGCTGCAGCAGCAGTTGATCCCATTGCACCAGCATTTGTGGCTGCGGCAGCAGTTGACGCCCCTCCTGCAGCAGTTGACGCCCCTGCAGCAGTTGTTTCTGCAGCAGGATTTGTGGCTGCAGCAGCAGATGTCATCCCTCCTGCAGCAGTTGACGCCCCTGCAGCATTTGTCATCCCTGCAGCAGTTGTTGCCGCAGCAGCATTTGTGGCTGCGGCAGCAGTTGACGCCCCTGCACCAGCATTTGTGGCTGCAGAAGCAGTTGATCCCATTGCACCAGCATTTGTGGCTGCGGCAGCAGTTGACGCCCCTCCTGCAGCAGTTGATGCCCCTGCAGCAGTTGTCATCCCTGCAGCAGTGGTTGCCGCAGCAGGATTTGTGGCTGCGGCAGCAGTTGACGCCCCTGCACCAGCATTTGTGGCTGCAGCAGCAGTTGATCCCATTGCACCAGCATTTGTGGCTGCGGCAGCAGTTGACGCCCCTGCACCAGCATTTGTGGCTGCGGCAGCAGTTGACGCCCCTCCTGCAGAGGTTGCCGCAGCAGGATTTGTGGCTGCGGCAGCAGTTGACGCCCCTGCACCAGCATTTGTGGCTGCAGCAGCAGTTGATCCCATTGCACCAGCATTTGTGGCTGCGGCAGCAGTTGACACCCCTGCACCAGCATTTGTGGCTGCGGCAGCAGTTGACGCCCCTGCACCGGCATTTGTGGCTGCAGCAGCAGTTGATCCCATTGCACCAGCATTTGTGGCTGCGGCAGCAGTTGACGCCCCTGCACCAGCATTTGTGGCTGCGGCAGCAGTTGACGCCCCTGCACCGGCATTTGTGGCTGCAGCAGCAGTTGATCCCATTACACCAGCATTTGTGGCTGCACCAGCAGTTGACGCCCCTGCACCGGCATTTGTGGCTGCAGCAGCAGTTGATCCCATTGCACCAGCATTTGTGGCTGCGGCAGCAGTTGACGCCCCTGCACCAGCATTTGTGGCTGCGGCAGCAGTTGACGCCCCTGCACCAGCATTTGTGGCTGCAGCAGCAGTTGATCCCATTGCACCAGCATTTGTGGCTGCGGCAGCAGTTGATGCCCCTGCACCAGCATCTGTGGCTGCGGCAGCAGTTGACGCCCCTGCACCAGCATTTGTGGCTGCGGCAGCAGTTGACGCCCCTGCACCGGCATTTGTGGCTGCAGCAGCAGTTGATCCCATTGCACCAGCATTTGTGGCTGCGGCAGTTGACTGAGCATCGATGAAAGTAGATATTGAGAGCACCGTCATAAATAGAACGACGAAGAAAAGTTTTGTGTCCATTGCTGGGGAAAGCAGGATTGGAATTGTTAAAAAAAAAGCAGTAGGGACCACTTTGTATGTACACACAAAAGAGCAATAACAATATTTGTGCATAATTTAGAATTCAAATATAGTTTTAAAATGTAAATGATAAGGAATGAAACTGGAATGGGATTTTACATGAAGATTGACAGCACTGGAATCAACCATTCCTCAGAAATGATGACAGGTATTAATTTTGGACATTTAATCAATTCAAAGCCATTAGCCCAAGTTTATGATGTAGAAGAAACATTGACATGTCTAGAGGTTGGGTATCCATATTAGCAAAAAGTGACTTATTATGGTGACCCATAATCAAACAAAACAAAATATGTATCTCTGTTGATAGTGACCAAAGTCACACTTACTGCATTTTAATTTGAAATTACACTGAGTTTAAAATTCCCTAAATTTGATACTAAAAAATGACTCAAAATATTGTTTACTTGAAAATGAAGTTGATTTTCACATTTTCAGAGTTAAGAAATCAATGTTTTTTTAAGATGTTTATGTATTTAAATTTCTAATCGTTTCACACCTTCATATATTTTGTGAAACAAAAGGCACATTGCAAAAGCCAACTCAGCGAAAAATAAACCTGTGTAAGACTCCCCCTACAGAAGCTTAAAGTTTCTTCCACAAAATTCAAAAATGAATGAATATTCATCTCATATAGTATAAATGTTGTTTAATCATACCTGTAGATGTCAGTAAGTGTAGTCAGTCACCAGGGAAAACTGTTGAGGAAAAAAAATGATGCAGTTCTCAGATATGAAGGTCCTGTGTAGACTTTAAAAGGGTGTAGCGCTGCTGATGTTCCCAACAGGATTCCAGGTGAGGATGTGACACCTGTTTGCTTGGTGTCACTATTTAAACTAAGGGGCAGGGAAAAGTCGAGACACTGGATGCAAAAAAAAAAAAAAAGAATGACATCATCAGTGATGCTTCTGGAGGGCGGGTCAGGTGGAAAATCAGGATCCAAAGGCGTGTGTGATGGAAACCAAATGTGATTTTTGCCTTGTCATTGTACATTGAAGCCTCTTTATCACTGCTGCTGTCAGGTTTTGAAATGTCCCTCTTCCTCAAACTCACCTTCTCACATGATGATGACAAGGAAACAGACACTGTGCTGTAAAATAGGTCTCAGTTTTGTCTGACATGAAAACTTGTACAACCTAACTGGACTTCAAACTGGGAAGTGATTTGTGTCTTCAGTTAAAAATTCCAAAGACTTAGTTTCAGGGACCTTCTTGTCATGAAGCACTTAACATTTTCCACTTGACATATCAATGTGATCAGTTTGGTAGTGTTTAATAGTTAAACCTAAGATTATGGTGCCTTTAAATGCCTTGAGGTTGTCTGACACATTTAAAAAGGTGTGTTTTTATTCTTTCTTTTATCAAGGAAAAATAAAAATCTGTTAAAAACAGAAACAGCTGATTTACTTTTTGATGCTGATTTGACTCAGGTTTTAGAGCCGCTGCCGCTCCAGTGCCGCAATCTCTCTTTACTGCCCATATTTCCTGTCTCTCTTTAGTGGTCCTAACAAATTCTCAAAAGAAAAAAGTATGACCCAGCTCAAGCTGCAGCAGGGGAGTATGAAAACCACTGAACAAAGACAGGGAATGTGGGCAGTAGAAAAGCAAGGTACAACATGCAGCTCGGGGTCATGGCCTGGACTCAAAGCAGTAACTGATGTGATGAGCACCTCTGGGGTGAGCGCTACTACTACTTGGCCCCAACTGTGCCCCCGGTTAGACTTGTTTCTAATTGCTTTTTGTCATGCATGCCTGCTACGCCCTCGAGCTCGAGGTGGCACTAAGTTTTTATCTTTGTAAATGTAATGTCACATAGACGGACTGGGGGGAGTATTGCACCTTAAATTTGCCTAGAACATTGACTTACACAAGAGAGAACACTGTTTCCCACTCGTATTTCAGACTTTTTTTGTTCGTTTGTTTTTTACAGTACATGATTGTCATCTTAGTTTGATATACGTGTGCAGTCTGCATTTGCTGTGCATGCCTTGCATACATGCCTAAGTAGCATCTTCACGATCTGTGATGATAAAGATAAGAGACATCAACAGCAACATCCTCACATGAACTGACTGTGGCATTTTCTCTCTGGTTAATTGTGAACCTATGAAGCTGTTGTTTTCAATAAATTGTGCAGTTTGCACTCTAATAAACTTCTCTGCATGAACTTCACATGTTCATAGAACTACATTGTAAGAGAAATGATCCAAATCAAGAATTGTATTGATTAGGTGGTGTGTGCGCTCTCTGGGTGGGGGGTACTTTTTGCCCAAGTGAGGGAGTTCAGACATCTTGGACTCTTGTTCAGAAGTGAGGGCAAAATAGATCATTGGTGTGGTTTTGGTTTTGCAGAGTACGGAAAAAATGAATGATGAGAGGGGCTTTTCTTCTGCAGAGCTGCAGTAGCTCATTAGCACTTCGCCTCTAAGTTGTTGGCGGAGACAGCGCTGCTCTGCACACTCCTCTTCATGCTAGCTTGTAGCCTAACATTGCCGGTGTAGTAGCAGAAGCAGGTAACATAGGAGCTATTCAGCTCAGGACACTAATGTCCTTAGGGGCATGACGAAAGTTAATACCATAATTAGCTTTCTTATGAGTATTGCAATCCGCTACTGCACAAGCCTGTTATGCAATAGTTCTGCGATAATCGCACTTTAACTAAAAAAAAATTATGTTTTATCTGATTACTCGATTAATCGATGGAATATTTGGGAGAATACTCGACTACTAAAATGTTCGATAGCTGCAGCCTGATATATGAGTATTATTTCTACCTCTTACCCTAGCTGTGCAACCAGATGTCAAGCATTGTTGTTGAAGCAGTCTAAAGTTAAGAAGTTAGCACAAACAAATAAATTAGCACTGTGTGTAGCTAGCATTTTGAAAAGTAATATGAAAAGTAACTACTGTTTTTTTTTTTTTTTGGCCCTCTGGTGCAGGGTACAGAAAACAGAGTAGGTCATGTCTGGCTCCAACCTTTGGCATCCTGACTCGATACTCAAAAACTACAGTGGTGTAGGACCGTGTGGATTAGTTCAAGGAGTGGCAGTGGTTTTGAAAACATTCCCACAGGAGCTTATAAAACTGTTCTGACAAGTTGTTTTTATGTATTAACTGTTCCACTGTTGTTTCATTCAATATCAAGTCAAAATTAGTCCACAGCTCATCAATGGTGTCAACATAAATTTGATCACAATCAAAAAAAGAGACTAATTTCTTTTGCCATTCCCTCTCAGCGCTTCAGAAAGTGGGTCTCATGTTCCCCAGATAATTTTAGGAAGGCACTTTAGGGACCGCCGTGAGACCAGAGACACAAAACCTAAAGTTTGTTTGTTAGTGGCGGTGCACGCTCACGTGTGTTTTGTTTCAGCATGACTATTGTGTTCTGTGGTTTCTCATCAAGCCTCCCTTATTATAAAGCAGGTAAATCTAGTTGCTCTAAACGTTTGGTTGGCATTAGTACAGGGAGTTTCACTGTCTCAAAGAAATAAACCCATGAATGGCAGACAACCTGGTGCAACCTAATGACACAAAATCTGAATTAGTTCGATCGATCCCACAGTGAAAAGGACTAAGTTTGGGATTAAGTTTTCAGTGCAGCTTTGAAACTGAATTTTACCCCTAAACTAGCTGTGTTTTGGGGTTTGATTTTAAAATCCTTTCAACCACGTTAAAGGCCTGACATGGGCTGGCCCTGTATTATAACATAAGGCTTTAATTCCCTATAAGCTTGGATACATTCTGGTTGTGCTTTGCTGTTTTTTTTTCAAAATCTAGGCTGAAAACCAAAGATGACAGGGCTTTGGAAGAACCTGTCACACACCTGTCAAGACACACCTTAAAAAATGAAAAACAGTGGTTTTGATAAGACAGATAAAAATCATGATTATCAACTGTAGTCCTTTTAAGCGACAACTTCTTATCTGTTATTCCGTAAAATGTTCATTTTCTCCTCCAGAAATCACGTTCACTTCTAGTATGCGCATTTATTTGCACAAACTGTACTCCACAGCCTGCAGGCGTGGATTGTTTGGTGACATGTTTAACCCCCCAGCGAGAGCCATTGAGCCCTTTTTTGTGTCAATGCCTTGTTCAGCATTAGCAGGGGAAATTGTCCTTTTTTGACAACATTTCTGGTACTCAGTGTGACATATTCTGTGCATCTGATAAAGACAACTACAGACAACTAAAACTAAAAAAAACTAAACTAAAAAATTTTCAGCAATGTTTCTACATCCATAAAACCTTTTTTTTTAAACTGGAATATTTCAGTGTGAGAACAAAACTAGATAAAAAATGATTTGAGAAATGAAACAATGGACCGTGATTCATACTGAACCACGAGGAGTCATTGACCTTAACTCTTTGTGTTAAACCAGTTTGGCTGCTGTGGTAGAGTAGGATCTTTTTTCAGTATGAAACTGATCTGAGTTTTTACAGCGCATATCCTTGAAATGAATCAGACACAGGTTCATTAATGCAAGCAAAACAGAGTCAGTTAACAATAGAGTATCTCAGCAGTGCTTGAGGTATTTAGTGCGTCATCAAACTGTTCAGAAATGCAACAAAGATACTGAGGTAGTCATTGAAAAAGTATGAGGAGTGTCTGAAGTAGAGTGAAATAACGTTATGGAAAAGCTGTTTTATGATTTTTAAGGTTATCTGAAGCTCGATTAAGTCATGAAAAAAAGGCACATTTATTTTTATTTCAGATTACCCTTGAAATAATTCATCCATCAGCAATCCAGTCATTTTCATTCACTTATTCAGGGTCAACTGACCAAGCAAGTTGACTCAGACACTCCTCTCAACTACTCCTTTGAGATGTTACCAGGCAAGACAGGGTATAACCCCTCCACTGAGCTCTGCCCACATCCCAAGTCGATGTGGACATCTCCAAACTGAGGAATCCAGGATCTATCTTTATCAAATCAAATGACTCCTTTCAGTCCAAGTGCTGTTTATTCTGAGCAATATCTAAGCTCCCGTCCTTCTCCCAAAGGCTGAGCCAGACCACACTAAAGGGGAAACTCATTTTGGCTGCTTGTATTTGCAACATCACTTTTTTGGTCATTTTACCCAAAGTTCTGATTGAAACTTCCTCTGGGTCTATCCAAGGGTTTTCTTCCAGTTGGACATGGTTCGTGTGACTGTGTCTTTGTCAGGTCTAGTACTTTGTGTCATTAGTTGGCAGCTTTATCTGTGCAGCCCTTGGAACCCAAGACAAATTCCCCTAAGGGGACAATAAAGTGTATCATAACGTATCTGATTGGATCGTATCTCAAAAAAAGATACTTTCAATGTGAGGCCCAACCACCTCAACTGGATCATTTTAATGCAAAGAAGTTGCTGCTCTACTCCAAGTTCCTTCCAGCTGTCTGAGCCCCTTGGTCTGTCTTTTATTCTGAGCTCAGTCACCCTCTACGGTAATCGACTTTTGATCGTAGACCGGTCAGTCTAAAGCTATGCTGTCCCAACCCATCTGTCAATCCAGTGATCCATTTGATCCTCATCCCTGAACAAGACCTCGAGATATCAGTCACAGCAGAGACCCACACCTAAACCAGACTAGACCATTCCCCAGTTTCCAGTCTTCACCCCAAACACTCAGTACTTGGCTGCAAAGTGCCCCAACGCCAAACCTTGATAAGGCAACATTCAGAGACCCTAAAACTAACCCATATGTCCTTGGAACATGTTTGACTTTCTGCCAGTTACGATAATCATAGAGTTAAAATCTGCTTTCATGGCAGTCCGAGCATGTCAGTAAACATATATATGGTCCAGTTCACTCATAAGTTGTTGTTTAGTGCAGTAATCTTGGGGGGAAACGTGTAAGAGAGTTTTTGATCAACCTTCATGGTTCAAATTTATATTTTAGACCAATTGAATGGAAAGGGTTAATTTTTTTGGATCATTGATTGTGTCACCTGATTGTCTGGAAAGTCCAAAGAGATCAGTTCGGGACACACAAGATTGCAAGCTGATCAAACAGGTTGTCGGCACGAGGAAGTGGAAGGTTTTTTTCTCGGGTTCCAGACAGTCGTGAAGGTGTTGTTTCACAACTCCAGAGTGCCATGGGGTAGAAAATAACTTTGTTTTTCCTATTCCATCAGCACTGACTTTCCTTTCCTGCAGGTTGACATTATACACTTGTAAAGTACTGTTTGGTATGTGTCTATCTTGCTGCAGGGAGAAAATAAATAAAGATATTCCTAGATCATGCAGAAACTCACTTATGTAAAGAATGATGCTTTTCCATTGCTCGGAGTGAATGTCAGAGTTCTGTAATAGAAAAATATTGGCAGTAAGTATTGACATTTATTTATTCATGGTTCGATTCCCTTTCTTTTTATTCCAAATGTGACTTTTTAAAATAAATATTCATATTCATTCATTTCACATTACAACACAGTCCTTATTTGCAAAACTAGTTAAAGGCTAACCATGTCAGCCAGGAGTTAAGCTTACAACCTCAAGTCTGTCAATATGCACAAACAAGTTTACCTTGGAGATCCAGAATTGGACCTCGGAATCCTAAAAAATGGATCGTAATTTACAATTACAGACAAATCAGCTAAAAGCTTGTCTGACTGTGTTTAACAACATGTTGCATTCCTCCTTCTTTGTGTGTGGTTTGGAAGGAGGAGGAAGGAAATAAGGGTCACGACCGAAACATTCTTTCTACATGCAACAGTAGTAAAACATAAGGGTAGATTTTCACGTCTATAGGTGAATGGAAAAGTATAACAGCATGGGTAGCTTGAGGGGAGGAAGAGGTTTTTCCAGTTCTGTTGAACTTCTTTCTGTTTTTGTGTCGTTTACAACTCCGGCCCTGTCTGCAGTGTCTCCAACGGTGCAGCTGCGGGCTACTGCTAGACAGTGCTGTGCAGCTTTGAAGTGTTTTCTTTACTGTCTGCCTTTGGACATGTGTAAATAGGCAGGACTAAAAAAGAATAATAAACAGAGAGAATTGTCTGTCTTGCTGTTGATTTTGACAACTCATGAGAGTCCGTTTTTGATTAGAAATCTAGATTTCGACACCCCTGAAATTGTGAGCTATTGTTTTACTGTTGTAGTTAGTGTGTACCCTCTGTTGGTTCCCATATAAAACTTTAGAGACAGAGCTGATGGACACTCATGGGTGTAGTTGTTTGTATACTTTGTGTTTACTTTATGCAAATATCTCTAATTAAATATTTAGTTGTCCCTCCATATCTAAATACCAAAGCAATATCGCTACAGCCCTGATGAAGAGGAGTAATTGCTGAATCAAACTAAGGGCTGTCAAGGTATTACATTTTTGCTATAAAATATCACAATAATGACGTCAGGATGATAATGGAAAAACAACACACATACATACTATCACAAATATGAAGAAGTTGCATGTTATTTTATAAACTTGACATGTAGGCGCACCTGACTTATAAACCATCAACTGTTTCAAAATATAATACTTTTATTTTCACACTGTAACATTTAGGTTACTTTACTCTTGTTATTGTAAAACTACACCTTTATTTTGAAATTTGAAAACGTTGAAAACATTTGGCTCAATTTGGACTTGAGCTCATGACTCATAGTTAGTCCCTTTGTTGTAACATCACAAGGTCAATATCGTTCCCTCCCATCATGCCTAGCTCATTGGTTGACTGCTATATCTGCGCTAGCGCTAACAAGCGAGCAACTGTTGGTCCAAAAAGTGAGGGACATTATTCTGACACTTGATAAAATACAAACTCGAGTCTCTAGTCAAATGTTTTGGTTCAGTATATATATTTTTGTCATTACAGCTCAGTTTTAATATAGAACTTGATAATTAGGATATCACTGTTAACAGCTCTGTCAACAATCAAGTCGACACAGCGGATTAATTACACATGAATGTGTTAGAGCATCACCTGTAAACATTTACTGACGTGTTCCCAGAGGTATCACAGCTAGTACATACCCTTGTCAAGAAACTCAGAGGGGTTATGCAAGGGCATGAGACAACTTGACAATTTGTCGCTTTCGCCGTTCCGCTCTAATTTCTGACAACAGTCACCGTGTCAAGATGTGTGTATGCAGCTGCGTATGGGAGGTGGAACTAGTAGATGTTATCTGAGACAGGTCTCAGTTAGTAAAACAGACTTCCTGTACCCTTCCATGTATGTCAGTTTTTCTAACAGTACATCTAGGAACTTAAAGGAGGTTTAGGGTAGAGTGGCACTTAGAAGCTGATTGGATTATGTTTAAACTCTAGTTAGGAGTCAAATATAATCTGGGGGGGTCACATAAGAGAAGAATTCATGAAGGTGTAGCCATAAACGTCACAGTATAAAAATCTGTCTTTGCTTCCTCTTACAGCCATACCACATAAGGGTTTGGCATTATCTAATGACACTGATCGTAAGAATCTACATGTGATGCCAAAATGCTCTTGTTTTTGGCTCGAACTCTTGTACCTCTGAAGATCTCACAGCAGAACTCGTAATCAGAATACTTCAAAACTTAGTGAATTAGAGAACAATAAAGGAAAAAACCTCTGTGCAGGTTTTGGTCAGAGAAATGAGCTAGTCAGACCAGAAACATTATTTTGAACAAGCCCACTGAACAATAGACGACTATTAGACGTCTATTTTTAAACTTTATTTCAACCATCTAGATTCTGTATATTTTTAGACGGAATTTAGACATTGATTTTTAACCCATTATTTAATAACTATTTTACAGTATTTACATACAGTGTAGTATGGATATAACCGACTAGTCTAAACTTGGTCTAAATTTAGATGTCTAAAAACTTCCCTTTTAGACCTGTGGTAACCTGATTTTAGACCAGTCATCTAGGCTACATTTAGATGTCTATTAGACCTCTCGAACTCTTACAGGATCAAGATGAAAACATAAACTTTCTGCCAACTAATAAATGTTGATGAGTTGTGTTGGCGCTCACACTATGATGATAAATAGACAGTCAAGTACACGGCCAAAAAATTTACCGTCCAAACCCACAACTATGCCAGGCTTGTTTTTGTCGAGTCCGCTCAGTCTTGGTTTCAAGATAAAGGAAACCACAAAAATCCAGCTTTGCTTGTTAGTCAGCATCATGATCATATTGTCTTGAGTTTCCTCTTAGACTTCCAGTAAAGGTAAGAAACTTTGAGCGTCTCTTGGTCATATAGTTTCAATCTCACTCCCTTTGACGCAAGCTTCTCCAGGCCTCCTTTGCACATCCATCAATCTGCCAAACTAATCCAACAACACTCACAAAACTAGGCAGACTGAAATCCAGGTATTGACGCAAACTGAGTCAGAAAACAGTGACGGTATGTACGTTTATCCATCCAAAACAATAACGCCTTACAACAGCATTTGGGTGCCCACGTCTGAAACGGACGACGCCTATATCGGTTCTTAAATCACTTAAGCCGTGTTGATTTTCATATTTCACATTCTTGTTTTCAAGGACTACTAAGGTGTTACTGTAATTTTTACTTTTTACTTTTGATGTACAAGGCCATGTCACAATGTTATCATCAAGTTTGGACCAAAGGCTGCATCAGCACTAATGAAGCACAGAATGTAATTGTCTAAAAGTGTCTACAACACTTGTACTTCCTTCAAAACGGTGAAATTTTACAAAGAGACACTGCATTCTGGCCACTCTAGACATGGAAATTTCACACACCCCCTCCCAGTTGGACATGGGTGAGATTGAGATACCATGAGGTACTCCTATGAAATATTCAAACCACCTCAGTTGGATTTTTTCAGAGTAAAACAGCCACTACTCTACTGTCAATACTCTATAGATGTCTGAACTTTTGACTCGACCTCAAAGGCTGGGCCCAGCCACCATTTCCTAGGAAACTCACTTCAGCTGCTTGTATCTGTAACCTCATCCTTTTGGCAACGGAAAGTCATGACCGAAGCTTTAAATGGATATGCCAGCGTAAATTTCAGTTGTGGTCAAACACACCGTAACACTGAGTTAGACACCTCCTCGAGAGAAAAATGTCGCCGCTTGCTGCTCTAGTCATACCAACTTTAGTAACGACCACACGATAGCAATACACAGCGGTCTGAGTCTCCACGCCACTCTATATCCACAAATAATGCCACAAACGGTTGGCAAAATTCATCTCTCTCAACTCGGTGTTACGGTGCGTTTGACCATGGCTTAAATTTACGCCTGAATATCCCTTTAAGTATCCTCGCTTAATATCAAAGACTGACATGAAAACGAAACATATTTTGGAAATCAGGACAGAAGTGGTGAAGATTAAAATAGAATTAAAGATTTATTTGAATAAACTGGTCAATCTAAACATGATATGCTCTCTTAACATCAAGTTTTTACAAAGGTGCTTTTGTTTATTTAATCAACAAAAGCTTTTCGGGTGACGGAAATAACTAATCTTAAAAGCAGACTTTTGGCAGCGTCTAATACAACCTGAATAGTTTTTTCTTTGTTGCACAAGAGGAGGAAATAAATACTGCAGTGACGAGAAAAGGTAGATTTTACCTTTGATCATTGGGTCAAAGCACTGATAACTTCTCATGTTTCGTTAAGGTTCACAGATCTCACACAGTGATTGGAAATTATCAGTCTAAAGGTGTTTTTAGATTCTGTGCAGATGACATCAGAGATTCCTGAAAGCTGTTTTTCTGGTGACATATTTATTGGAAAGCTAAAACAGTTTTCCTTCTTGAGAAAAAATACCTGAAGAGTCGGAAACTCAGAGTTATGTAAGGTTTCAGCTTTGAAAAAAAGGGGGTGTTTACTGTTGACTGAGTCATAAAGACAAAGTATCCTAATAATGCATGCTAAGATGTCATTTATTGACTCATGGTCGTCACAGTGACGCGTTTGTTTCACAAAGCACTTCAGATTAGGGTTTCTGCAGGGTTTTAAAAAGTCTTAAAATGTCTAAAATTCAGTTAAATGTAAGTTACGTAAGGTTTCAGCTTTGAAAAAAAAGGGGGTGTTTACAGTTGGCTGAGTCATATAGACAAAGTGTCTTAATAATACGTGCTATGAGGTGTTAAAGCTATTACTAAGATGTAATTTATTGACTCATGGTCGACAACAGTGACGCGTTTGTTTCACAAAGCATTTAAGATCAGGGTTTCTGCAGGGTTTTAAAAAGTCTTAAAATGTCTAAAATCCAGTTAAAACCTCATAAAATGTATTGAATACAATTTTGAAAGGTCTTAAAAATTTATTGATGTTACTTACAAATAAAGATTGATTTGAAGTTAGTTTAAAATGTTATGATTTCACTTCATGTCTTTTGTACTTTTTTTGACTTGTGGAAACCCTGTAGATTTAGATTCAGATCAAGCCAAACGCGTTAAAATGATCAAATAACTAGACGTGACATTCATCACTCTTTTTTCTTTCTTTTTAAAATTTTTTAATTAGTTTTTGTTAGCAAATTACAGCAGATCAACTTTTATTTTTTTACATGGAACAGAGCAAACTTTTCCTCCCTATTCTTTCTCCCATTCCCCCACCAAATAAACGTAAGAAAAACATATTGAAATTATAAACACAATATCTAAAAAAAGCAAAAATAGATACAAAAAAAATAAATTAAATAAAAGAATATTTCTAAAACATTTATTACTCTTCACGGGCCAGAAAGCTAAATGTCTTATCTAATTATAGAAAGGTAGTTATTCATGCCTGATATAGTAAATGAAGATTATTTCAATGCACAGTCTGTGACAGTGTTGACAAAACACATGTATATAGCCACAGGTTTTCCTACTGCAGCCTGCATAAATATTATATGTTCAAGTTTCTCCTCAGCTTCATTCCTTGATGCCAAAATGAACTCAAAGCGTTCATCATGACGTAGCCCAGGGTTTCTCTATTGTGAAGACTTATTGTAACTCAGTTTCAGAATTTCACTTCGTGTTGTGTACTTCATATCTAAAAGAGACACATGTTTTAAGCAGCGTTGTGCCAGCTAACACAAAAAAATGAGCTAGCTTAAGTTCAGTTCACATCGATTAAAATGAACTAGTACATGTTCTTTTTTTAGCTACAATTGCTCTTTTTCAGTCGAGCCATCTATGCTTTCATCCCCGTCCCTTTAAAACTCCAGTAAATGTTCAAAGCTGCTGCTCTCACACGCACTGCAGGATTAGCCGCGTTGAATGCATGGCGATCTGAGTTCTGCTGCTGTACAACACAGAGCTCAGCATCTCTCAGCACCAGCTTCCCTCTTCTCTCACCAACTCCCCTTATCTATTTGCACTTCCCGGTACCTCCCCTCATCCCTCAGCACTTCCTGTCACCTCTCAATGCGAGCGGTCGTTCACTGTCCCAGGAGTGAGCGACACTCACGTTCCCGTTCACGAGACATATACTGAGCGGTTCAGATCACTGTTCATGACAAAATGTTTCACGTTCAATGAACAAGTTTATTTTTACTCGTTCACGCACAACACTGATTTGAATTAAAATCAGGTCTATGGTTAGGTTACAAAAAAAAGACCTTTTTGGCCTTAGCCAATGTCTCAATGCATTTATAATGAAAGGAGGTGATTTTTAATTGCACTCAGGCTATGTCGTGTATAATTAGGACACTTTTTTTAACGGTTTGTTTTGAGTAGGCAGAATTTGTTAGTAAGCCTTCCCAATTTGATGTCAAGTTTGGATCATCGCGCCTCTTCTGAGGTTAGCTACCGAAAGCTCCAACAGGAACTACGAAACCCCAGAGAGAGATTTTTTTTAGAGCTTGAAAGTATTACCTACAACTTCAGACCGTGTCAATGCTCACATGGGCTTAAAGACCTTTCTTTCATTTTCCATTTGCTCTGTGGATGACCACTGTCCTAGCGCACATGGTAAAGGTCATGTTTAAGCAATGCGTCCAATGATGACTAACTGGCCACAAGTCTATTTGTTAAAATTACTCTATGTTTTTTGTAAAGCATCTGCGCTTCTGCTTCAGAGAAATCACATCACCTCTTTTCAAGTACTTCCTCATTAGGGGGAAGAAATACTCCATTAATAAAATGCTTTCTGTAAAGGTGCCTGACGTTGTTGCCGTGGGTTTTTACCTTTTGATCAAAATGGGGCATGTAAGTTTCCAGACATATAATCCCTGATAGACAGGATGAAACCAATGACTGTATACAAAGATGTTTTACAAGCCACTCAGGCAGGATCATCAACATTTTTTGTGGCATTAGTGCAGCACTCTCTGAGCACAAGCTGATCACGCCGCATGTGACCTTGAATTCTCTCCACTGAAAATAGCATAAGGGTTTTTCATTCTTCTTCTGGTTCTGTTTTTGGATATCAAGTTCCTCATTACTCACATGAATTACTTTGGTGCCAAAATAGGCTGTGCAAGTAAATATAAACCCTACTGATTCAGAAAAGGACAAACAAATATGCTAAAAAGCCACTTTTTATTTCCGACAGATTTTACAAGTACAATTTGGCAACTTCTGATTTACTTCAGATAATTAAAACTACTACTTTAAATAATATAAATATACAGATTTACAAGAGTTCTTAATACATGTTTAGTAAAAACTCATCTCTGAGTCGACCATGACCAGTTTTCAGGGTTTAGATATTGAGACCATGAGGCTTTGGTTTTGCTTCTAAACCAGCATCCTTCATTCTTCAAGCTCAATAAGTTTCTTCAGATCTGACTTCAACTGCTCCTCATCCTCTTCCTCTTCCTCAACTTCCACCTCCACTCCATCCATGGTTCTCTGCAGCTCCTCCTTGATGCGGTTCAGCTCGAGCAACCCCTCCTGCAGGTCTTTGCAAACTTCCCGGATCTTTGCAGCGAACTCAGTCTTTGCCCCCTTGTTGAGCTCAACGGAATCCTTGGCCAGGAAGAAGACATCCAGAGCAAGAAAGAGCCCCGACATCACTCCTGTTGTGACGCTCATGACCTGGGCAGCTTTGGCAGCGCTCCCTGCAGTACCCAGGACCTGAACGGTGTTGATCAGGCTCTCTGTATTGATAACCAAAGCCTTACCGGCTCGGCCACCCTCCTTCATCACGTGTTTGACATTTTGGTTGAGGTGCTTCTTTGAGATGCTCTCAGCATACTGTTCAAAGTTCCAGTCCTCCAGAACCTCCATTCCTTCCTGTCAAGTAAGTAAGAGTTTGAAAAATGATCAAACTTCAATTTTAATAAATCTGCCAACAAATTATAGAAAGAAACAACAAAACCTTCTCGTAGTCGTCTCACCTGCAAAAACTCCAAGCACTCCTTGATGTCCTTCATCTCCTCCTCGTAGTCTTGGATCATCTTCTCCACCTTCTTGCGATCCGTCTTTGAATGCACCGTGTCTGTGATGTTGGCTGAAGCAGAAGTCACCCCGCCTGCGGTAGCAACGCCAATGCCTACGGCCGTAACAATGAGCGATGTTCCCGCTGTGAAGGGCGCCAGGATGAGGCCGGTGATGGTAGTGATGGACCCTGCCACGCTGAACACCCCACCGCCCACGCTGGCTGACACTGTCTTTTTGTGGAAAATGTCTGCCGCGTCAGCTAGGGACAGAAGTTCAAGGATGCGCTGCTGGAGGGAAGCACCGCGCTGGTTGAAAAAGCGGACAAAAAGACGAGCTGCCATGAAGACACGATCAGCAGCTTGTTCCACCACACTAAGATGAGGAAACGAGGGAAAATGTGTCATATTGGGTCATGATATGTCAGTTTTTGTTTGAGAAAGTCAAAAACAAACAGCAATAATTACTCATATCAACGAATGAGCGACAAACTGACAAGATTAGGTATTTTAACCAACAGTGTATCTTTGTTAAAACCATCAGAGACATTTCTTCTCTTTTGTGAAGGTCCTACTTACTCTTCAGCATCATCATCCTGGTTCGCTTCATTCCACTCATCCCATCCTTTTAAACAGAAAAGAGGCTTTTTATCAACCACAGATGTTCACCACTGTAAACAGTACAACAAATGCATGAGCAGAACCGTCATATCAAAACATACCCTCCACTGTTCTCCACCACTCCACAAGGCCGTCCTCATCCTGGAAGTAATCAATAATACCATACATTAAAAAATGCATGCTGGGGTATTATATGATGATTTAATATTAACCAATAAGCTTACATCAAGGGGGTCCAGGGCTGTTCCCTCACTGGGTACGGGTATCTCAGCCAACTCTAGTGTCTGAACTTCCACTGCCTCCTTTAACAGAAAAGTTCAACATACTCTTTAAAGTCTTTGGTGAGCTTTCTCAGGTAGTTACAGCGGTTAGGGTTTGGATAGCATGCCGGTTGTCATTCCTGTCCTAAGTTCCAACAGTGTAAACACAGCACCCTCCCTTTTCCCAGCATGCATGTGACAACTTTGAGACATGACAGCCAAAAAAAAAAGATGACTCCATATTGTAGGTTACATAAGATGTTTATACAAGGGCCTCAACAAACGCACCATTCAAACCTGAGCGAGGAAGAGATATCAACCCTTTTCACAAGCAGATAGTCAATAAAGATTGTAAACACGTATCCTGTTACTCATGGATCTGGTCTGTCTTTTTAATTACTTAGGATGTTTTCACACCTAATGGTCCAGACCAAGGTCCGTGTTTTCGTTACATTGTTTGGTTCAGTCTGTTTAGGTTTCATACTGTCATTATTGCAAACAGACTAACAGACTTTGCACGACGAATCTACATGATATTGTCATCAACTAAGTGGTTTGTGTGTTTCTGTAGTTTACATTGATAGGTCATTAGGCCGGATGAAATCGTAATTCCCACCATCATACTTTTGTTGATTTTCTACCTCCAACAGCTACAACTTGAAGGAAGTCCATGAGTTTGATCATTAGACGACAACTTTATTGACATTGATAGGAAAGGAAAAGAAAGTATGCAATCTTCAGAGTCATTGCAACACCGGCTCGGGAGAAAGGTATGTGTGGTAAAAGTCTTGAAAAGATAAGCTGACAATAGTGAAGTATAACTTTATCTACAATATTATAAAATTTCCTGTTATTGGACAATCTTAATTGAACATAATAACGGACACTTCTACTCCTCGCGTCATTTCCTGTCTTTGGCACGAAGGTCTGAACCTTTCAAAATAATATTGTCACACTGGGCATGAACCAGACCATGGTTCAGTTTGGTCCGGAACAAGACCACCTCTTTTTGTCAGACCAAGGTCTGTCTGTTTGGTCCAGACCAAGGTCCTGGGGAGGTTTCACACCTGTCGTTTTGGTTCGGACTAAACAGAAAAGTGTTAAAGTCTGTACCAAACAACATCGGTGCGAAAGCCCCCTTAAATGTGAGCATTTATTTTGTGAAAGACAAGTTTTTGAGATTCTATAAAACAAAGTTTTGCAGCCTGGAGTTTGTACGTCACTAATATCACAAGATTTAGACATACTTCCTACCTGTTAACGACTGCCACATAAAGGTACCAGAACCCAAGAAAAAGCTGCCCAATCCAGTTAAACTGTTATTGAAATACCATTCTAGCGTAAAGAACAAACACACCAATGACGTAAGCTTGATTTTGAGTCATACATGACAAATATCAGTTGTTGACAAGCCTTCAATAAAGGCGTATTGATGTTAAAGATGGGTGACTTACAGATCAGGTGTCATCTCATTTTCTCTTGTGCTTTTCAAAGTTTGCTCTGTCATTTTCACTTGAAATCATCGTGATCTATTAGCCTGCCTAATGGGAGGAAGAGAGCCACCGCTAAAAAAACAATAGACTTGACCTGTGAAACCAGAGTCTGCCGTGCTACAGCGGAGTTCACTCAGGATGGAAGATATTTCAACAAAGGCGGCCGAGCTTCAATAGTAATTGCATGGACAAATAAAACCTGGTCCCATCTCTACACACCCTTTCTAAATACATCAGCCTGCCCGGGTTATTGAAGTGGCGATGAGCTGTGTATGGGTTTATTTACACGCTTTCAGAGCGCCGCTGCAAAGTTATTTGCATGAGAGGAGACGAAAGCTTAGGAGAACAGAGAATGCAAACAGCAGCAGCACTTCAGGTGCACTCTCTCCTCCGGTTTCATTTCCAAACTGCACCTACGTACTTGTATTACCCTCCTCTTCCCATTTCAACTGTCAGTTATGTCTTTTTTTAAATATTTAATCATTTATATTGTTTCATTTCCCCTTTTTCTGCTTTTTACACATTACTTTGGCTCTCTCACTCACCTGGGTCAGTGCCTGAGTGTCCGATGATGCAGAGTCCTATAGATCAAACACATGTATATATAAGTAGACTGATTAACAACATAAAACTCTCATTTTTTAATAAGAACTAAAGCACCGCAGCACTGTTTTCAGTCTCAAACATTTATTGGATTCAGTTTGAGTTTATTAAAAATTAAATGAAGGCTGATATTTACTTGTACCTTTGTTCCCGACCCAAACAACGCACTGGGCAGGATTCTCTTTATCCTGAAAGTCTTAAGAGGAAACAAAAAACATAAATATCACTTTATGAGTAAACAAGGCATAACTGGATGACTGATGGTTCAAAAAAGGGTGGGTCTCTTGGCAAAAAACACAAAAATTTCAACATGAAGTAGCTTGTACGTCACGTTTCATCCACTTCCTGAAACCACTGTTGAACATACCATTGTTCTTTTCTTTGGCCCCTCAGCCGGCTGGCTTTTCACCTCACAGCCGGTGTCGCCATCAGTGTACCAAATAGTCTAGAAAGAGGGTTGACAGATTAGTTCCTCTTATGCAAGACTGCTTACATACACCAGTAATTCTAAATATTTTTAACTCACAGAGTTAATGAGCGAGGTGTACCACAGGGCAGCACAAAGAAGCTTTTGTTTCATTTTGTGTTTAGACAAAACTTAAACCCAGATTCTGACGTTTAAGCACGCCTTCGTCTTAAATAGACTCATGCTGCCCGTGAAAAATGGACTGACACTGTTTTCAATTGTCATCATGTGCTTCTCCCTTTGCAGCTAGTTTGCATGCTTCCTGCTAGACTGCATGCTTTCTTTATAGTTGCTGCAATTAATCAGAAGAACACAATGGGCACAACACCAGGTGAGCCGGTGTTTTACAACCACCTTTGAGATTTGAAAAGCCAAGTCAGGAATCCGCCTTGATTATATTAGAGTGAGGAGTTGAATAAACAGTGAAGAAACGGCACAAAAAGGTCGATCAATCAGGAGGATAGTGTAATGTTTTTACATGTCTCTCTATAGAGCTGTCATTCAAGCTCTCCGTGCTGGTGGAGATCTCCTTTTGAAGAACTTTGTGTCCCTGAAATGAAGAACAAACAACACAGTTAATAATAGAACACATTGTTACCACGGGGGAATCACACAACAGGTTTAATATCCAGTAACTTGCAGCGATGATAGAGTGCAAATAAATGACGTATTTAAAAATGTTGATCTTTTTAAAGTATTATGCATCTGAGTGACGTCTTGGATAATTATGACTTGATTAAGGAAATGTAAACACCCTCTGAACTTCTCTGACCTCCCAAACAAACCATTTTGACCTTTACCTGCATCTTCGCTGATGAATCTGTTTTGGGAACTGCAGAGTCCGTCTCACATTCCTCTTCTGTCATCTGTATCACATCAGAACGACACATATTATCTGTCTGAAGTTCGCTTGGTTTGATAAAATTCCAGCCCAGACTACAGGGCTAATTTTTCTAATCAGATTTTAATGCAACTGCAAAACAATAAAGGAGAAGTTGGACAGTGTTTTGAAAAGTACCTGAGTGTAAGACTTGAAGGGGTTAACTTTCTGCATCATCCCTTTAAACACGTTAGGGTTCTACAACAAACACAAAACACAGTGAGAAAGCAAGAAGTAATAGTTTGGCACATTGTTAAAGCTTTGAAATACACAGAAGCTGAGAGACAGGTGTATCCAGAGAGGTAAATTATTTCCTTTGGCACCATCTAGTGTTACTTGTGTAAATAGCAGACCGCTTTGCCAGTGGATACCGGTCATTTTAGTGATGTGTCGGTCGCGAACGGACCGGTTCAAAGAGCCGGCTGTTTAACGTGAATGATCGGAGCCGGCTCTTGTCTGTGAGACGTTTGTTTTTTTCTTTTTTTCTCTCTTTTTTTACCCCACAGACCATAAAAAAAACTATAAGGCAGAATGACTGGATGACGGGTGCTCCATTCGTGCAGTGCATGACTGCGACATGCATGCTGTGTGCAACCAGTCACATGAGATTACACCAAGCAGAGTAGGGCGGGAGTGTGCCATGTGCTTGGGCTCATTTAATGGATGTGCTCAGGATGGCTACAGCTATTTACTGATATTGGAAAATGTCATTTTTACTTGTTAATACTTCAGCATAAAGGATGCATTGAATTATTTGAGAGATATGTACACACATGCGTACATATCATAAGCCAAACCACGCTAAATTTGGCTGAATTAGAAAATGTAGAAGTGGTAAAATAAGGAGCTGTTTGGGAGCCTCTTCTTGGTGACCGGAGAATGATCTGGCTCACTAAAAAGAGCCGCAATTCCCATCACTAGATGATTTGAGATATCTAAGCTGATTTGGAAAACAAGAGTTTGTTGTAAGTAGTAGACCTCGTTTTCTTCCTTCCATTTGATTGGTCAGGAAAAAAAAGGGGCATGCCACATCGGCTAATAAAAGGCTTGACCCCATCGAACTTACCTGCTTCTCTGGTAAGTTGTTATTGTCTGCCAAGTTTCCACCGCTTGAGGAGAGCTTGTTGTTGAGAGGCTGGGAGTCCTAAAAAAGTCGACATACAAGACAGATGTTCAGCACTGCCCAGTGAGTATGTTGCTGTAGAGAAAATATTAATATATCGCCGATCAAGAGTTCACATTTGGACCAAATTTCATTGATCCAAACTGAGTATTTAGTTTATTAAGCTCTCTAAAAGAAAAGATAAACAGAGTTCAATCCAGAAATTTCCCTCTGCAAGCCTGATACCCTTAATTGGTAACTTTGTTGGTTTTCAAACAGGTTTCAGTTCACTACGTTAGAATCAGTGTCTTTATTTCTGCTCCCATACCCTTTGGGAAAAAAAAAAATGAAAAAAGTTTGTTGGGAAATCCTTCCAACATTGGGGGTCAGCCCTCAAAGAACCTTTCGTCGACCAGATAAGTTATCTTAAGACTTCAGCATACGAGCTGTTTCTTTCAAATTCTAACTCTAGAGTAAAAAGACCAAAATATATAAAAACATTGAACAAAGTCAGTTGACTCCTTAAGTCCTTGTTGTAGTGGTCGCAAGTTCAACTCCCGTTACGTCTTCTTCTACTCTCTGCTACCCCAAATTTCCTCCCTCTTTTTGGCCACTCTAATAAAAAAACAAAAAAAGCCCCCAAAAATTATTTAGAAATGAGCAATCCTTTCCTCTGGAAACACTGTTTGGAGAAGGCCTCCATTAAGTCTCTGTTTGAAGAGTCATGTAGCTACAACACTTAGCCTGACCGCTCCCTCGTGAGAACCAGGACACCAGGACATGGCAGTAAAAACGGGTTCATCACTGTGGTGTTATCATGAGTCATTTGAACCCGGTACCTTTGGCTGTGAGGACTTGAAAGGGTTGACCTTCTGCATCATCCCTGCAAATGCCCCGGGGTTCTAGATTAGAAAAGAAAAAGCGATCAATAGGTCATTTAAAGCTGGACAAATTAATCCAAGATCCACAGATGATGGTCAGAAGAGCCGACACTTTACCTCTTTGGCTTCACTTTCTTTTGGGGGCCCAGGTGGATCTGCAGACTCGTTCTGAGGGTCGCACTTTGGCACTTGCTGCTGCTAAAAGATAACAGGAGCAAAAATAAACATCACACTAAGTAACTGATTAAGTTATTGGGCTTTATTTGTTGAATGTACATTAAAGATACCTGTGTGGAGGGCTTGAACGGGTTCACTTTCTGCATCATTCCTGCAAACGTCCCAGGATTCTAGTTAAGAAATATTAACCGGTCAAAATTAGACAAATATTTACTCGTTTCAACAACCTGGGCTTCTTAGTAAAAGATGTTATAAATACAGTAAGTCAGTTTAAACCATTGTTTGTCATATTATTTAATTAACTTTACAATAGGAATCGGAAAAAGACCATGAAAGGCTCATTTATGCTCACCATACGTGTGAAAATGTACGCTTTCTTTTCAAACGATAATTCCATCACTACCCACATACTTCCATGCGGCATGGATGTTTACCATTACATCCACCAGGGGGCAGGCCAGGGTCAAAAGTTTTTGACAACAACAAATAAAAAGAAACATGGCGATTGTGGAGGAGCTGGTGATAATGTATATTTTTGCATAGGAGACAGAAACAGAGGCAGTGATCGGTCAAGCCACTAAACGACTCGTGGTTGGAGGACAGAGAATTTTTTTCTCTAGTATTACCAATGAGAGAAACTGGCGACGATTGTCTTCTTTGTTTCTCTCTAGAGATGCGTATCGGGTAGTGACAGCAGCAACACTGCCCCCACGGTTTCCAGTGGTACTGCTCCATCTGGCCCGTATCCGCAAACTTAAACGATATGTGCAGAAACACGGACGAAAAGAACGCAAATACGGATCTGTATGCAACACTGGGCATAAATGAGCCTTAAGACGTCCCTTTGTGATTGTGTGACTGTGGTTGTACTCTATAAGAACTAATCAGTACTTTTCCACGTAAGCCTAGTATGGTGTCAGATTCTCTCTGTTGAAGTCGCTCTCCATACTAGCTGTGTGTGACACTGCTCTGCCCTCTGTCACAGCCAAGTCAATGTCGTATCTTCATTTGGTTCAAACTATTTCATTTTACTGGTCCCATTGGTATTCATAGATCTACCTGCTTTTCTGGCACGTTGTTGTCGGTTAAACTCCCATTGCTTGAGGACAGCTCGTTGTTGAGAGGCTGGGAGTCCTAAAAAGTCAACACGCAAGTAGGAGAAAAACAAACTGAGAATGTAAAAGTGGTCCAAAAAGAAAAACCAGTGACTGACTTGTAGCTTGAGCATGAAATAATCAGGGAGCTGTCGACTGATACCTTTGGTGGTAAAGATTTGAAGGGGTTGACCTTCTGCATCATTCCTGCAAACGACCCTGAATTCTGGATAAAAAGACACAAACTTAAATGTTGCGAGGGCTTTAAGGTCCACAGATCACGGACAGAGTAGAGAGAGAGAGTTTACCTCTTTGCTTTGAGGTTCTTTTACAGGCCCGGGTGGTTCTGCAGATTCACTTTGAGGATCACTCTTTGGCACCTGCTGCTAAGAGTAGATAGTTACAGGTGTAGAAAAATCGACACTAAGCTTTCGGTCTTGTGTTTGTCGTTTTTAAATAAATACAAAGAGAAGGTACCTGTGTGAAAGGCTTGAATGGGTTGACTTTCTGCATCATGTCTTTAAACCCACCAGGGTTCTGAAACACAAGCATGTAAGAAAGAAAGAATAATCAACACCCTGGAGCCTAAATGGCCATGAGCGGGGCTCTTCATTTACCCACCTGCTTGGGGTCTGAGACTTGTCCCTGTTCCAGTGACTCTGAAGACGGAGCTTTAGGGACCTACATGAGAAAATAAGCTGACAGTCTAACACAGATTATAACACTGTGACCATTTTAACATGCAGACATTGCCATGGTTACCTGGGTGGTGGACTTGAATGGGTTGACCTTTTGCATGACACCTTTCAGCCCACCTTGGTTCTGAAATACAAGTTTTAAATATTCAAACAAGGTCTCTCGTGTGTGATAGCCAGTGACTCTGTCGTCTAAGGAACTAGAAGCTAGTTTATTCAGTTTATCACGTTTGATGAGAGGAGTGTGCACAACGACAATGCTAAGAGTTTAAGGTCGAGCGATGGATTTTTAAAGGGTTGAATCTAGATCAAATGGTCTGTATCTGTAAGATTAACACTTAAGTTTTGTTTCTTTGTTTAGTAATACTGTTGGTCTTTGTTTCGTAATATTGTTGGTCTTTGTTGTTGTTTTGTTTCTTTGTTTAAAGATATTGTTGGTCTTTGTTGTTGTTTGGTCTCTTTGTTTAGTAATATTGTTGGTCTTTGATGTTGTATTGCCTCTTTGTTTAGTAATATTGTTGGTCTTTGTTGTTGTTTTGTTTCTTTGTTTTGTAATATTGTTGGTCTTTGTTGCTTTTTGTTTCTTTGTTTATTAATGTGGTTGGTCTTTGTCTAGTTATATTGTTGGTCTTTGTTGTTTTGTTTCTTTGTTTAAAGATATTGTTGGTCTTTGTTGTTGTTTTGTCTCTTTGTTTAGTAATATTGTTGTTTATTGTTGTTGTTTTGTGTCTTTGTTTAGTAAAATCGTTGGTCTTTGTTTTTGTTTTGTAACTTTGTTTAGTAATATTGTTGTTCATTGTTGTTGTTTTGTCTCTTTGTTTAGTAATAATGTTGTTCATTGTTATTTTGTTTCTTTGTTTAGTAATACTGTGGTCTTTGTTGTTGTTTTGTCTCTTTGTTTAGTAATATTGTTCATCTTTGTTGTCAACAGAAAGGAACAATCTGGACAAAATTTTATTTCATTGGACATTTTTGTGCAAAAACACACACAAAAACAACATAAGCATCCAAGCAGAAACGATCAGTGTTGAAAATGAAACAAATATAGGACTACAAAAACTGCACTTCTTCTTTCCACTTAGAAGGAAACCACATCAAGTAGGTGGGTAGGTGTTGGGCCGCAACTACCCTTTAGCAGGTGTTTTATTTATTTCTGCAACTACAGACGAGCAAACCATGATCTTCAAGTTCAAGACTGGTGGGCCTGCATATGTCAAAGATTTTGAGCCCCATTGAAAGATGTCCAATTGGACTCCACTACTGCAAATATTCAAATATGTCTGGGGGTCCCTGTCAGTCTTGGGTCCTGAGCATAATACTACCTTTTTCCCTCATATGTGCCCCTGCTGATTGGAATTAGATTGGTATGATAGATGTGCGAAGCTTCACCTGCAGTCTTGCATTTGTCTACATAACAAATAAGACAGGCAAATGAAAATAAGTGAGTCAGACGGGCCGCTAAAAACAGAAGTTAGTTTTACCAGGCGTGTGAATGTTGTCTAAAGATCTAATGTTGTTGTTAGGACACAAACTCAAAGTTATAAACTCTTCTTCTCACCTGGGTTGACTCTGTTCCCTGTTCTAGTGAATCTGAGGAAGGGGCTTTGTTGACGGTGGAGGAGGCCTGGGTGAAGAAAAATCTTGTTTTAATTAAATGGTCAAAATTATAACAAATGCTTCAATGTACGTAAATGTGCAGCTTTACCTGTGAGGTATACTTGAAGGGGTTGACCTTGTTCATAACTCCCATCACCCCTGCCCTCTAATGCAAAACATACACATTAAATATGGCAACCTTCGTCAGAATTTGTCGGGATTTTACAAACGAATTACGTCTTTTTTACCTTTGACTTTGGGATCAGCTCAGCTGACACCTCGCTGTTGATTTCCTGCGAGAAATAAAAACAGTCAGGATGTGAGGAGACACCTTTATTTGTGTATCTGCGGGTTCGAACATTCACCTGTGAGGCTTCTGTCTCTTCTGCATCATGCTTGTTCTGGCTGTACGTGATGGGACCGTCCAGATCCTGGTGATGAATAAGTCATCAATTAATAAAACAAATAAACAAACAAACACAGAAAAGCTAAATACTGCCGCTCCTTCTGAAGCTATTCGTACCTCTTTGCTGGGTCGAGGTGGGACACTTGGATTTGTCCCTTTGTCTCTTCTGAACATATTCATGCTGGGATAAAGAAAGTTAAAGCCTTCAGCAGCCATGAAACTTGAGAAAACCACTGAAATTCACTCTTAGTAGCTGCATAATGGGGTAAAGAAAATGTATCAATGTATGTCCACTTTGGGCTTCCATAGACTGGACAAGAAAACATTGCTAAAGTAAATACAAGCCCTGATGGTCACGTGGTCTTTAGTTTTGTACTTGTTTTAAAGCTCCCACGAAATGGCAAGGTCATGCTTCGTCTCCTCACTCTTGGCAGACCTACGAGCCAAACTCCATTCAAATATTTCGCGATTTTTCCCAAAAAATAATCTGGCGAAGTCTTGAATGTCGTTAAATGTGATTTGGACACTTTGATGAAAAAACAGCTTTAACTAAACAAAGAAAATCTTTCGGTGAAAGAACCGGTTGTTTCTACTTTGTTTACACGACGTCACCTGATACCTACCGTCAGCGTGAAAGCAAAGCAAGCAAGTGGTAAAAGTTTGAAAATACTGGTTCAAGTCGAGTTTTACTGAACATTAAATAAGCCGAATGTTAAAAAGTAACAAATTGAGCTGCTATATACTTGAAATTTACGTCAAATAACACGTAGTCAAACAAAAACCCAACAAAGCGATAACTTGGTGAAACTTTCAATTGAGTTTGGTTGTGTCGCTCACTTTAAACGCAGTCACATACGCCCATTAGAAACAGCATCGTCCATGGTGTCAGCGACTACACAGGAATGTTGACAACACAAAACACCACCAACAACATTAGTAAGATGGATGCCTACCTCAGTGTGGCGACAAGAAAAAGCAGATGTTTCAAAAAAGCCGGGTCACAAAGTTTCAACAGGAGAGTAACCGAGTTTCAAAAGTTGTACGCCGGTCTCTCACTTCCCCCTCATCACGCAGAGACGTCAAACTGGTTTGTCCAAAACCCGGGCTCACATCGGTCGTGTTTGATTACCGATGATAATGGCGCTCCCCTGCTCTGATTTCAGGTCAAGACAGTTCAAAAAGAGAACAATACGGGTTCAGGCTACTCATGTCAGGTACTTCCCTCCACCTTCATATTAGGCTTACTTTGGAAAACAAGCGTCCTGTGTCCTCATTTGAATCACCTGTGTTACCTTAAAAGGGGGCGTGGCCTCTTTCCTCTGGGATTCTTTTTGTCCTATGATGGATGTTATTGAGTGACCAAAAATTTCTGGACCACTCTACTTTTGATAACAGCCTCTGACATGTAAAGCACTAGATAGACTTGGTTTAAAAAATTTTTTTTCAAAAACAGTCATGTTTTACATAAACTTAAACATACTTTTTACGATAGAAAATCAACAGCTCAGACTTGTTTGCTTAGTTTAAAGTGATATATACAATCTTTATTCATAGATACAAATTTACATGATTTACATTTTACATGTTTATTATCTTGCAGGTTAGAATAAAGTAGGAAAATAATCTGAGGGTATGAAGTATTGATAAAATAAAAGAAAAAACAATCACATTTCTTAAAAAACATCCAACAATTTTGACTTAAAGGAGTTTATATTTCTCTGTATTTACAAAACAAGGACTAAAATTCTATGGCTTTATTTGCAAATGGAAAACCAAAGAGACATAAAGAGGTTAAAGTCATCCATGATAATTCCTTCAGTCATGCATAAACACATTTGTTTGTATAATATACAGTGACATAAAGTGTATCAAGTTTTTGCTTGCATTAAATACTTCAAATAATAAATTGTATCCTTCATCGAACTAAAATACAAAAGCTTCAATAACTGGAAATTTTTTTAACTCATGCAATTTTACAAAATATTTTTCAGCAGTATTTCTACCTTTAATACCCAAATATACTGTACGTAACCCAAAAAATGACATATTAGAAGTTGTTGAAGCTTTTGCAGCTGACTCATACAAAAACACAACCCACAGTTCAACAAAAACTTTCACTACACATGTCAAGAAATTAAATTACCCTTCATGTACCGTATTTCTCTTTGTGAATGAGGAACACCCTTGCCTTTGTTTTTGTGGAGAAACCACTAAAAACAGGATGTGTGTTAAGATCACGTGATCAGAAGCAGCTATTTACAAAAATACTCCTGAGGCTAAACTAAATATTGCAACTTTTTCTCTCTTTGTTCACAAAGTTTCCTCTCTTCTTGCTCTGACATATTTTAAATGCAGGAGAAGCAAACTGTTATCACAAATGCAGTGAAATTTGATAACAAAGGGCCTTAAAAAAAACAAAGTTTGTGATTATTCATACCTATTTTTTGTGATACTGTGCTAAACAGGTGTGATATAACTAATTGCAGTGATTACAGCGTGATTGCATTGTGATGCATTCTGTTTAAAGTATGCTCTTGGCGCAAAGTAGGAGGACATGCAAATATCAATTAATTTACATTTTAAGCTCAAGTGTCAGGGTTGACAAGCTACCTGACATTTGAACCCATCACCCAGGAAGAAGTGCTGAAAGTGCAAATTTAAGGGGTCTATTTACAAGTTATTTTGACCTGTAACCTGTGCACATTAAACATCTTACATCAAATAGTACAAATAAAAAGTTAAGACTTACAGTAACACCTCATCTCAGATATGTAAGTAGTTGCATGTAATTTCAATTGTTCCCATAGTTCATGTATTTCACCAGTAGAGGGGGATGTTGATCTATATTTGCCCAAGTGTCAGAGTGCAGGATGTTCCTCATAAACTCCCAGTCGCCTCCTGTAACTCCTCTCTGATTGCATTCAGCTCGACGATCCCGTCATTGAGCACGTTTGCCACCTCCTTTATCTGAGCCACCACCTCTTTCTTGCACCCCTTCCTCAGTTCCCTGCTGTCCTTGATGAAGTACTTATCCATGCCTTCGAAGAGTCCCTGGACTGCAATGATTGCCGCGTCTGTGATCTCGGTCGCCCGCATGATGGGCGAGTCGACTAAGCTGATCATCTGGACGGCTCTGCGGATCTCCCACTCCTCTGAGTAGTGCTGGGTGCCCGACCTGAGGAAGGGGTGGCCGCGGAGTTTGTACAAGCCCTGGTTGACAAAGTGGAGGATCTTCCCGATGTCCTGCAGGTGACCCTCATAGTTCTCCAGCACTACCTCCACCTGGGGAAGGAGGAAGAAGAACCAGAGTGGATCGTGAGAAGACCAAAGATCTCAAAAATGGAAATATGGGAACGACTGAATGCCATCACCCTTGATAGTCATACTAACACTTCTATTTTTACAAGCCGGTCACATGTTGTGTCTAAGCTGTAACACAGCCACCTTTAGCTCCAGTAAATGGTGATTGTCATAACATCATACTGTTCTACTATCTGGATGTAAACAGGCATAGTTTACCTCTCTAGTAGAGTACAGTTTGACCGTGATTTGATCTAGAAAATGGGGATAAAGTTGAACATATGTAGCCTTAACCAGCACAGGCAGGTGGACCTTAACCTCCCTAAACCTTCTAACAAAAGGCTGGTGGTGCTATCCACACTCTGCAAACCACTTTGACATTGTTTACACTCAGAATCGGTGATCCCCTGTTTGATCCTTTGAAACAAAAATGTCGGCTTACTTTCTTGCGGTCGTGCATGTTGTTGACGTTATCAGAGATGGCAGCAGAAGCCGAAGTGATTCCCCCAGCTGTCGCCACTCCAACGCCAATGGCGGTTATCACTAGGGAGGCCCCAAAAGTAACAGGTACCAAAGCCAAACCAGCAATGGCTGCCACTCCACCCACAGCTGTCGTGGTCCCACCGGTGATCCCGGCTATCTTTGCCTTGTGGTGGAAAGAGCTTATGTCATCGGCGATGGCGTGGAGCCTGATGATGGACTGCCAGAGGACCTCGGCTCGCTCTGTGAAGACCTTGTTGTAGACCTGGAGGCCGCGGTGAACTTTATCCGCCAAGATGCTGAATGACCTGGAGAGAAAGTACAGCTCAAAGTTTGGTAGAAGTGAAGTTTTGTTTGGCGTAAACCAAAGTCACTGGATATTCCATCATCTTGCCCTTTACAATCTTAAAATCTCACAACATCAAACCCTATGTCCTCACCAACAACTACAATTAGAGTGACAGAGGAAATCATCAATCCAGCTTAATTAAAAGGCACCAGTTTGACGGACATACTTGGACTCGTCTTCCTGTAGGACTTTTTCCTCATCGTCTGACGGCACCTCGTCCCATTCTGAAACACAGTCCAGTATTTGTTTTTTAATCAAAATTTCTTGCTTGTATTGCTCGGTCACAGTCATCAGAGTGTCGCTTTATTCAGATCTGAGAGTGACTTACGTTCCACGGTGTTCCACCACTCCATCAGACTGTCAGTGTCCTGTGAAAATAATTGATTTTTACATCACGATTGCATGCTGGTTGAATGGAGTGCTTCAGTTAAACTACTTTGAAGACAAACTGACCCCTTCCTCGTCCTCGTCCTCCAGACCTGCTTCGGTCTGCTCATCCATCTGAGCGGCCAGCCACTCCGCCTGGGTGAGGGGGACAAAAATAAACCAGGGCATTCGTCAGTAGACCTTTGCTATGTGCTCAATCAAATTAGTCATCAAAGCCTCCCTACACTTCACCCTTTTGTATCCTAAGGTTGCTAAGCACGAGTTTTGTGCGTTGACTCAGCTATGTGACTGAACCGGCTCCGTCACAAGTTAAAGGAATGTGTCCCATCAGGAACGAAGACGCAGAGATAACTACAGCAGCAGTGGAAAACAACAACATTTCATAGTACTCTCTCAGCTGTAAGTTGAGGTCAACAAATGTTTTTAAAAAATGTCTGTTTTTATGGAAGAAAAACTTTCAGTATGAATGAGTTTTTTTAATTAGATCCTTTTTAGCTTTTAACACCAAGAACACGACAATCATGGTTCTATAAGTTCACGAGTGTTAAAGAGTAAAATAATAAATACTTGAAACTCAGTCAAGATTAACTCAAACAGGAGATGGCATCAAGTAAATCATAACAGTATAAGAACTGTTTTTGGTGGATGGAGTGAAGTCCGGTGGAAACTGTCCTGTGGTCTCATGTCTAAATTTGACCCTCTTTTTGGAAATCATGGACCCCATGTCCCTGGTTCTGGTGAGGAGAGGGACCACCAGGTTCGTTATCCATGCACAGATCAGAAGTACGCTAATGTGATGGTATGGGGATGCAGACGCGCTAATGGCATGGTTAGCTTACATGTCTGGGAACGCACCATTAATGATAAAATGTGATGAAATGTGGATTGTACATTTGTAGGAGATTCGAGACTAAAATAGTTCCTTTTATCAGGGTCAAGAATCACGCTGACACACTTCCTCAATGAGCTGCTTCCACATGATTTACAGCCGCATAATCGTTTGTGCAAACAAACAAAGGCATGGGTTGTTAAGTCCTGAAATCTGGGTCATTTAGTAGGCCAATCATGCTAACCGGTCTGTGACCAAGATGACAAAGGTTCACAGTAGATTAAAGATATTTATCAAAGCCTAAAAAAATCTGCCAAACTCACCTTGGCCGCCTCTGACAGGCTGCCAGAAGCAGCTCCTGGTGGATCTTCGTGCTCCAAATTCACAGATTTCCTCTAGCAAGACAACGAGCCCATTATCCACATCATGCTTGAAACTTTCATTCTTTATATACAAAAAACAAGTTTGACCACATGAACTCACCTTTGTTATTCGTTTCTTTAAGGCTTTCAGTTTCGATGACTTCTTCTGTTGTGAAAAATAAAATGTTTGAGAGTCATACGTTGGAGTTTAAAAACCCCAAAGTGGAAAAAACAGAGTGATGCTAGTACCGGTTTGCAGATGTCTGGATCATCTTGGTCTTCGGGGTACATCTCGAGGGGATTCAAGAACTCATTTCCTGTTTCTTCGACATCATCGTCATAGTCATTGAAAGCATCCTGTTACGAAAAAAAATCAATAACTCTCCAAAACAACAAAAAACACTTGAAAGAAAGCACAATTCTGGCGGTGAACGAACCTTAGCTGCTTGCTCAGGTACGTGTTGGCTGAATCCATTTGTCTCACTCTGTCCGTTTGCGGTCTTGGGTTTGTGTGGGATGGGTATGGGGGCTTTACGTTTGGTCTTTTTCTGACAAAGAAACAGGAAAGTATTGTCAGATGGACAGGTGGAATTCAACCAAGTGAAAAGTTAGACGGAAATGTATCTGCGTCTGTCTTTTATCTACATTAAGTAACTCTAATCGATCAGTCAGATGTTGTGCAGCTTCTATTCCTCATTCAAACAGTCTCATGTTAAATAAAAGGTTCACTCTCATGTTTAGAGATTGTTAAAGGGATAATCTGCTATTTATCTTCTCCGCACATTCAACAGCGCTGCTTTTATGATAACATCCTCTATTGTTGTTAATCTTTGCCGTCTGAAGGGTTGGTTTCTTTCTTTCTTTGGTCTTTGCGCTGCGTCACAGGGTGTTTCTACCAGACAAGACACACAGCTCTCTGCTTATACTGCTGCTGTTGTTAAAAGACTCTTAGTACCGGTTTTTCAAACTCGTAGAGCTCTTCATCGTCCAACCCCTCGGCTGAAAAGCTGCTCTTCTTTTTCTGGAACTGGACGTCATCAAGCATGTCCTCCTAAATATAAAACAAAATTAACCTTCAGTCTTCAGTTTATGAGTGTCATTTCTTTTTATATCACCATGCTGTGAATATTAACGCGCCATTTAAAAACGCTGACCTTGGAGCTTCGTCGGTTTGCATGCAGCAGTTTCATCTTTGTGGATTTCTTCTGTTCATGAAGGAAAAAAAGGCCTTTAAGTGACTACAGGCGACAGAATCATTCATGAGAAACTCCATGGACTTACTGGTTTGACGTCCTCCTGTCCATATGGGTCTTCATCTCCATTCAAGTCAGCAGACAACTGCAGCCCTTTCTGTAGTTCTTCATCTTCCATGTAATCAGCCTAAGAAACAGATAAAAAACAACTATTAGAGGTTTACCTCCCAACACTTAGTACCAGAAGAAGTAACAAGAAGCAAAGAAGTAGAGAACAAAAGGTTATAAAGGCAAGATGTCCAATTTCCACATCATATTTTCATTTATTTGATCTGGCAATACAGCCCAGGTTAGGATGATAGATTATTTCAACGAGTGAAGATGACAGCCTGGCACGCTTTGGTGGACTTTTGTCAAGAAAATGGAGATACAGCTGTTTGGTGACTTCTTTCAATCAACTTGATCAAAGCAATATGCGACCAGCACTGATACCGCTGTTTACCTGCAGGGAGGACAAAAGGCTGGTGGTGCTAGCTCTGCTAACTTAGCTAGCTAGCTAATTCGACGTTGTTTGCCTGCAGAGTCTGTGATCTTGTGTTTAGTTTGCAGAATAAATAACGCTCAATTTTAACAGTTTTCTGAGTTCACTCGTCTTTAAATCAATCAGCTTTTCAGAATTTAAATTTTTGTTTCCTTTAGGTGCTTCAAAACATCTTTTATCTTAGAAAATGTGCAGGATATTTGACCCTACAATTCCCACCCCCATGTTTATTGAAAAATATGCAAAAATATTCAAACGTTAATGTTTACAATACCAAAAAACACACATTACAGAATGGCGACAATAAAGGGAAAGTCTAACCTTGCAAGATGATTGAAGACTTTGGCTTTTTAGCTCTTCCACGTTCTCAAAAGCATCCGCCTGAGAAAAAGAGACACGAAACATTTGATCGAGTGATCGAGTCATTTCATGTTATGAGGGAGTATTATCCTCAAAATTTAATTGTTTCATAAAAGTAGGCAAAACCAATTTTCCCTATCCAACAAGTCTTGGATAAGGGAACAGGACTGAAGGAGGGATGTACCTGGGACTTTTTGCGAGGCGTGTAACCGTACGCACCCAAAGCCTCATCGTATGATTTGTCCTGAGGAGAGAGAAAAAAATTCAAACTATGTTTCAACTCGTGGAAATCGTCTCTCCAAGAATTATACCAAGCACTAACCCGTTTAGTTAAAAGGCACTCATCCTCACCTTTGAACTCTTGCGTGGCGTGTATCCGTGGGCTCCCTGCAGTTCATCTTTCTGTGGAGAGAAAGTTTTGACATGACGTGAGTTAAAATGAATTATTCAAAGAAATACTAGAGTGTGAAGTAAAACAGACGTGTTCTACCTTTTCCACAGTGATAGCAAATCCTCTGTGAGGCACGAACTTGATCTTCATCCTCCTTTTCTTCTTCTAGAGAGAGAGAAGGAAGATTAGATTGTGGTCTACTATTGTGTAATCTTGAGTCATATTGACCTTTGATGACATTCTGGTTCTGGTACACACATTGCCCTGCACTGTTACTAAAAAGTGATCTTACCTCTCCATGCTGGGCTTCTCCTCCATCCTCCTCTTCCTCACCAGTGCTGCCATCCAGAACAGTCCCCTGTTAAAAATGAAAGAACCCCATCAAAAACCGTCCACTGAGTAACATCTAGCAACTGTTTGTAATAGCTGTCCTTGCTTGCAGCCTGAATTTCATGGCCATACAAATTTTATATTTTGTAAAGTAACAGCAGAAACTTACATCTGACCATCTGCGTATGATGGAGTTTTTCTTGCTCACACTTTTCTTATCATCCTGTTGTGAAATGAAATCAAAATACATAATCATATCTCCTGATAAGAGAGGATAATATCAGAAAAAAACATCTTTTCGTGTAAGTATCCAACCTTTGACTCCTGAGGTACAAATCCATTCATGCGCTTTCCATCTGGCACAGAGGAATTCGTAGATGCTCGTCGAAGCAGGTGATTGACTTTGGTTTTCACTTGTCTCTTCTGTGAACAAATATATGAAGAAATATTAAATTATTACTAGTTAAGTGTCAAAGCTCATTTATAGGAAAAACCGTTTTAAGCCAAAAACATACTTTGTAGTCCACCCAGTTCTCTTCCCCATCTTCGTAATCTTCAGCTGACATTTTCCCCTCTGCAAGATAATCCTGAAAAAGCACGGTCACATTTCATTCAAGCAGGTACCACAATAACCATGAATTTCTTCTACAGTTTTATTTGTTTCGAACTTAAAAACACCCGCAGTTCAAAGACGACACTTTACTTACTGACACACTCATGAAACTTCGATTAGTACCTTTGACGATCTGCGTGAAACTGGTAGTGTCCTGCTCTTCCCTTCTACTGTATCATCAGGATACTTGTCCTTGTCGAAGTGAAAATCATTATTAGTATAAAAACCAACAAGCAAACACAACCAGACCAATGTTCTTGTCATTGTTAAAGCCTTGTTTACCTTCGACCCTCTTCTGGAAAGTATTGACATCCTGTGTTTCCTTTCTTTCTTCTGTAAGAAGAAGTTTAATGTGGAGCACAGACTGAAAACTACATCGATATCAACTATGATGGACTATGACGAATTTGTGAGGCTGTTATGCTGTACCTTGCCCTGGAACCCAGAGCCATCCTGGTCTTCGCCACTTCCTCCATCAGATTCCACCTTCAGCTAAGAGAAAAGTACACCGTCATCAGCCTCATGACTCTCCATTTAAACTCACGACACGACAACAGGAATAACCTCAAACTTACTTTATAGGATTCTCGCCGTAGTCTCAATGCTCCAGACTTTTTAAGAAAAGGTAAAAATTACTTATTGGATCAAGTGTCTTGGATGCAACATACATTTCAAGGAAGGGCATTGCTCATGTTTGACATACAGGTACAGATTATGAGAAGATTTGGTTTTAAAAAAATTGAGTTAGAAGAGTTTCCTTACCGGCTTGAAGTCTGGGTTAAGCTCTGGACTGTCTTCAGGCCAGTCCTCGACACACTTTTCCTGTTTTGGAGTTCAGTAAAGCAAACTTTTATTAAATCAGCTATACCTCAAAAATGTTTGCATGGTAACCACAGTAACCACGTTCCCCTTAAAGTCAAATTTTTGGATCCTCTTTGTGTTGCCAGGCCAACGTATCCACCCAAATTTACATCAGTTACTTGCCTTTATTTTCCGCCCTACCCCACAACAATGTGTACTGTCCACTATGTTTTTTCCTGTCATAGCTTTATGGTATGGTTTGTCAGGAGCTGTTCCACAAATATTTAAACATTTTTTATTTCATTTAAAACCAGTGAAAACACACCTGTCCAATCAGGAGGATGTCCTCAAAGACGACATAGTTGTCAGGTTCTACCGACTTATTTTCCTGTAAAAGAAGAAAAAAAAAAAAAATCTGACATTACTGTGTAAACATCAAGTTTACACAAACAAACGACCAAACATAACTTCCAGCATTGTTCTTCATTTGAGATTATGACCTGTGTCACAAGTATGCTGTGGTTAGAAGTATAACTCGGTCAGATTTAATCAGCATCCTTACCGGGGTTTTTGGTTTACGCCGAATAACAGGTTTTGGGAGACCTTTGAAAGACAGCTTGGGAGACGTTTTTGGCACAGGTGTTTCAGGTTTCGTCTTAACACGATTCAAGAGTAAAAAAAAGAAGGTATTAAACAAGCTAGAAAATTAATGATGAAGAATTGAACATTTGACTGAACTGTGTTTTTGCATACAAGGTTTGTTGGTGCGGGTGGCCTTGCTGGTGGGGTAGGTTTTACTAATGCAGGTGGCTTTTCTGGTCTTGGTGGCTTTTCAGGCCCAGGTGACTTCTCAGTCTTGAGTGGTTTGGTTCGAGGAAGTGGTTTTGGCGGACGTTTAAAGGTCTGCACCTAAAGGAATGATTGTCATGTCAAACAGGCTGAGCAGAAACATAGACTTGGCTCCAAATATGGGTTATTCAAACATCAAATGGTACCAGTGACATACATGAGCCATTTGAGCTTGAGACTGGCTGGGTGACATGGACAGATTCCTGGCCCGACTGAAGGGAGACGGCTGAAGGATATCGTGTTCAGTTCCTCCAGGAGTGGTCAAGAGGATGTCCCGTGGCTTGTCAGCAGAGTCGGAATCCAAGGCTTGATCTGATGGCATGGGCTTGAAGAGATCTGGTGTTGACAGCATGTCCATCTTTGTGTCAGACAAACCATCTTTACCAACTCTCTTTGGGGGAAGAGGTTTAAAGATATCTGGAGTGCCTTTTGATAGATCTTGGAAAGGGTCGTTTTGTTTGAAGGGAGTAGAACCAAAAGGATCATCCAAACTGGAAGTGTCTTGGAATAAATTCCTTGTGATCGGGCTTGGGAATGGATCAACTGCAAATGCAGATGAGGGTGAAAACACATCCTCAATTTTCTCTGAGGACTTTTGGTTCATCAGTTCCTGAGTCTTGGTTGAAGCTGGTTGAAACAAATCCACTTCACTGGTTGTGGCAGAATAAAACGGGTTTGCCATTGTTGGCTGAGTAGATTGGATCGTATCCTTGTTGTTTGGAGAGGAGTTGAACGGGTTGTCAAAGAGACCCGGGGACTTATCAGAGAAGTCGCCCATGCCATTGGCTGTATCATGTCCTGTAGCAGCCTGAAGATTCACCTCTTTATTTTTAAACATTGTGGATGTTGGTTTAAACAAGTCTGCCGAGTTCAGTCTCGAATCATGAGAATGCCCATTGGTAGATGCAAGTTGAGTGGATCCATTAGACTTTTGAGGCTCAGAAAATCCAGCTGCATTTGCCACAGTTTGACGTTGAGTTTGGTGATCAAGAGGGGAGCTCTGGAACTCAGGTGGAGGGAGAAAGACAGCATCCAGGTTTTTCTCCTTTGAGGTTCCCCCTGTGTCTTCCTTTATGTGACCTTTGCTGCCCCCCGATTCCTGGTGAGAGAAAACAAGACTACTAAGAGGATGTTTCGCGGGAACAATATCTTGGTGATAACTGTGATGACATGACTTTTTACTAACCAAATAATATGAATAAAAGGGGTTATTTCTGGTCAAACCTCCATTGACTTCATTCTGAGAAGTGGAAACAAAGAAAGGAGACAGTTAGGTGGGTTACATTTCACTTTGACTGGCTGGCATTCAAAACACACTTGAGGGTCTTTGTAACTGGGGAATGTCCTGCCCCCCGTTACACATTAAACAATTTATTCATTGAGAAAATGTTAAAATGTTGGAGGTCCAACTTTCGTAATATTTAAAACACAAATGTTGGTGCAATCCCCTTGCATGTTTTCTAGGTTCACCTTTCAGGAACTTCCCAGGACTTTGCCTGAACCTTTCACCAATGCCTAGTGGGAAGATTTTATGTTTTCAGGCCAACAGTGGCCACATCATTGCTGCTTCAGCTGCCACTTCACCTATGGCACCTTTGTAAACAATCCCCAGGATATGCCGAATTTATCTCGAGCAATAAATTTATTAAGACCCTCCATAGAGGCTCAAAACCACAAGCGGTATGTAACATTACAACAGCAGACAGTGTACCAATAGGTAGGGTATGCTAACGGGGCTAAATAGGGAACTAAGTGGGCACTAAAAGCTAGCTAACTTTTTGAGTCATCTCATGACTACTAAGCTGTGCGAAAAGTAACACCTATATCGCTGGAATAGCAGGGACATTAAAGAGTTTCTTCAAGCTTCAACTGAGCAAATCAAAGTTAATAATTCAGTCTTTGATTTCTTTGAAATAGTGCGGGTGTGCTGTAGAGACCAAAATGGTAGATGCTACTACGGATGCTAAATAGAGCAGAAGATGCTATTCTGGTTCTAGTTAGACCCGTGACATTACTTGAACAATACAGCCTGCCCTGCCTGAATGAGGAGCTCTAAAGATAACATTGTGTTTCTAAGAACAAAACAAGACAGAGGGTGTGCCGTGTGACTGCGCCGCAGTAGCAGGAAGATTTTTATCCGCTGCTTTAAAATCACCCTGAGGGAAAAAAAGAAAAAAGATTTGTCTTTTTGAAAACATGAATCCTACTTTTAACCACAACTTTCTGATCTGTCAAGTTGACCTCTTTACTGATCAATTTTATGTGGAAAATTTGAAGCACGACAGAAATCTTTAAGAGTTGTATCATTGTATCTCTGAAACACGCCGCGGCAAATGAACAACAACCCATTTATGGAGATGTAAGCGTGGGACGTCATGCTTTGTGGTTTTCTTCGATTGTGAATCACTGTGATAAGGAGGTCAGGTGTCACTTCTCAGATATGTAAACAGAAGTTTGTCAACAGGGGATGTTGCACAACCACGCCTGAAGCTGCTGGTGGTTATTTTCTGCTGTTACCCCTGCGAAGAAAATAACTGGGAGTGCCTCTGTTGAACACTTAAAGATACATTAGTGGAGTATTACTTAAGGGCTCTCAGCCAGCAGCTTTCTTCAGGGCTGAAAGATGTTACGCTTCCTCACCTGTTTGTTGACAGACTCATTAGCAGATGATCCGCTGGATTCAGAATTTGACGAAACAAGAGTCTTGAGTGTGGGAAGATAGAGAAAAACTGACAATTAGAAAGAAGGCAAAGCTAGTTTCTCCTTAAAGACCACAAAGTGTATCAGATCTGATCAAACAGGAACATACTGAGTATTGTAGTTACTCACCTTGTATTGATTTTGGAAAGGACTGTGGGAAACTTTCTTTAGCATATTTTGTAGCGTCACAATACTCTAAAAACCAAAAAGATTGAGAGAAAAATCATGAGGTACTCACTTATGTCGGACTAAGCAAGCCAAGAATACACAAAAACTTAAGTTGTTGCACCTTTATCTTAAAAGTCTTTTAAAATTGCTTTTAAATGTCCTCACCCACACCTGCTAAAAAGTCACCCACAAGTCAAAAGGAGGCAACAAAATTAATACAAATTTAGCCTTAAGATGTGCGGAACACCAAAAATTTCAAATATGACAACATGTGAATTCTTTTAAACTAAAAAAAATATGTAAAAGCTTCCACCATCTTAATTAAAAACTTATATTTGACTTAAAAAAATGCTCCTCTCCTAACGTCACTAACCTTTAAATAGATATTAAATGGTTAAATTATCACATATTTTGACAGACATGAAAAAATAACTAACTTTATCTGAAAGCTGTTGCTGCTCACTCTTTTAAATCAGATGTGATGATGCCTAAGAAAAGTGCCTAAGATAAAATCATTTTAATTATATTTGTTTTTAATGTACTAAGGCCCACATCCAAACATTGGCGACAAAGTGTGAGAACAGATTCTTTCTTCTCTGTACTTAAGTCACAAACATGACAGTGCTAAAGACATTCAGAACAGCTGACATCATGATACTCTCAGCCTGCCTATCCAGTCTGCTCTCTTCTGTAAGGTATACTAGTAAATATTTTAGTTTAAGTGGGGCATAGAAGGGGTTTGAGTGCTTAATCTTTGTCATACACTGGAAAAAAACAAAAAACAAAACATAACAACGCTCAGGGAAGTTTGGCTTTACAATTCTTCAAATATAAAACACAAAAATGATTTTTCTGCAGGAAATGTCTCCCTCTTGTCTTATATAAACTTAAGACCCAAACAAATAGTACCATCAGTTAAGGACAACACAATCTCTCACATGTTCTGTTTGCCTGCTTGAGTATAAAATGTGACATTTCAACACATGGGTAAATGCATTGACGTGATAACCTGATTTTTTCTTGTCTTTCGTGTAAAAAAAAATATCGTTATTTGAAAGAAGACGACAGTTTTATGTTTTTTTAAATCAAAGTTACTCACAGGTCGTCTTTCCCCGGTTGCACTGTCCGCTCCTGCTGCAGCTTCCTCTCCATTTTCGTCCACTTCGTTCTCCTAAAACACGTTTACATTACAATTTACAAATTACAAACTTACAATTAGCGTTTAATAAAAACACTAAAAATGCAATGCAACAATCCCTCTGTTTTTTCATAACTGGAGACGTTACTAATCGACTCTCACCGTGGCTGTGTCTCCTCTCATGGTCAGAAAGAATAGTCCACACAAAAATCCGCAATTAAAATAATTAAACTTTCCCACGGTGAAGTCTGTGATGAACTCGTCTGTATTCCTCAGAGTTGACAGCAGGAGTATTGTAATTATCCAAGTTTGAAACACCTGTGAAAAGTCAGCTTCGACGAACAGGTGAAGTTTCCGGTGGAGAAACTTTCAAAATAAAAGTTATTAAATGAAACGTTGCTGTCGCTTGAATTGATGGAGCAAACAGTACTTGAGATTTGAGGGTTTATGTTTTGTGAAAGTTTATTGATTCACAAGAGTAAAAACAAGGATTGGTGGTTCCTGGTGATTGTGGGAGCGGCTTGGTGGCTGTCTGGCATGAGTCTGGTCCTTCTCAAGGTTTCTCCCTGTTAATAGGAAGTTTTTCCTTGCCACTGTTACTCATGTTAGATGAGATGGGGCAAACCCATCTCAGGTTGGGTCTGAAAAATTCATCAAACAATGAGCGTGGCCTATACCTGCTCTTGTTCTTTGAAAAGCGTCTTGGTTGACAACTGTTGTGAACTGGCACTATATAAATAAAATTTGATTGATTGATCGATTGATATTCCCAACAAATAAAAAAGTCGTTTTAAGCTAAAAAATTAATTGGTAACCTTTTGCAGATGTAATGAATTATGTTGTACTCTTATAACTGGAGAGAGGATATCTTCATTTTGGGTTATCACTTTGGGAACTGAGTTTAATGACCATGTTGTTGTCATTTGGCCCTCTTATTTTGAAAGCAGATTTTCGGCACGTCTCGTCAATTTCCGGTTGCGTTGACCTGACATACGGTTGACTTCACAATGTGAACAGACCGGTTGTCCTCGCCCAGTGAGGGCGGCGTGGAGCAGCTGTGCTGAAGCTGTGTGTTGATAGATGAGGAAATCCTGCAGAAATCTACTGTCAACAAGAAGGACGAATTTGAAAACCAAAAGGAGTCGTAATAATTAAAGCTCATCAGTGGAAGTTTACTTAAATAGTTTGAAGCAAAAACAGTTTCTAGAAAATTAATTCTTTGGCAGATATTTGGCAATGTTCACATGGCACTAAATAAAATGATGTATTTAACAATCTGGGTCATAAAACCTGGTAATAGAAACATAAACTTTGACTTAATGTCACCCTAGCTGAGTTTACATTGTCCCAGCAGCCTGGCAACATAAAAAAGTTAAAAAAATCCCCAAACTGGACTTACTTCTTCAGGGTTTTCCCCTCAGATTTGTTTTTATATTAAAACTGAAAGCTGTAATAGCTAAAAGCAGATAACAATCAAGAGTAGAGTTTTCTGGAACAACCAAGACTTAAGGTGTCAGTGGAATCAGAGGTGTGGCCTGTGGACAGATTCAGAGCAGCTGATGCGGAGAAGATTAAATCCAGGTGGTTTTGTAAGTATATTTATTTAATTATATATATATATATATGTATATTTAATTTATAACTGAGAATAGTACCATGAAAACAGTCTCTGCGTGTCCTCCCACAGTGGAAACAGCAGCAACTTTTGTCCAGCAGATGGCGTACAATCTTAACAGACTCATCTTAAATAAATGACAGCTCCAGCTTCATCTTTCAGGTACCAATGATTGAAGTCAATGGCTTAAACTTGAAAACTGTCTTTGTACTACCCTCCCAAAGACAGAGAAATCAATCCATTGTCGTATGTTGAAATAATGGTGCGATCACATGTCTCGGAGAGCACGCCATGCTGCTCACATGTAGAAAATATGTTTGTGAAGAAAGTGAAAGAAAAACTGGAACAATTGGCAAATACTGGCTATTATCCTGGCGGCAAAACAAAAGATGAGGGTGATGACAGATTTGCCAAACAGCCTTTCTCACGACATTTCTATATTTAGCTGTGGAAAGTACCACTGTCATTTTTAATCATTTACTTTGCTTCGATAGGCCGTATGCAGACATCATTGCTAAGTTTAGTCAGTTTTAAAACCAGTGAACATACTCTTGCAAGAGTTTTAAATTAACTCTTTTTCATCACTGGTAGATTCTTATCATTTTTATTAATTAGAAGCAATTTGGGTCACATTTTCAGCTCCAAATATACAGACATTTTGAGTATATTTTAATACTTGTCAGGTAAATGTGGCAAGAGACATTTTATCACCAAAAACCAGACAAAAAATACTTAGTTTTTTATTTTTCTCAGTGTAGAAATATATGCATTATAAAAAGACTTGTCCAAAAACTAACTTCTACTATGTTACATGAAGGGTAATGTAATAAAGTTTTGAGTTGGTGCTTGCTTTTGGATTTTCATCACTAATGCCCTTGAATGACTCAAACTTTTTGCCACATGTTTGAAAAAGTTATTGAACTGAAGGAAAAGTAATTTTATCAAGAAGATTTTTGGGCGACTGAGTTCAAGTATTCAGGTAAGTACAACAAGCAGCACAGTTTACAAGAAGTCAGATGTGTATTTATAAGACAAAGCAGAAATTCCTAACAGTGGTATGTGGGCAAGGCTGGCGAAAATGAAACAAAAAAAAAGTGCATAAAAAGGAATCAAATGCTGGCGATGTCTCAGACTGCTCATCACCTTCTGTCGATCCCATCTCCACACCGGGTGAGTATCTGACTGCTGTCACAATTTTGTTGAATCTTTTTATGCATACTTGTGAAATACCTGAATTATGCTACAAAAACTCAAAAGTGGTCTAGTGTTGTCTTACTTATTTATGTCTTATCTCTAAAAAAAATGTCTGAGAATGAAACATAAGCTGCATTCAGCTGACGAGCCCTGATAAGCTCTTTATTGCGAGCCAAAACTTAAATTTTAACTGCTCAAATGGATTTTAAAAAACTGCAAATTGAACAGGAGCTACTTACTTGCTAAGTTTGTTTTTTTATCATTAAAATGTTGTCACTGTGTCAAGAAAATTAAGTACATTTTATCCGCTCTATACGCAGTTTTCTGTTTATTAAAAGAAATCAAGACAGATTTTTTTTCTGGATACTTGTCAGGTGTGTTTAGGGCTGTAAATGTCATGATCGGTTCTTGTTAGTTTAGTTTTTTCCTGGTTTTGTAAATAAGTTGTATGTTCCTGTTTCCCTGTGTTTATCATTCTTATGTGTTTTCTCACTATTTCGTTTCTGAGGTCGGTTTTCAGTGTTTCCTGTTTTATTTTGTATTTTATTTTGTTTTGCTTCCTTAGTTTTCCCTTCGTAGTTGATCATTCACAAGTCTCACCTCATTATCCAGTGTGTATATACGTAGTTCCCATTTTCGGCTCCTTTTTAGTTGATGTCCTTTTAGTCCCTAGTGTTTTTTTGAAAGTTGGCAAAAACTTTGCTTATTAGCAGAGCAGCTACTCCACATGTTTGTAGATACTTCTGAATTATTGATATCATGGTTTTTAGCTGTGCCTTTTAGCCTTAATGAACACATGTGAACAGAGTTTTGGTTTACTAGGGATGTGAACATTTTTGAAAAACTCTGTTCTAAGTTTTATGTTAAGACCAGTAACAAAAGTTTTGGGAAATACTGTTTTCAGTTCCCTAACTTTCACATTGCAGTTGTTGTTTGTGTGTCTTATGCATCCATCACGATGGCAGGCCACCGGTTTACGTCTGTTCTGTCATTTTTAATACTTAAAATGTATTTTGAAGTTAGTGTTGGACTAACATATTCACACCATAGACTGTATGTAGAATGGACGCCATCTGCCTCCTCACAGGGTGGAGCCACACCAGAACAGCCCCCTCTAGTGACATTGTAAGAGTGGTTTGTGCTCAAGTCCTCTTTTTTCTGTACAGCTCCATTTTTAAAAGTTATTAGGGGGTTCATGTTTTCTATGATTGACACGTGATACAGCCTACGGATGTACGAAGATAGCATTTGATACGCTGTTTGAGCCAAGCGTCATCGCAGCAACTCTTGACGACTCTCCTGCCAAATGCGTAAAATGCTACTGCGCAAGTGGTGATTCTAGAAAGTAGAGAGAACCCCGGAATTACCGAGAGCTTTTCAGCTTCAAATTTGTATAACGACGGGAGGTGGAGCCAAGTCGTCCATAGTATATACAGTCTATGATTAGCACACACTGTTGGTTACTACAGCAGCCAGTTGACACCTACATTATAACTGGAAAGCAGCTTTTAAACTGTGAGGGTATAATGTATTTGTTGAGAGTGACTCTTTCCAAAAAACTAACTTTTTTTTTTCTTTGACCAGATTTGACGTTTTTTTCAACAGAATGGAAGAATCTGACTCAGAAATGGAACTTTTTTTACCAAGCATGTTGAGAACTTTACTATCAGCTCACAGTGGCTTAGACCCAAAAGATGATGAAAATCTTCTTTTAAACACGCTGCAAAGACTGGTCACAAGCATCAAATGGGAACCTACAGAAGCTGCTGAATTGTTTGGTGCTCTCATGAAGAGATTTGAGTTAACAGAAAAAGATGGCTCTGATCTTATCCCTTGGATGCTGGAAATGCTACACTGCATTGAGATCAATTACATCACTCCCACTTGGAAATGTCAAATGAAAAGGACATTGATCGAATGTGTACAAGACAAGAACCTAACAAATGAAGGCCTCAAGAAACTTTTGGCTGATGACAGAGACAAGACACTTGATGAAATTCTTGAGGAAATCCGCCAACAAGAGTTAAATGATATTGATAAAGAGCTTTTACGTCACGTGAAAGATATCGTATCATCAGTTAATAGAGCTCTTGATACACAAAAAGATGCATCACAGATGAGTGGCTTGAAAAAGGACCTGTTGGAGCTTTGTCAGGCAGTGGAAAAAGTAAAATTCAGACCCCGACTGACACAGATGGTGAGCTGGTGCATTATGGTTCTTTCTGACACAGGCCGGTTAATTCAGGTTGCGACTGGAGAGGGAAAGTCATGTATCGTGGCAATGTTTGCTGCGCATCAAGTCAGGAAGGGTAGAAAGGTAGACATCATGTCAAGCTCACCAGTTCTTGCAGAAAGAGATTTAATGGATTGGAAAAAATTTTATAAAAAGCTAGGACTAACTGTCAGCTGCAACTGCAACAAGCAAGATGAGGACTCAAAAGAGTGCTATGAGAGTCAGGTTGTTTATGGCACAGTGGAGGAATTTGCCGGTGACTGGCTTCAACACCACTTTCTAAGAAAGGACACATTTGGGAAAAGAAAACATGAGTGTGCAATTGTGGACGAAGTAGATTCTTTGATGCTGGATAAGGGACTTCATGTGGTTTATATAAGCAGTGATATGCCAGCTCTGCACCATCTCAGTCCACTCTTAGCATTTATATGGTCCACTGTTAATCAGTACAGTAAGATTGGCGGGGAAATAACTGTCGGGCGAAAATGCCCCTTTCATCAGGTTGTGCTTGAAAGCATAAAAAGTGAAAACGTCAGTGAGTTCACTATCCTTCAAATGGCTGAGGACACAGGTTTACTGACACGAGGTTCAGTCAAGGTTCTCAGAAAGAGTATGAGCCTATTACCTGAAAAAATGGCCAACATTACCATCAACCAAATGGCAAAATTCCTCAACGAGGTAGAGAGGAAATACCCACCATGCCAGTTTGCTTTGTACTGCATGACTGATGATGGAGCAATAGAGAAGGTGAACAAAGGACCACAAACAGAAACGGGTGACCAACAGAGAGTCCCACTGGTTTTAATCGATGGTGGCTTCTGTCAGTACATCTATTCCAATCAAGAACGTACACAGGCTGCTGCAGAGGCAGAAATAAAACAAGCTTTAAGATACACATCGTGTGATCTTAGCCAAGATAAGTCTACCTGCTACATCCCTGGCTTCCTCTCTGATCTGGTTGAATCTAAACTCAAGGTTTGGATAGAAAATGCATTCCTTGCAAAGACCATGTCAAGAGATCGTGAGTATGTACTGGAGAGACACGGGGTTGTGCCTGTTGACTACAGCTGCACAGGGGTCATTGAAAACGACATGAAATGGACGGATGGACTCCAGCAGTTTCTTGAAATGAAACATGGAGGCAAGTTGAGTGACATGACAGCGATCACAAACTATATGTCCAGTGTCGGCATGCTTCAGAAGTACGGAAATCAGATCTTTGGAATCTCTGGAACTCTTGGCCAAAAAGCAGAAACTGAGACCCTGCAGAAAATCTATGAAGGAATCAAAACCTGTCAGATACCAACATTCAAACGCAGAAAGCTGTTTGAGGTTGAAGGTGTGATTGTATGTAATGATGAGGAATGGAGAAAGAAAATCTGTGAGGTTGTCTCTACACAAACCAGTTCTACAACGTTTAGGGGTCAAAGAGCTGTTTTGGTCATCTGTGAGACCATCGGTCATGCAAAGGACCTTTACCATGCGCTAGGAGATCAAATCCCAGCCAAAAAGCTTTACATAAGCAACAACATGGACAACGCTGCAGTCTTTGCTCAACTTGGAGCCGGAGAGGTGATCATCGCAACTAACCTTGCAGGTCGTGGGACAGACCTTCAAGTCTCCAAGCCAGTGAAGGCAGCCGGAGGTCTGTTTGTTGTGCAGACTTTCCTACCAAAGAATGCTCGTGTGGAAGCACAGGCGTTTGGTCGCACTGCTCGACAAGGGGCTCCTGGATCTGCTCAGCTAATTGTCTGCTCTGGACATCTGCCAGAACGACTCCAGCTACTTGTTTATATGCGGGAACTTTTAGCTTTACTGGAGAGTATTGTCGAAGTCACCTCAGTTTTACAAAGTTGTTTTATGATGCGGCTGAGGTCGTATCAGAGGAGACATGGTGCTCAACAAGCCCAAGTTATGTCTTCAATGCTGTCTCAGATTTTGTCTGAAAGCTCCAGTTCAGTGCTGAAGAAAGTTAAAAAGATCAGAGATGACTCTGTGAATAGTGGACTCGACAGTTTCTTGAAGGAGGACATTCCACAGATTAAGAAGAAAGAAGAACTCTTCTGTCAGTACTTGAGGTTTGTTGATGAGATTCACCAAGACTCAGACAACAAACCAGAAGAGTCATATTTCTCTGCCCTAAATGAATCCTGGGGCATGTGGCTACTCATGGACTTTAATGCAAGTGACTGTATCACAGAGTTGAAGAAAAAACTAGACAAGGACTTGAAAGCAGCCAAGGAAAAAGTCAGTCAGAGGGAATCACCCCTATCAAACCTGCACCACTACACAGTAACTGGAAATGAGCTACGTGAGAAGGGGCATCTTGCAGAGAGTATCAAGATGTACACTAAGGCCATTCAGATGGACCACTGTTGGGCAGCAGTTGCATACTACAACCGTGCTTTTGCATCTTTGACCCAACAAAACGGTCACCAGGATCCAGACTGCATTCGTCAAGCTCTTGAAGATTTGCAGTTAGCACTGAAGTCTGCTGAGCTCTACTGTGAGCAAAATGAGGTTACTGAGAGATACTCAAAGCCAGAAATCGGGGACCTACGTGGTGATTTTTGTACCAGAATTGAATGCCACATGCTAGCTAGAAAAAAAGTGTGGGATTATTTCAAGGCAAACATCACTGAAGCTATCAAGAAGGTAGACAGGGCCGATGATTTTGGTGGGACCGTGAGAGTGGAGGAGAGTCTAGTCTACTTTTTGGCTCCAGTGGAGGATCTTCTTCTCTTGTCAATCTTCTTGACTGTGTCACAGATTCAAATCCCCTCCAGAGACCCACTTAGGATCCATCAGCTTACTAGTGAGCCCTCCTTTGACATTATCCATGAACTCAGCTGCCTTAAATCTCTGGGTCTGACTCAGGTCTATACTGTAGACACAATGTTTTCTGTGGGAGGCCTTCTCTCAAAGGTTAAGAGAAAATTGTTTTGAACTGAGTTTTTGTCCAGAGAGCTCTGTACCAAAAGAAATGAAGCCACAGAGTGAGCAACAATGGTGCAGTGTTTGACACAAACCCCACAGGGAACTGTAAAAGCTGGCACAGCTGTAATTGTTTGTGGGTTTGTAAGTAAATCTTTTGGATATGAAGTTTCACATGACAGTTTTGGGGATGTTCCTCATATTGAACCAAATCACATGATCAACAGGAAACCAAAAGTATGAAGTCTTATAAAAATTCAAAGTCATGCTTCTTTTTTTTCAACAAGATGTTAATCAGCAGAGGTTTTCTGTTTAAGTTTAATGTTACCTGGTAATGGTTCTTGGTTGTTGTCAGTTCAAGTGAACAGTTGTTAATCAAAAACAAAATAGAAGGATCACATTTTTGTTTTTGTTGATTTTATCCATTGCCAAATGTCTGCATCATGCAATTTTGTTTTTTTGATTCATTCAGTTGATCCAGTTTCTGTATATAACCAAATTACACAGAGAAGGTGCAATGATACTTACTATTTATCAATAATGTGAAAAAGTTGAATGTTTGGAATAAGCATCCATAGCTTTTAAGAAAGATGTATAAAAAAGATTATTGTTGATTTATTGCAAATTTCTATTTTTTGTGAGATTTTAAAAAGCATAAGGTTTCTCTACGATAAAAAATGATGTTTTCATATGAAGCTTTCACTGTCTCATCATTTAAAACATGTTTTCTACACTCTTTTTACAATTCTAAAAATACAATTTAAAAATGAGCAAAAAGTTAAATTGAAAATGTTGTAAAATGCTGAGAACTGACACGTGATGATCATGTCATCACTGCCACTGTGTAAAATTATGAGGTCTGGTTTTGTGCTTTAAAGTTGTGTTTTGTGTAAAAAATATATCTTGTAAATTCCTTTAATAGGGATAATAATGAAGATTTCAGAATTTTTCATGTTTGTTTTCATGTAGACCTTTAAGAAAACTGAATTCAACTCGTAAAGCCCAACTTTAAAGAAAGAATAAAAACAAAAGAGGAAACTTTTTTAACATATTTTTTTGCCAAAATACAATAGCTTTTTTGACACCTATTAAAAATAAAGGACACAATACATAATATTTCTCATAAGCTTTTATTAATATTTAAGGTTGCTTTTTTTTAGGTTGTCCATTTTTACACAGAAATTAGCCACACAAGTAAATTTGATTGTATTCTCTTTACCTTTTCATTTTTTTTATTGTTAATTATATTATTCTCCCTTATTAGCTCTAATGCTAGAAAAGTTACACAAGAACTATCACACGGTTAACTAACTTGTGAGCACATTGGGACGGTAAAACTAACACTTCACAGAGGTAAAACAATAAAAATAAAACTCCAAAACAAAAAAAAAAGGGAAAGAGAAATATGGATAAAGTCAAAATAAAGAGACGAACAAAAGACGAATTGGACAAGCATTTACAATCACACAGCCTTGCTCAACTCTCCATGAAGAAGTACCTCTCCTTATCCTTATTTGGTAATTTTATTTTCTAGGCTCCACCCATTATCCCTTATTTGGTAGATGTTCCCATGCCCTGTTGTCTGAGTTTAAATTAAGACTGGGAGGAGCCAAATGTTTACATTCGTCACTTCAGCTTAAGTTAATTAAAATTGGCGGTATTGTGGTTTTACATCACTTTTTGAACACACTTCATCGAATATAACGGGTGTTAGTGTCAAAGGCTGGTTGTAAATCGCTCTATATGCTGGGAAGTGACTTAGAAACAGATTACTGTTGTCATTAAAACTTCCCAAGAACCACTTTGTTTAAAGCTCGAATCTGAAGCCGTTCACCCGACTTTCCTTTTCCGCTGCTGACGAACTCAACGCTCCTTCGCTGCATCATCAAACAGGTTTGGGACAGGAGCACTAGAAAGTATATGAATCAAACCGGCATCCTTTCGAGAAAAAAAATGATACTGTTTTTTAACGAAAGAAAAAGTCAAATGTCAAAAGGTGGCACGCTTACAAACGCACATGCACTCCGAGGATATCGGTTAGGGTCCGAATAGGGTCCTTTTAAAAGAACGGTCATTCAAATGGCTACATGATGTAGGGCAGTGGTAAGCTTTGTGTTTATCTGCTTTTGAAATATCAAACAAGCAATTAAGAGTCAGTGAGACGCTATAAAAGATGTGAAAAGGTGCAATTTGAGGTCACAAAATGGCTAATAGCAGGATTTCGATGGAAAATACCGCTTAGAATATGTTTACGAAGGCTTTTAAATTTGGCAGTAAGTATACTCATTGGCAGCCGCTTCAAATTAGCCTTTTGTTTTCACGTTCAAGAGAAAAGCTCAGCTTCTTGTATGGCTGTTTTAAGGGGAGCAGCCCCAGTACCAACATTTGCTAACCCTTTTTTCTCTGTATGCTTTGGCAGTGAAGGGGCTGGTACATTGTCATGAATAAGTCACAGGGGGTTTTATTGGTCTTAAACAGATCAGAACTGAACTTTTCGATTGGACCCTGGCTGTTTTTGCTGCATTAATTGTGCTTACAGGACACAAGCGCTTCAGTACACCTCAAAATTTCCCTCCTCAGACACACACGCACATCGCAATAATCACATACAAACACAACACTCTTGACCACGTAGCTTGAATTAAAGCGGCTTGTTGCTAGAGACGAGCGTGCATTCATTTTACCACGCAATCGCACTGGGACTCAAGTATGCTAGCTTGGTTTGTTAGGAGGTATCTATGCGCAGGCTAGGCTAAGAGTTAGCAACCCAGATGATAAACACAGTGATCCCTTCTGGCCGCGCCTAACGCTGAAATGTATTATCCATGCTAGCATGCTACTTTGGTGATGTAATGCTCCCTGTTGTGTAGTACACATACGTGGATATTGGAAGCACTATTTTTTAGAGTGACTACAGCTAACCATAGGGCGCTAGCTAGCTAGCTAGAACACCCTCAGTCTCACTTAGGCTCACCTTCAGTCCTCAACGTTGGCTAAACACTTGAAGCTAACAAAGCAGCACACACACACACACGCACTCGATTCCAGAATATAAAAGAAAATCGTATCCAGTCAGTTTTCACATGGGCTGATATCAGGCATGCAATTTCCAAACAGTCCAAACACAAAAGAAAACAACTTCCTGCCCGACTTTTCATACCAATGGGAAAACAAAAACAGTCACTTATAGACGGGGCAAATGGAAGACATAAACAACCTGGCAACATCAAGGAGGAAGTAGTCACTATAATGGCTCTCATTGGCTGTTACCACACAACAGGTCAACCAACCGGTAGCTTCAGCACCTCGCTGAGGCAGGTTACAGTTAAGAAAATAAAATTCGATTAAAGAAAAAAAAAAAAAAATACACAGTAAAAACTAGCTTAAAAAGTAGTAGACACACATTGTTATATCTGCTATAGTATGTTTTTTTTATCTATGTCGTTTTAAACTCATTGCTTAATAAAGAGAAAAGTGTTACAGTTTTTTTTCTATTACATTATCATCATCATCATTAGCTTCAATATCATCATCAAGAACATCGTCATCATCGGCATCAACAACATTAGCATTTTTAGGATTATTACTATCGGTTAACGCAAGTTGAGGTGGTCACTAAAGGCCTCCTTTTTCTAAATTAAAGGGCGCTATCGGCTGACAGAGGAGCCAATAGAGGGAGGGAGAGAGGGCCGGTTGCCGCTCTTTCCCCACATCCACCTCGTTTCGTTATTTTTTCTAATTAATCTCTTTAAGCACATACTTCATTTCTTTGTTTCAGAACAGCCCGATCCGCTCCGTGCGCAGCCAGGAGGAGGATGTGAGGAAAAGGAGTGGACTTGTATGTGGTGCAAAATGTGAAGATATTTCACTGAAATCCTTCAGTTTCTCTTTCTCCCCCTTCCCTCTCCCCCCGTCTATTTTCCTATCCTGCTCTTGTGGGGAATGATGGGAGTTGTTTAGTGACAAATAAGTAACCCATTCGTCTTGTTCCTGCGTTACTCTCGTGCTTCATCTTTCCCTTCTTTCTGCCTTCTGCCCTCTTCTCTTTCTCGCTCTTACTCGCTCTCTCTCTCTCTTTCTATTGTGATTTTTTTTTTTGCTTCAGCAAGACACCTCCATCGTTTGGGAGGGGCTGGGCGGCATCTGGCCACCCTGCGAGCCCTGGGACAGGGTGCGGGAGCGAGAGCGGGACCCATCCATGGAGTAGGAGGAGGAGAGGGAGGTGGTGCGGGAGCGGGACAGGCGGGTCATGCAAGACGAAGCCACTGTGAAGAGAAAGAGATGGAAAGATTGGCTAAACGAAATCATTGCTCATACGGTTATCTCATTTTCCTTTGTTTGTTTTTCACCAGTCGATTGTTTTCACTTCTTTTTACTGTCAAAATAAGTCACTTAAAGCAGGTCCTATGTTGTTTTTCATTGAAATTGATTGTTTTTTTAAATAGTTCAAATGGAAAAAAGAGAAAAAAGGACACAAAGAGGGATTTTCCTGGCACATTCAAGCTGTACTTCAAATTCACATTTTGAGGAAAAAGTACGAAAAGTAAAGAAAATGCCAAATTTTGGGACTCCACACGACTCTCTGCAGAGTATCTGGAGCAGCAGGGCAGTAAATTTAGCGACCCCAGTGACCACAGAGGACCGTTTTGTTGTAGTTTGGGACAACAGTGGAGCTCTTTTGTCTCAGAAGGATTAAACCGGGCTGGGATCCGACAACACAGACGGTACTTGTTTGATATATTGAATACTGGCTTTGATCTTATTACGGGATTTGTTGAGATAAGTGATGCACAAAAGCACAAATTCAGCAAGACTGCAGACAACAGACAATCAAAAATAATCCATAAACAACATAACATGTCAATATTTTAGCTTTGCAAAATCTTTACAAAAATTTTTATACCCAGCAGAGTTCACTTACTGTAGCCCATTCCCTGGATGAAGTACTTGAACGCCTCAGTCAGTTTTGCAGGCTGCAAAAACAAAGAAAACAAATTTTTAGTCAGTTTTACCTCAATGTGTTGTTACCGAGCAATAATGCAGTTTGGCGCCCCCATGTGGCAGCCAAGAAAAAGTTAAAATCTGAACAGTAAATCTCTTTTGTTGCTAAATGTTTTGTTTTATACGTCTGCACAAAAAGAATTCATGTATTCATATTAGCTAATAGACAGAGTTAGCTTAGATGCTAATTGGTTGATATTTTTGTTGATTTGGTCCGACCTGGGTCAGCTGAGGGAGTCCACCAGCATCAGCCATCTACGAAGGAAGGACAGAAGAAGAGCGAACACAAACTTTAGAGAGAGAAACATTAAAGACAGGCAGGTCAGAGGTTTGAGTAAAAGAGGGGACAAAAACAGTGAGTTACCTTTAAGAATGAGGTTGTTGTTGGGTCCAGTTTGCTGTTGCACTCCACCTACAAGTCACAGAAAGAAATCAGTGAGCCTTTAGCAAACAGAGCAACTACATAATCACCTGAAACATGTAAGACCATTAAAGGAGTCTTATTTAGTAGATCTGCTCTTTAATACCCAAATTTAATGTTAAAATATTGACCAGTTATTGAACCTCAAAGTTTGGCATAGTTTGGTAACATGAGATTCATGGACGTTTTCTTTCAGCCTCTCCAAGCAGTTTGTTTTGACGCATGGCCTCAACTAGACGCCAAGTGGAGCCATCCTCCTTCTTCTTTTGCACTTCACTTTGTTGATTTAGATTGTCTCAGGAAGTGTCTTTGGGCTGAGAAGATCTGTCAAAGCTATTATCTCTTCCCAAAGACAAAGACACCAGAAAACAGAGAGACGTTTTGGTGTTATTGGGAAAGTAGCTATATTACAGCTGTTTGTGCTTTGCTAATTTACCGATGTCTACTTTGGATATAAAGATACGCTAGGGACCAAAAGCTGAAAGCAGCACTATATCATAACAAAAGCTAACCCAGGATTTCCATCACATCGGGAACGGCTCCATCCGGAACAGCAGCGATTTACGCCATGCATCAATTCCTACCAGATCCGTCTGTGAGACAAATCTGCTGTGTTTTATTTTGAAGAGAAGCCGGATGTTTTATTTTGTGTCTGTGCCCGACTTCCTTTCCAGCACGGGTTAATCTGTACTGAATTTATTCTCCATGCTCCGGCGTCTGGAAAACAACAGAACTCTTGCGATCAGCTGCAGAGTCCGACGATCCGCAGTGGAATAGAAAGAAGCCAGTGAAAATTGACACATTGACTTGAACGATTACGATCAGCTACCATCGGCGGATACGGCCTTTTCGTAGCTGTTCTGGGTGCGGTGGAAATTGGGGGTAAGTGCTATAAATGGGATCTACTACTAGTCTGAAACATCTTTTATAAAAGGTATAACTTTGGGGTCGTTTCATGGCTACAAATGTGTGTAAAAAGTAACACCAGGATCTGTTTTTGACTTTGAATTGAGGGTTTTGACCAACACTGGCTGTCTCTACTGGTAAACAAACACCATCGCAAGTGAAAATCTATCTGTCTTCACTCGAGCAGAGTAAACTTTTTGATTTCCGTCATTACAATAAAGAGAAAAGAGCCTTTCAAACTCACAGCAGCGTCCTCATACGGAGCTTGATCTCCGACCACCAACATCACTGGACACCTGAGGGTGACAGAAGATTTGATTAGCAGATCGGTGTTCAAATTTTGGAAAATTTCACAAGAAAATGAGATAAAGATGAAAATTTCGAGGGTATTTACTTGAAGGTGCTGTTGCGGTCGATGTTTAAGTCTCTGCGACTGAAGAGGAAAACAAAAAGAAATTACAGCATGTCTGGAAATTTGATGTTTTTAATTCTGTGACGTCTACAGGTGTGTTTACCTGTTGTAGGTCTTCCAGAAGAGCTCTATGTTGACCACATTTGAGGCTTTGGAGATGAGCTCTCTATGAGACTGCACTAGATCTGTGTTTGATGACAGCTCCTCCTACAAGTAAGATACTCATTAGGACGACTGTAACCCAAAACACACTCTGACCGAGATACACTATCACGTGTTTCGTTACCTGGCTGAAAAGGTGGGAGAGGATCTGCTCTGTAAGGGAGGAAGTCACAGAGCTGAGCTAAAGAGAGAAAGAGAAAGAGAAGGAGGTGAAGAGGAGGAGAAATCAATCAGAATATTCATCGTTTACACGGAGTAATACGATAGGCAGACATAATCAATAGTCATTTAGGATGCAGACCGTGCAACACTGACATCATTTCATATCTTCAGCGTAATTAAAAACGATGGAGACCTCCCTTCAGCACTAACTGGATTACAATACGACATGAAGTCATGAGAGAGGATATGAGGAGAGGACGGGTACCTTCTGAGCGGCCCAGTCTATCCATCCTCGGGCGTTAGTGTCAATGTTGACCAAGACCAGACCCTCCACCGAATCTGGGTTTGCAAGCTAGAGAGACGAAGAGACAAGACCAGATGTTCTCAGACTGTTGCTGTAAACAGAAATATCCATGTTTGACAAGATGACAAAGTTATGAATGGATGTCAGGGAAGAAAAATGATTGGTTCACTTCTTTTTAGGATATGATGATTGGATACAGAAAGCCCTGATACAATATGATGCAATACCACAAAATATGATATGATACAACATTATACCACTCAGTTTGACTCGATATGATCCAATACCACAGCATGCAATACGAACTTAATATAACACAACTTGATATGATACAGAAATCAAATAAATAAATTGTACGGCCACTTAGCCAAGAGGAGACTTACTGCAAACTTAGAGAGGATGAACGCCCCAGCTCCAACGCCAACTCCGATTACGGTACGGAAGCTGTAGGAAGGACAAACAAGTCAATGATAGAATATCAAAATGAAAATAGTGCCCTCACAGTTTAAACCAATATAAATACAGGCAACTGCAACTTTCAATATTGATTAATCGGTTAGTTTTTGGATCAAGAACATGTCAAAATTGTTGTGAAAATCCATCCATGACCAAAAAAGACATTTTCTTTGTGAAGTTGGTGACACCTCTCTAAAAAAGACTGAAGTCAAAAATTCATTATCAGTAACCGCGCCAACTCCTCCTTCTACCGTGGTGACGTAAGCGCGTTGTGTCACCTTGAAAATAATCTGTGCCAAACAGTGACGATTTGAGCTTATTAACGAGTACTGCAGGCAGAGAAAATTCCTTGATCGCTTTTGTAATCAAAGTACTCGAGGAATCTTTTCAACCCAAAACATGACGTGTATACTAAATAAAGTGCGTGTGTGAACAGGCAACTTTGAGAAATTTGTGAGCGGATCCGGCAGAGTTGCATGTGTAAAAGAGGTTTATGGAAGGATAGGTTTTATAAATATTACTGATGCAAACTCACTTGAAAAACTGCAGGACGGCAGGGATCATCTCTGCTACAGTGTCCATGGAGGGATACTGGTAACTGAAACAGAAAACAGTCCATGAGCCGACACATAAACATCCCAGATTTTATCCACAGTACCAGGACTTAAAGGTAGGGTAGGCAGGATCAAATGGGGCCCAATCAACGTGAAAGTAAATAGCATTGGTGCTACTGTTGATCAGTGTTGTTTTCGTTGACGAAAGACCCTTTTTTCCACGACAAAGACGTGACGTTGACGAGCTAAACATAAGTCTTGGATGACTAAGACGAATGTGTGTTTACGTTGACGAGACGAAATCGTTAGTGGTGGTCGACGTACAGACTTGCAAAATTCATGAGCATTTTGTCAGTCAAACGCTAAACATATATTCTGCAGTGCTGTTTTCAATGACGATGACGTTGATGAAATATTTCGTCAACATCATCGTCAACGAAAGCTGTAGATGCCAACAGACTACCAGCAAACACAATGTTTGCAGGACTTCTACAACTAGGATAAAGTGACATAGTCCAGGACCCGAGGTCAGCAGTTTAGCGGCGCTACAACAAGCTACAGCAGGTCCGTTTGACAAGAAACACTTCTGTTACAGACACGCCTGTTCTTCTGCCAGTCTCCAGTATTTACTTCGTTTTCTTGCTTGCGTTTTCCGTACTTTCTGGTTGGATTCTCCTGTCCGATATTGTAGCGCACTAACTTAATTTGGGCTCGTGAACGTTATTCGAGGATGTGGAGCGTCTGCCTCACAACACAAGGGAGCAGCGTCCACCAGCGTCCAGTCGGAGAAAGGCTTTGTTTACGGGCCACTCAAGAATTTAATATGTTGACTACACAGACATAACAAAACACAGCGATATCATGATATTCCCAAATGTCATCAATGACTAATACCTATTGACTGATATTAAAGCTTTTTTTGTAGATACACTATGAAAACAGATCCTTCTTTAACGGAATCCTGCCTACCCCACCTTTAAGTTCTATCCTTGAGTAAGAAGAAGTGTCCCACCATCACTCTTGAATTTTCATGATTTCATATTAGGAGCACACAGCGGTGGGACGTTTTATCCAGAAGTGAGATAAAACAGAAAGAATAATCCTCAATTCCTGGAATCACCGCCAGAGGTTAGGAGATGCTGCGATAACCCAGAGAAAATCCTCCTGAGCCCCCGCAGGAGGGTGATGGAGAAGTGTCGGGGGAAGAAATAATAAGTGCGCAAAGAGAGACAGAGACGGGACGGGTTTTAGTTAAATCTGCGACAAGAGAGAGTATTAGAGCGCAGAGGAGGGAGATGTGAGAGATGGGACTGTTGAGTATTTTTGGAAGAGATTAGGTTTAAGCCTTCCGCAGAGGATTGTCTCCATTTCGGAGAAGTTTACTTAAAAAAAGGAAAAGGTTACAGCGGGACGACCAGGGGAGACGAGCGAGAGTGTGAATACGACCGAGCAGAGGGGGTTTCGTACCCTACGGGATAGGCAGCAGCCCCGTCCTCCTGCCCCGGAGCGTCCACGTGGATCAGGGTGAAGTTCTTGACGATCTCCTGCATCTCCTCGAACTTGAACAGAGGGGAGAAGCAGCTCTTACCTGTTGGAGAGAGAGGAGGACAGGAATCAGGAACAGGAGGTGAGGAGAAAGTCGAATAAAGGGGAGAAAAGGAGGCGGAGAGGGAGAGGTACTCACTGTTCAGACCCACGTCATGGAAGGTGAGGATGGCGGGCCTGCGGGTGGTCCGTGTGCCGTGGAGGGTCACGTGGAGAACACCGTGAGGAGTCTCGATACTGTGCTCCTGGAGCGAGTGAAAGGAAACCGAGACATTTCAGACAAGAAGACGTCCTACTTCAATTTTTAATTTTATTTTGACCTTATCTTCAACCTGGAACTGAAAGGAAACAGTCTCACCTGTCCTTGGTCCAGGAGTATCCTGGCAGCCAGTTCAGCATCCTGTGAGGAACGAAGAAGAACGAATAATTATTATTATGATTCTTATGATTCAGTTCATGTTTGAAGTAAAAAGGCCTCAGATGTCCGTGTATCTGAGAAAAACAGCTGTTTATGCTCGGGTTGATTCCTGCCTTGTTATCTCATTAAAACCCACACAGGCGTGATGCAGAGTTACACCCCTCGTGTCGCAGCAGTGAAGCTCTTCAGAAGAGCAGGTGGTTCGGAGGATTATACAGAGGAAGCGTGTCAGCGGGAGGCTTTCAATGGGGTCTTCTTTGGCAACCTTTGATCCGTTAACGCCGCTAATGAAGTACGAACACGACGGGCTCTTAAGAAATGAGCCGAGTGGGAAGTTGAAGTGGTGGGGGGGCGTTTAGGGCGTATCCAAAAAGGTCATTGACACCATTAATAGAAATTAAAGGAGGAGTGAAAGATGGATGTTCAGAGTTTGAGGGTCTGGATACAGGAATTATTTTAAGGTAGGGCTGCAGGAAAATAAAACCGATTGTTTTTTCGTCTAAAAACTCACTTTCTGACTTTTTGTTCAGTGATAATTTCACCAAACTTCACTTTAATAAGTTTTTCCATGATCTCTCAACACAAAATGGCTAAGAATGATGTAGTGCATATGCCAAGCCAGTAAGTGGCGCTGTAACTCTGCAAAGAAAATGCACAAAAGACAGAAGAAGAGTGGAGCATGAGTATAAAGGTTGTTTTGGCCGGACATGCTCAGGCGCCATAAAACAGTTACTCTGTGTGTCACATGATCGTTTCCAGAGATGCAGATAAACATCCACACGGAGATGAAATGGTCGTCGTTTACAGATTTACACACTCTCTGATCCAGTTTCAAAAAGTACCGTTTACAGTCACCCGAGACACCGTTTCTGTGCCGATATGACAATAAACTTTTGTGTTTACTCCTGAATTTATTTCCATCAGACAGACTTTTCAGCGGGGAGTGGTTTGCTCTTCATCTGAAACTGTGAAGCCGTACCAATTCCACACCATTCACGTGCTCTTGTCCTTTTTAGCCACAAAATTATCGCCTTCTTTTTAAACGCCATGTTTGTTTACACTGGTGTGTGTGGAAACTAGGGGCTGCGTGATAAACCAAAAATTTACTGATACCAAAATTTAAGACAATAACCGACGTCATTTTGCTCATATCTGTATATTCAAAAAAATAGATAAACCAAAGTTGGTTTTGGATGGGGCGGAGTCACGTCTCTGACATAGGTCAGAGTCTTAAAGGGACATGAGACCATAGCAGACCTACACACATCCAAAACCAACTTTGATTTACTTTATTTTACAGCTGGAGCGGTGGCTGAAGTAGACATAGTTAATGTGGGAGGGGTTGAGCAGCTTGTGGAGAAGTTATCGTCCATTTATCGTTATCGAGGTGAACTGCTCAATAAATCTTGATATTGATTTGAGGCCATATTGCCCAGCCTTAGTGGGAACTTGGGAGCGCTCCCACAAGAAGGAGGAGCCTACGATGGCCTGAAGGCGTGAGACATGATTGAGAGGAAAATCTCTTTGACGATTTTAACTTTTTTAACATTGTCATAATCAAATAATCCGATTTAAAATCGATTAATCGAGCAGCCCTAATTTCAACCATCACTGAAGAACTTCTTGTATCTGTGCTGTTATCAGTTTGCACTGAATCAAACCTCAGAGCTCCACAGGAATAGAATAAGAAACTATTTGTCCTCGTTCGGGTTACTCTCTCTTAAAAAGTCACTTTGTTAATTTAATTTGTTAAATGCTCACTCACAAATTGGCATAAACTATCCGTACGAATCCCACACCAATTGGAAAATACTTGACTAAATACTCTCTTACGACTTGGCACAGATTCCCCAAAAACACTCATTCAGAGAGTGGCCAATACTCGCTTAAATACTCACTCACAAATTGGCAAACATTCACCTAAACACTTCCACTCATCACTTTGTAAACCACATCTTTAACAACGGCCTTCAACTTCCCGAATCCTCACTTAGATCTCTCCTGAATATTCACCGACAACTTGACAAAGTCTCAGAAAACTCTTCTACTTTTCCGTCTTTGTAATTCCAAGAAAACTCTCTGCTTGTCCTCCTGAAGCACCTGAAAATAATCTCGATGAATTCGCTCATTTCTGCTGCTTCAGCGATTGTCTTTTACTAGAAGAACGCCGGCGCCCAGCTGTTAGAGCAGCTGTAACACAGGAGGAACGACACAGTGGGCCCCGGGCTCAGAGCTGCAGACAGACACCGTGGAGTTTGTTGAGATTGTTTTAAAGAGCTGGTTGATAATTATCAGGGAAGAGAGAGTTACTGATTCTTGAGGATCTATCTTAAAACTCAAACATCTGAGGCATCTGTTTTTGTCTGGGGCTTGCACTTCCCCGTCTGTCCAGCAGGTGTCAGCGGTGAGAAACAGACGGCTCTCCTTCTGCGGCTCCTCTGCGTCTGCTCGGCAACGTCAGCGCAGCAGAGGCAGAGGAGCCGCTCGGGCTCCCTCGGGGGCTTTGACGTCAACGCGGCACATCCGAGCCAGCGCTGCAGCTGTGCACAAACACGCACGGACACACACTGTACACGCCATACACACTCGTGCAAAGTTAGGGAACATGTGTTGGCAGCACATGTTGTCATGTGTAGGCTCTGCTCTGAATCAAAAAGCACAAACCGCAAACCCACACTCTCAGACTGTTGTCTCTCTGAGTGCTTGTGTCTGTTTTTTTTGTGTGTGTTGCGTAATGTCTGACCTTTGCCTCGGCCTGACCCGTGAGTAAAGGCTTCTCCTCCGTGATGGCGATCTCCTGCATTTCTGTCGTCATGGTGTCGCCTCCTGTCCGGGGTGAAAGAGAGCACAGCGTTAAAAAAATGTCGAGCACATGTTTTTTTTTTTTTTTTACAGTTGACTCCATGCGGCGGGAACAGGTGTGCAAAACACACACACTCGAGAAAAAAAAGGCCCACACATGAGCGCCTGAGCATGCACAGACTGAGTGATTAAATACAGTACGTGGCCGTTTCCCTCTGGGATTAACCGGGAAGTTAATTAGTATTTAGTGCCAGCAGAACTGAGCAGAAAAGGATTGTGGGACGGAAGAAGAGAGAGCTCAACGAGTTACTGTTCATCAGACGCATGAATCAGGCGGTTTCCCAGCTTACAGACTTCATTACAAAGACTTAGTCGAATGTAACGCGGAGGAAAGATGAAGAAGACGGGTGAAAAACGCCAAGAGAGATAGAGGAAGTACGAGAAACGGTATCGAGACATGCTCGTGTGAAATGACAACCGAGGGGAAGGGGAGGCTGACTGTGACAAATAAGTGTCTGATAAGGGCGAAGAAAAGAAAAAAGGAGTTTTATCAGACGATGGTTGGTTGAGCGCGGAGCTTCTTCTCCGACTTAATGTGTGTTAAAGTGTGTGTTAGAGAAGAGCGCGGGGAAATTAAGTGCTGCGCCAAAGGCGGCGGAAAGGTGGACGGTCAGTTCGAGATAAGCTAATTGAATTTGGTTTAATTGATCCTCGAACACAACGGACAAAAGAGAGCAGCGTGTGGGGAGATCCAGAGGTACACAAAGATCTTAAAGTACACAAGAGAGGTGATACAGACGCTACTGGTTTTTCTCTCCTATAGAGACACAGATGTTTACGTCAAGAGGACGTTTGTTTGCAGGTTTACAGAGATGCTGTCGTGCTGTAGTGAGATATCATATGTAATAAACATCCCTGTTTGGAATCAAGGGGAAAATCTTAGGGGGCAGCTCAGCTCGCAGCCCCCTCATCTGAAATCTGGTGATTAAAACCAGAATTACTGCTAAGAATCCCAGAATCGTTGTCTTCGGAGGCAGCAGCTTCAGGAGGGAAGCCCAGATGGCCCTCACCCCGGCCACTTCCACCAGCTCCTCCAGGGGGATTCCCAGGCGTTCCCAGGCCAGGCGAGAGATATAATCCCTCCACCTGGTCCTGGGCCGGCCCCGAGGTCTCCTCCTCGTGGGACATGTGAGGAACATTTCTAACGGGAGGCGTCCAGAAGGCATCCTAACCAGATGCCCAAGCCACCTCAGCTGACTCCTCTTGACGTGGAGGAGCAGCGGTTCTACTCTGAGCGCCTCCCTAGTGTCCGAGCTCCTTACCCTATCTCTAAGGCTGAGCCCGGCCAAGGAAACCCATTTCAAGGAAACCCATTTCAAGGAAACCCCTTTCAAGGAAACCAATTTCAAGGAAACCCATTTTGGTCGCTTGTATCCACAATCTCGTTCTTTCCCAAAGTTCATGGCCATGTGTGACAGTTGGCACGTAGATCGACCGGGAAATCGAGAGACGCCGTTTTCACTGTTCGACATACATCCTGTTAGCCTTGATATGTAACATGTCAACCAGGAGACGACCTTAATGTCAGTCAGTATGGATTCTGGTGGATTCAGATGTTTCAAGGAATGGGGGCTGCCAGCTGAGCTGCCTCCTCAGATCTAACACCCCCCAGTCCTCCCTTAGCTTTCTTACGAGCGTTGCAATCCGCTAACCGCACACGCTTGTTCCGCGTTGGTCTGTTTTATCAAGAGCTCTTCCTGCTGTTTATCACACTCCCCCTGCTTTTTTAAATTTTCATTTTGTCCTATTTTCTTCATTCTCTCTGTCGACTGCTTTGCTCAGGATGAGGAAAAACCCAATCAGATTGTGTTATTTGTCAAGCTAAGAAACCCGACCAGCATGTTAGATTTGTTTGTGAATTGCTTTGAGCTAAAAGGGAACATTCATGTTTGGCGAGCACAGGTTGTTATTGTGTCTGGTTGACGCCGTCACGTCTGATCTGACATTTAAAGATGAAATACTGGACCTTTATTACTGTGGCCTTATAAACCGATGACTGTACTCCATCTGCACATTTGGGGGGGAGGGGGCAAAGCATGTTGATATTTGTGTGTCTGTGTGCGCTCAACAGAAAAATGAACTGCAGCCCCGAGGGACCCGTGTCTTAGTGGGTCTCAAACGGAAATGATTCATCACCAAAGCAACCTCCAGCCACGCCGACACACACAAACACACACGCACAGAAACACACATACGCCATCCATCTCTCCTGCCCTCCTTTTACGTTCCCTTTATTGGTTCTGCACATATTGTATTTTAAAGGCTCCCTTTCCATTTGACTCTGTGTCAGAATAAAAAGCCAGTCGCTCCACATGAGTAAGCGCCCACTATCAGTGATTGATTTCCCAGTATGCAAAGCTGCTGTAGCTTCTGTTAATACTGACACATTCTCACCCACAGCTCGTCATATATGGCAGCTTCGTCTGCGGCCCCGAAGCCTCTAAATATGCCAGTCTGGGTATCATGTCGGCACACGTTTCACGCGTGGAAAGAATCTGTGGTCCAAATAGTGATAATAAACATCGAACTAGACATTTTAAAATAAAGACACACAACAATAACATCCACCTATCTGAAGGGTGCATAATGACCATAGACTGTATATAGAATGGACAGCGTCTGCCTCCTCAATGGATGAAGCTTCCATGAGAACAGCACCCTCTAGTGACAGGCTGCAGTCACTTTTTCTCCCCCCTGGTTGCGATGTTGACATGTAGTTACTGCAACGGCTAAAACCAAATCGAATCAAATACGCAAGGATTATAATCAATGTGTGTCATTCCTCACAACCTGCTAGCCGTCCGGCTCTACTGTGGATCGGCTCTGGTGGCTGGATCAGATCAGTTAATTTTCAAATTAAAATAAAGTCAAAACACCGATCGGAGGAGCTCATTCAATGTCTCAAACAATGTCTGAAACATGTGAGACCTCGTAAGATCTCGTCCAGTTTCGCGAGAAATATCAGCAGTATTGCAAGTGCTTGGCCTCCAATGGCGGCAGTGGATTGAATTCGTTGGGTGCTATATGCTTGCATATTTGATCCACCTGCCAGTCCGGAGCGGAGCCGTTCCGGATCCAGTGGAATCCCTGGGTAAGACTGGTTTGTGCTCAAGTCCTCTTTTTTTTGTGCAGCTGTATTTTTAAGCTATTAGGGGGTTCATGTTTACTATGATTGACACTTGATACAGCCTATTGACGTACGAAGATAGCGTAGCTCACCCGGGGGATACGCTGTTTAAACTCTATCTTACTGTGCAAGTGGTGGTTCAAGGAAGTGGAGAAAATCCTGGAAATACCAAGAGCAATTCAGCCTCAAATACATATAACAATGGAAGGCGGTGCCAAGTTATCCATAGTATATACGGTTTATGATAATGACTCAGAAAAGTCATGAGTCAAATTAACAGGAGAAGCTGTTTGAAACGTGGATGTTTAGAAAAACAATAACTTTGTTCAATGAGTCAGGGCGACAGAAGATTGCTGAAACCATGTTTTGTTACACCCCCGTATAAATCTGTTGTACTTTATAATTTGGTGCTGAAGAAGGTTTCTGGATGACGGGACTTCCTCACCGACAAAATACAGAAATTACCAAAAATTTAAGAAGATTCTGAGGAGATTCAAACGGAAGTTTAACAAGTGGGCCAACAAAGACCCGTCCACCAATTCTGGTCCCACAGTCACCCACAGAACAGAGCTAAGCTGCCTTTATGAGTCACATACCTATAATGCCATTCTTGTATAACCACTTACTATAAATGACATCAGGCAGTCCATACAAACATGTCATCTGCATACCGAGCTCTGTCTGCTGTTTAAGTTCATCTTCGAACCTTCTCTTTCGACACTTGACATGATTGACTCTTTGAATATTAACACCACCTTTATTAGATGTTGTTAACCACAGAGGAAAGAACTTGACCTGATAATAACGCTTAAACTTTGTAGACAAGGCATCAAATAAATTCATTCTAAGTCTTTGGATAGCAGCAGAAAAAAACAGATCACAGTCGTAACTCAACTGGAAAAAAAACAAACAACTCGAGTACGAATCGAACAAACAATAACTCCACTGCCAAAGACGATAAATGTCATACTGACGGTGTAAGAAAATAATCTTTAGCTGCCGTCGGATATTTACATAAGCTTCTGAAATATATCAGGATCTCCGACAAAGATAATACTGACAATCCTGACCACACATGGCAACAAAAAAGCAACAAATCCCAAACCATTTGAGACTGATTGTGTCCTCTTTCTCCCCTCACCCCCCTCCCCCGTCTCCTCCATGACCAGTGGGCTTATCGAGCCTGTTTCTGGACTACGGCTTTGCCAAGGACTTTGATGGCTCAACTGCAGTTAATATGCCCTCAGCGTCTCGCGCACACACACACACATACACACACAAATACACCAGCTAACAAACAAAAGCACCGACACACATGTGGGCACTTTCTCCGGATCCCCACACATGACATCTATTTTGACTGAGCATAATTAAATCGGAGGAGATAAAGTGTTTGTGGGTCAAATGCAAATAGGCTGAAACCAATCTATGTAAAAGCAGCTACCATCACGTTAACCCACAGTATGGTATATAAGCTCCTGCAACGCAACATAGAAGCTTTTAAAAAGGCAGATTTACTAAAGAGGGTTTGGAGGGACTAACCACAGTAACCCTCATGTCAAATACCGGTAAACAACATGGTTCAGATGCATTTAGTGTGTCGTCTTCAGTTTAGGCAACGTTCCTATTCCACGTTGCACTAACAGTTCTGGACAGGCAAACATGAAGAAACAGCCAGACACCATGACACATAAAAAAACAATTACCATTGGTGAAGTCTGAGTGATGTCAACCATTTGTTTCTGAAGCATAGTGTTTAAGTCTGTAAACGGCAAAGGCCATATTGGAAATGCGCCAAGGTTAGCATGTAGGTAGCCAAAAGAGTGACGTATTTCAGAGCCAATGAGCTAGGGTGACCATACGTCCTCTTTTACCCAGACATGTCCTCTTTTTTAGGGAATGTCTGGCCTTGTCCGGTCTTGTCCTGAAGCATGTAAAAGATTCTTGATCTGACCCGAAAAACACAAAATCAACTATGCGCGACTCTGTGACTCCGCTTTCGCATAATCCTGTCCTCTTTTTTGGGGATGCAGAATATGGTCACCCTAAATGAACCAGTTATCAAGCACCTCGGGGGGCTGTAGTCTTTAGCACTTCCACACTGGATACGTTCCTGATGACCGGAAGGTTGTTGCTTGATGTAGTCGCGTCCCCCAAGATGGGTAAGCCATTCCCATATTGTTACGATATTACTTTCCTTATGTATTTGAAAGTATTCAAGGTTGATAAGGCCTCAAAGCAAAATATTAGCATCGTCTCCGAACAGTCTGGTGCTTTTTATTGCTCTTAAACCTTGACAAAAAAGGCCATGAGTCAACCTCAGATCTATAAATAGCACATCTAGAGCTGGTAGGACTTAAGTGACATGCCCTGTGTCGCCAAAGCAGGTTTTGGCAGCTGTTTGCCCAAGTAGCCTTAAACTTGACCCCTCTGGCTGACCATCAGCCTCTCTTTCATTTCGATGTCCGCAGCTCCTCCCCCACTTTTTTTTAGTAGGTCAAGCATGTCCCAACTTGACTGCGGAGCAAGTCCGTCTAAATGCACCTCTGTTTTTATTTATAGCTCTCTGGTATTTCTCCATGTGGTGGTTTGGAAGGGCAAGTCCTCCGTAGTGTATTTTTATGGAACAAGTGATCCACCTGGATTTAAGTCACTGAGCAAGGGGCTCTAAGTTTACAGAGGCTCAACAACACTCACTCAAGTTTGGCACAAACAGGGACATGTTGATGTACGGAGTTTTTAGTTGTTTATAAAAGACAGAGGGGCATTAAGTCCAAAATTTTAGCTTGTTGAACTCCACTTTTTGGTCTTTCCAAAGCAAGTTCACTCCAACATGTTTAGATATAAGGTGAAGTTTCTTCTAACTCACTCATCTTAATGTAAGACACATTTGGAAAACAGTCAAACTAGTTTACAGAGCGTGGCTAACATTAGCAGAGCTACAACCACTGGTTTTCGGTTCTTCTTGCAGGGTAAGTTTCTCGTGCCTCTGCTGGTTATGCATTCCCCAGGTAGAGCAGATAGCTGAACATCATCTACATACAACTCTGTCTATATTTTGTGGACCAAATTGCGCCAAATCACAAGACGCCATGAGTCAAACATGTTCGTTTACCCCCAGGTGGTAGTGGCATTAGCTAGCGAGGCTACAGCTTAGATTCAACATATGATCAGCATTTCAAGCCTGCAGTTATAAATAAATAAATTATTGATCTCACTGACAGGTAATTCTGCTGCCAACTAACAAGAGTGAAGAGGTTCAAGATGGGGTAGGCAGGAGCTGAGGGAGTGCCATTTTTGGGGAGAAACCTTGAATGTAAACTCTACCCCTCCCAACCAGTTTTCCCCTCAGCTCCTCCTAAAATCCAACAAAAATAGTGCCAGTACAGCTTAGAAAAACAAGTCTTCTGTTGTTTAACTTGTCAAATACTCTGCTCTTTGTAGTACCACTTAACAAAAAGCCAGTAAGGTGAATTTTGATGGTGGTCTTATTAGTTGGACCTCCATCATTTTCCTATTTTTTAGGTCAAATCTCCTCTAAATCAAGAATTAACTTGATGAAACATCATACCGGTCTCCAGTATTGGCAGGTGTACTTATTGCTCCCCCGGTCTACAGACAGACTACATTTAGCATTAGGAAGCATTGATATGGGTTTCACATAACTCCACAGTTATACTTAATCTGCTCTCTCAGACATACAGAAACACTGTTTCCTCCACAGGCACAGTTTCCTGATGCTGTAACGTTTTAATCGGCCTAACTCCCTCCATCATCCATCTTTCTTTATCTCTCTCTCTGACTCTCTCTCTCTCTCTCTCTCTCTGAGTCAGTGTGTTTCGGAGCGTGTAATAACTGTTAAACTGCACAGTGGGCACCGTCTGTCACCATTGGAAAGGGAAACAGGGAGATGGAGAGAAAAAGACAAATTTGCATGAAGAGCAAGAAGGAAGGGAGGGAGAGCCTGAGCTGAGGAAGAGGAAGAGACGAAGAAAGTACGCTTTGCTCCTTTTTCGCCTCTCTGCTATGTCCACATTTCAGCTGTCGGTTATAACAGTTGTTCAGTTCATCTGTTGCACCAAGCAGGCTCTTTGTCTCAGATATCAGCTTGTGTTGAATACTTGCCCCAGTTGAATTAATCCACACTTGTTCCGCGCACATTCATAATCATGCGGGGCACTGGCATTTCATTTGTCCACTCTGAGCAGGCTGTCTCATTCCAGCATGTCACAATCTGTTAGCGTCAATCCTTCCTGTCACCCCCCCTCCGCCTCCTCCCCCACTCTTATTTTCCTCCCCATCCTCCCCTCTCCTGCTCTGTCATGCTGACTCCATCTCCTCATCCTTTGATGCAATGTCACCACACAGTAACTCTGGACTCGGGCTGCCAACAGCTGATGCAGGCTCTCCAGAAGCTGGTTTTTAGTCCGCTTTTGGCCGTGAGCTGCTGCCTGCAGGACTGGCCGTGTTTGAAAGAAAGCCGGCGCAGGGTTGGCTGCTGTTGGGTAATACTGATGCTCAAGCTGATGTTTTGGGGCGGATAAAGATAGACAGTTGATGTGAAGGCTATATGATGCAGAGCTGTTTGAAGATGAACCAGTTTCTAGTGAGCCATAAATACGAGCTGAAAAATAACATAGTTTTTCAGCAGAGGACTTAAAAGGGTTAATTTTCAGACAACCTTTGTCTTTGAAGGCATAAAACTTGGGAGTGAAATGAGGACGAAAAGTAGACGTTCCTCGCCAACTACTAATTAATATGAAAAACGAGCGCCGGAGCCAACGGTATCCCAGCCAGTTTTTTTGTATAAATAGAAGGAAACTGGTGTAACATTTGGACAAATCCCTTCTTGCCTACTGTAGCGACATTTTGTAAGCCAAGATTTGTGTTATTTCTTGTCTGGATCTGATATTTCAAATGGTCTCATTACAATTAAAGAAAGAAACCAGCTTAAAGGACTCTTATTGTGCCAATCAGTGATGTTACAATGATGGAAATAACCAAATGATATGATGGACAGCTTATATGAGGCATGCCAACACCCTGATACCAGGTTGTGCCGCCTTATTAGGACAATGCCGAGGGGAAAGCCAAATCCTGCTACTCGGTCAAGGACACCCACCTGACTTCCACTCAGAAGCTGGAAAGTCCTCAGTTTTTCCTCTGCTCTGAACAAGGACCACCGCCACATCGTAGCTGCTTGTGCTCGCCACTTCACTGATGACTCCTTTTGTAAACAAAGGCCAGTACAGCTAAATGGAAAGCCAGTATGGGCACCAATAGTTACCCTCAGAAGCTTTCGGTCAAGGCACAAGTTTCAGGCTGTTCTGGGACTATAAAGCTGTGTAAAAAGTAACACCTACAAGTTGTATCCAACTGATTATCAGCAGAAGAGCCATCCATCCAACAAGAAATCTTTCAATCTACTGAGCAAATCAAGCAAAACTTGCTCTACCCATGCCTCAGATACCCATTGACATCAGCAATTTCCCAACCTGCAGCGCCGTCACTATGGTGCCTCTGGATCTGTTTTCCTGTGGTGCTTGCAGACTCCTATCACATGTAACTGTAGCTTCTATGCTTGGTATGTACAAGGTCTTCTTCACAAGTACTTGTGGCTTCCAGGAAACGGTCTCAGCCCCCCCATCTGACCTAACACTCCCAAATGGTCTAGCGTTCATCTGCTGAATCAAACCAACCTACATAAGACCCTAAAGTAAGAACGCACTCAAGTTCAGGCTCAAGTTTACAGAGCTGGTTTTGATTTAGATGTTTTATGTTCTCTGACCCGGGTCGGTGAAATCCATGATCTGGCTCTGACACGATTCTTCGCAGTGAACCTGTATGCTCCTGTCATTTGATTCATGGTATAACTCTGACGCATTCTAGCAAATGGTTTCACATATGACAACCGAACCACCGGTGGAACCGCTCGAAGCACAAAGCTGAGTACCCAACATGACACGGTTGATTTAAGGTGATTGAACAAGCAAACAATTTAACCCCTGATCAAATCTGAAACAGCTGTTTTGTTGATAAAATATTTGAGACACGTTCGAAACACCTTCAGTGGAGTTTTTTTGCACTTCTACATTGGCTTCTTGTTTCATCACCGTTGGTTTGACCTCTCCATGACCCTCTTTTACCTCCCCTGACTTTGACACCATATCAAAGTAAAAGTCGCAGCATCAAGAAATCATGCCAGAATATCTACAACTTCCTATTTGGATGTGCTGGGTCACTGACAAGAGTGAAGAGAATGCAGTCGGACGAATAAATTAGACAGTTGATTTTCCTTTTCAAAGCTTTGTACATCTGGAATAAAAGCTCATCGACTTCAAACTGCACTTGTATTTTTCTTTTATGAACTGCTATATTGTTGATGATATAACAAGCTGCTGTCAAGCAGGAAAAAACTCTCTCCTTTCGCCTCCATCTGCCCCGTTCCTCTTTATATTTAATCTCTTTCTCACAGCTCTGCACTCTCCCCGTCTCTCTCCATCCATCTTTTGTCACGCGGCTGACTTTCCATTTGCGTCTCTCTTGATTTCTGCCAGTATCCCTGTCTCACTGCGAGTCTTTGTCTCATTTCTGTCTCCCTCTCTCTTTTTCCTCCTCCAGAAAGCAAGTGAAAGGGATGGAAACGGGCTAGCAGTTCAGCTGGCAGACTCTTTCTTTCATTTCCTTCTCTCCCTGCTGCCACCAGTGTTTGCAGATCTGAACAAAGAGGTGTGCCCAGACACCCAGACACATAAACAGTGTGTTAAAGTAGGGCACTGAACATTAAGGTCACCTAAATTGAGGATGAAATGCTGGAGGGTGAGTCCTGTGGCATTCAGGGGACAGATGTTTGACTGCTTCAGTATGTGAGGACGTTAATGTCGAGGTGTTTAAGAGGGCGAAATGCTGCGGAGGGCACTGGAGGTCCATGACATCTCTGTCCTCGAGGTTGGGTGTCATTAAGAACTCTGCGTCCCTGGTTTACAGTCGGACATCAATATAACAACTTTGATAACTTCCATTTAAAGTGGATCACATTGCCGATTGAACTTTCTTTCTTTAGGCTACCATTAGCTTTCTGCAGACAGGCTAGTGGCGCCACTTTTTAACGTACGTTCTAGCAAAGTAGGCTCGGGCAGTTGGTTCTTTACCTCCTAAATATCATCTCTACTGTTACCTGAGCTCAACTACAGTACAGGTAGCTAAAAGGATGGTATTTGAAAGAGCTACACGGCTGCATATAATTTGTACATTGCTGAACAGAAAGGAAGTTTGTGACCTTTCTCCCCCAAAAGTTGAAAGGCCTTTGTCTGAAAAGGAATCGGAAGTCATTTTTGTGTGATTGTAAATGAAGTTTTCTGAAAACGGGTCCCTGAGTGCAGAAATCCGTATACGACTACAGTTTCGTCTACATGTGGTCGTCTTTACGCAACTTTCTTGAAACGATTACCTCACACACAGCGTTAACTCTCTTAAGACGCCTGCGTGGATCCAACGAAAACAACCTTTATACGCATGCTCCGAACTCCTCCTCTGTCTTTTGGTGAATTTCTAGGAAGTCATAATAGCGCCACCTACTGGCTTGGTATAAGCACTACATTGTTGTCAGTCTTTTTCAGTGGTTTCGTGTTTACGCGGATATTTTCTGAAACGATTCCGTCTTTACGGAAAACTTTCTCAGAACAAAATGGCAGTATACCGTTTTCATCACCATGTAGACAAATCCTTATAATCTGGATTTTAAGAGTATGAATCTCATCCCACATAAAATAAGATGTTGTAGAGCTGTCATGCAAACGTGAAAACATTTTAAGACTTGGAGTTGCTTTAAAAATCTGCACTAGGTCCAAAAATGACAAAGTTCACTTTAGTTTTGTCATTACGGTAATTTACGTCAATATTTGGTCTCCACCAACTCCCAAGAAAGAGGGACATGGTGATCTGGAGTTTGGCTGCCGTTTGGTTCTGAGAACATGCCGCTTTAAATTTACACTTTGATCATCACGACTTGTTTGTCTAAAACCAGCAACTCACTGAAACAAAGATCCTTAAAGCTGTGACATTAAACCTGAACAATATGAGCAAGAACGCAGCACCAACTCGAGATAACTCTCCCATTCAGGTTCAAGGAGGAGGGACAGGTTTTCCAAATGAAAGTCACGAGAGATATACGGTTTTCTATTAACAATAACAGCACCTGCAAACACACAGTCACTGCTTTCACACACGTGTTTATCACCCTCTGACACACAAACACACTTATGCAGGAACAATCAGAGACCCAGGTGTGGAGAGCATGAACACTGAGAACCAAATCTGTCCTGTGTCCTGAAGCAAATCATGTTCGTCTGCAGCGTTTCACCGCTGTCACACCTGGGTACCACTGTGTCAGTTTTATATGCACACACGGCGCAGTGATATGCAGCTCCGCCTGAAGCCTGTCTACCCGGGTTTAAATTCCTTTTTCCTATTCAGCAATGTGATATACGGACGCTTTACACATGGGAATGAAAAGACGTAACAGTCGGTAAAAGTCAGGCTTTTCTCTGCATGTTTTATAAGGCACTACACCCCCTGGCCTCTCTTTCAAATGGACTTTCTGGGGGTCAAATTCTCATTTGAGTCACCAGATCTTACATAAAATGTCACACTAAGTTTTGGTGGAAAGAGTTTATGTGCCCAGCTGTTTCATAACAAACACAAAATCATGATAGACTAAACGATTATGGACTTTTTAGTTCGTGGTTTGGCTCGTCCGATCGTCAATGAAGGAATCATTCAGTAGTCACTCTGAAAATCAGGGTTTTTGGATGGGGTCTGCTCCCGGGTCAAAAACATTTACAAAGAAAGATGAGTGACAAATATCTGGAGAGAGAGAGGGAGCTCAATAGCAGCCACCATGGAGACCCAGAGAGAGGCCAAACCTCCCCTGGACTCCTCTCCGAGCCAAGCTTTAGCTCACTCTACCCCTCTTTAAATCTCCCGTGCAGATTCCCACGGCGTTGGATGGGCATACGTGGATCACCTTGGCTCTCCAAAGACCCTCAAACAAATGAAAGAGCAGCTTAGAAAAGCCTGTTTTCTCTCTCTTTCTCTCAGCAGGTCGCTTTGGCCTCTTGTCTCCTCAAATCCTCTATCGTCCGTCACTCAGCAGAACAGCTCAGCTCTTCTTTTTATTTCTCAGGCTGCCTATTATTCCCTCCATCATGATCTCACCTCCACTCAGACGTCCTGTCTCCCCTGTCTGTTTGAAAGGTGAAAGTACTCTTTGACAAAGGTGAGCAGATGATCTGTTACATCGGCAAACAGACTCTTATCCCAGAAGACGTTTCAGGATTGGAAGGTTTGTCCTGACAGGGAACATACTCTACCTCTCAAACACAAGGTTTCATTTATTTCACAACATTGAACTTTCCTAAACTGGTTTTGTGTTGGGTCCTAATTTTAGGGTGACCAGACGTCTCCAATTTCCAGGGACAGTCCCCATTCTGGATGAGTTATCCCCGGCTAAAGTTGTCCCCGGAAATGTCCCAGATTTTAGCGCCTGATGAATGAGAAAAAAATGTTGCGCGTAGATTAGAACAACAGCTAAAACTATTGCCGAGTAAGAAGCGTTCGTCCCCATCTGTTTAAAGAGGGTATCAATCATTCCTCGTTTTATCACAGTGATGTAAATCGTCCTCCAGGTCTATCAGATTTTAATTTTTGAGGTGCGAAATGGTCGCCAATTAGCCTAGCATATTAGCTTTCCTTGAATGAGAAAAAACTGTCGCATGTAGACTAGAACAACAGTTACTATGGTAGCTGAGCAGGTAGGAAGCGCAAGTAAGCATGTAGTGCCAAGTCCTGAACGAAGGCAACCTTTGCCCCCTTCTATGTAAAGAGGGTCCCCCGGATGTATCAGATTTTAATTTTTGAGGTTCGAAGTGGTCGCCAACTAGTCTAGCATGTTAGCTTTCCTGAATGAAGACTAAAACAATGGTTAATACGGTCGCCAGGCAGGTAGGAAGCCCGATTGAGCATGTAGCGTGAAGTCCTGAACAAAAGCAATTGTCGCCCCCTTCTGTTTAAAGAGGGTATCAATTATTTCTTATTTTATCTCAGTGATTTAAATCATCCGCCAGGTGTATCAGATATTAATTTGTATGGTGCTAAGTGGTCGCCAACTAGCCTAGCATGTTAGCTTTCATGAATGAGAAAGAAACATTGCTCATAGACTAGAATAACGGTTATATCAGTCACCAGGCAGGTAGGAAGCGCAAGGAAGCATGTAGCAACTGTCGCCCCCTTCTGTTCACACAGGGTACCAATCATTTCTCGTTTTATCTCAGTTATTTAAATCGTCCTCTGGGTGTAGCAGATTTTAATTTGTGAGGTGCTAAGTTGTCGCCAACTAGCCTAGCATGTTAGCTTTCATGAATGAGAAAAAAAACATTGCAAGTAGACTAGAACAATGGTTAAAACGGTCGCCAGGCAGGTGGGAAGCCCAATTGAGCATGTAGTGCAGAGTCCCGTACGAAGGCAAATGTCGCCCCCTTCTGTTTAAAGAGGGTATCAATCATATCTCGTTTCATCTCAGTGGTTTAGTGGTTGCCAACTAGCCTAGCAAGTTAGCTTTCCATGCAAAGAAAGCCACAGTGACCAAACAATAAAGATCAATAATTTTCTGTTATTTTAATGAGGAATAGTGAACATTTCCTTCAGCAGGAGAAAGTACCGGCATGTACGTCTGGATTACCGCCTTGTTAATTGTGTTTAGATTGTATTTCCCTCTCTTAAGGAACTAACACTCCCCGATGTCTAACAGCTCCTGGCAGACCAGCCTTTGGTTTGTCAGCTCAACAGTATTGAGAAAGCACTACAGTGAAGCATGAAGTGAGACCAGCGGGCTAATTAGCATGCCTAATTATGTAAATGCATAAAAGACAGCGGCTCATTGTCCTTTGTTCACGTCAGATCTGTGAGTTTTATTCAGCTGCATGTTCAGAGTAAAACCTGAAAGCGACTCAGACAGTTCAATCGATTGTTTCAATTTGGGTCACAAGCCAATAGATGAGCGCATGATCACAGCCGCATGGAGATCTGTGCTTCCCCTCACACACACCAAACTCTAATCGACCTTCGAGCTAGGGTACATGCGTGAGCTAACGGAGGAAAGCGGCTAATTGAAGGTGAGCTGTCTCCGCTGACGCCGAAACATTGAAGAGGAGAGGAGGTTCAAAAGCTCGGTTTTAAAAATACATCATCAGTACCTGCATGTGATTCAGTGTTATTCCCAGGAGGGTTTAGTGTTCATATTTAGCAGCTAAATTCACACTTAGCAAACATCATCTGTACTTTTGAGGACATATTTACCCGAGACAAGTTTCTGCTGCGGATCATCGAGTACCTTACCAAGACGTTCTTCTGAATGTGCTTATTTAACCTCTGTGAACCGTCTTCTTGCTGGGACGCCACAAGGATCATCGAAAAAGTCGAGCTATCAACGTCAATAAAACCACATTGTTGAAGTTAAGCTCTTGTTAGCTTCACTCCTATAACTTCAGACCCCATTAGTTACATGACTGATTCAAAAAAAAATCAACATTAAAATGTTGCGAAACCAAACGAGAAGGGCGTTCAAATGGTCCTTTCTTGTCCAAAAATGTCCCCCTTGCAAAAAATGACCATCAATGTGCAACTTCCAAATAATCATCTTGTGGAACCAAGTCTCAAAAGTTTACAGTTTCCACTATCGTATCGTAAAAATACAATTCATAAATAAACTGGATGTTGGTAGAACCGTCAAGGTGTCCACCAACAACATTGGACAAACATTACAGCTAACACAGCGTTAAAGAACTTATCTTCAAGGTGATCAGAACCAAGAGCCCATTATGAACACAGAGTTCGCCTTTGAATGGCGTGAGATTAGCGCCCTCAGCTGACATAATACGAAGTGAAACATGTTCTGCCACCTATCGACGAACTACATAAGAGGTAGATTGTAGAAGTCAAACTGGTGTATGATCTTGATGTGACGATTGTCCGACGTTCAAATGGTCCCTTCTTGTTCAAAAATGTACCTCTGTCAAAAATGACCATCAATGTGCAACTTCAGCACCTTCTTATCTATCTTGGGATGAGGTTTTGAAGGCCTTGGCTCCTAGGGTTGAATTTTCAAATAATTAATTTGTGGAACCAAGTCCTAAAAGTTTATTGTATCGCAAAAACACGATAAGCAAATAAACTTGATGTTGGTAGAACCATCAAAGTCTCCACCAACAACATTGGACAAACATTAAACTCTGCTAACACATCGTTACAGAACTCATCTTCAAGGTTGCAGCATTGGACTTTGTCTTGACCAGAACCAAGAGTCCATTATGAACACAGAGTTCCTCTTTGAATGGCGTGAGACTAGCGCCCTCAGCTGACATAATACGAAGTGAAACATGTTCTGCCCCCGATCGATGAATTACATAAGAGGTGGATCGTCGAGGTCAAACTGGTAATCTTTCATAACAAGGTATGATCTTGATGTGACGTTTGTCCGACAGTGTTCCCAGAACTGCTCCGAGCGTCTGTATATTGAAGTCCATCTACAGGATGAGTCATACTCATCCAACAGACCATGTGCTAAATGAAGCACATGAAGATGGCTGCCTGCTGCTGCTGCATCATTCAGCTCAACTTGTCCAGCCAGACATGCAGTTTCCATCCTCAGCTTAAAGAACCATCATAGGACCGGGTACTGGGGTCTTTAAATAAAGAGATAATGCAGAGATTGTCGGTGGTTGATTATGCAGATGAATAAAATGTGTAGAAATGTCTCACAGACATGTATCTCCTCCTCTCTGATTGAGAGCTCAGAGCTGATTGAAACGAAGTCACGTCGAGTCAATGATTAGAGCCATTAAAGCAGCAGGCGCCTAATTGCCGTGTTCACTTTACAGTTATTGGTAAACAAAGAAAAATCTTCGATTACATGAGTAAATGACCGTCACATCTTCAGTTACAAGAAAACCAACAACTCAGGCTTTGAGCGGCTGATAACATGATTCGGCAAAAAGTCGATTGCTGCTTATAAACAGGCAGGAAAGGTAATCTTTGTAGACTAAGTGGCTTTCAGCAAAATATTCTCGAAATATAATATTAACATACATACGTACATACATACCTACATTGACAAATATTAAACTGTTTTGGTCTTTTATCAAATCAGAACAAGCCATTTGACATCTCCATGTTTCCTCCAATATCTGTGATTGGGTAGCAGCCATGATGGTGGAAAGGTGAAAGTTTGTAGTTTAAAGTTTAAAAATTAGAGTTTTTACTAGTAAAACTTGATCATCAGGTTGTTTGTGGAGCTCCACCAGCAGGCGGGGTGAGCAAGGGGGGAATTCAACCTCATATCTGATCGCTAGATAAGGCTAACAATGTCAAATTCTAGACACTACCATTTAGGGTGGAGTTCCACCAACTTTAGGGGTGGAATCTATGTTACAGTACAATACAATATGATACGTTATGATACCATACGATACAAGACTATACAGTACAATACGATATGATATGATACCATACAATATGTTACAATACAATAAGATACATTATGATACGATACTGTACGGTATGATACGATATGATACCATACAGTATGATATGATATCATAAGATACGATATGTTACGATACGATATGATACAGTATGGTACGATACCATATGATATGATATGATACATTACAACATCGGAGACTTTGGCAGAATAACGGGCGCTTAAAACGGAGGTAGACTGGACAAGAGCTAAAAAGCCGGGTCAACAATGATGGGGGACGCTTCGGGATCTTGGTGACCCTGTAACCTTTCTGCTGGACAGGTAAACCACTTTAACAAAGTAAGCCAAGTGTCTGTAACAGAAGTGTTTCTTGTCAAACGGACCTGCTGCATGTTGTAGCGCCACTAAACTGTTGACCTCGGGTCCTAGACTATGTCACTTAATCCTAGTTGTGGAAGTCCTGCAAACATTGTGTTTGCTGGTAGTCTGTTGGCATCTACATTCTCCTAAAAACTGGCACTTCCTCAGATCCTGCCTACCCTATCTTTAAATCAACAAAGAGACAAATGAAATTTACACCAACTTGCACAAACCAAAAGGTCCCCACAGGAGCTTAAAAGTCTAAAGTTATCTTTGCCCAGGTATCACTTGTGTTCACTGCACCTGTAACTTCTCTGTATCAGGAAGTCATTTCCCTCCACTTACATATTTATCCATCACTAGCCTACAGCCATTTTTCCCAGCCTGTGTTGCTAGGAGATCTGCGACACAACTGCAGACAATCTCCTCCATATAAAAACACTTCACATGGATATTGTTCGCAGCAGCGGGGGGTTGAACGTCACCCCTGCTAGCATGTTTTTGCTGTTTATTTTCTGCCCCGCTCAGCTCTTCCTGCGCCTGTGGATCTATTGACAAACACTCCTGATTATGTAAGTGTACGCTGTGGAATGCTAAAACACACACATTGCGAGCCGTCACCCCTGACAGCGCCAGACTCCCGGGTACATTTGGGTCACTTTGAACCAGAATCACGGGGTGTGAAATTTGCGCCACGCAGAGACACATCTGCGCGATCCGGTCCACACATCCCACCTGAGAAATATGAATGGAGTTAGGCTGGAGTGTTTGTCTATAAATAGGGTGTTGTGAAGGGCTGTTCGGACTTGTGGGAACAGACAGGGCATTGTGCAGGCTGGCCTATCTCGAACTGGCCTCTCGCCATCAGGCAAACCACCGAGCAGAGCACCCACAAACACACAAACGCACACTTAAACACACATACGCCGCTCTAGATGCCAGCGTATCACACCTACACAGTATAAAATCCATACGCACTGACCCAGATGCTGAGAGACTTACTCTTCGGTACACCTACACAGTGTTTCAAAAAAAACGAAAAACCCACATTTTCATCCTTCCTGTCTAATATGCACCAGACACTCCAACCGGCCAAGGCTTTCATGATGATAATTATGATAAAAAAACACACACTCACACACTTGCACGGGCAGAATTTATAGAGACGAGACTGATCTGGATCTGGAGCACCCACACACTCAGCCATCAGCGCTCTTCTTCTTCCTCAACGAGAAGTAAAAATACATCCGAGCTCACGTTACAAAAACCTGGACTGGAGAACGCCGCCGCAGCAGCTATACAGTCTTATCCAGATAACCGCCAAGACTGCTGCCATGTTTAAAAAAGGAAAATCCTGTCATATTGCAACGTGAAGTTCATATTTTACTGCGCAACATCACAAGCTGCATACATTATCAGCCTGTTATCTATCCAATATACATTTAACTGAGACATACACATATACAGCTGTGCAATATACATCATCTGCCATGTGCATTATCTCATGCATGCACAATATTATTTTTATTCGATGCAATGAACATTGTTAGCTTTTTGCAACATACATTATCAGCCATGTATTCTCCACTGTGCAATATACATTATCAACTGTGCAATACTTTATTTCATATTTATGATCAATTCCACATTAAACAAGAATCTTTGCAACATAAATAATCAATCATATACATTTTCAAATGCACAGATGTTTCTTTACCATACATTATCAATCATGTTTTCTCTACTATGCAACATATATTGTCAACTATGCAATACTTTATTCCTGAATTATCTGTTTTTCACTATAACATACTGATGATAAACTCTGCATTATACATTATCTTTGCAAAATACATAATCAATCATTCACATTATCAAATGCACAGTTCGATTTAATTTTACTGTGCAACGTACATTATCAACTGTGTAATACTTCATTCTTGCAGCATTCATTCTTTACTGTGACATATTTATGATCAACTCTGCTTTATACATTATTCTTTGTGACATACATAATCACTCATATAAGTTATTGAATGCAGTTTCTTTTCGTTACTATGCAATTTACATTATCAGCCACGCAATCTTTACTGTGCAACATACATAATCAATCATATACATTATCAAATGCACAGTTTGATTTTTCATTTACTATGCAGCATACATTATCCGCTATGTATTCTCTACTGTGCAACATACATTATCAAAGATGCAATACTTCATTCCTGCAGTCTTCGTTTTTCACTGTACCATACGATCAGCTCTGCATTATACAATAATCTATAATAACATACATAATCATTCACTTTATCGAATGCACAGTTCAATTTTCCTTTACTATGCAATATACATTATCAATCACATCTACTGAGTGTTTTATATATTAATATTCTTAAATGTGCCATATTCATCATCCTCTATGAAAAATGCATCTTTATTTGGAATTATACATTATCTACTGCAAAAAAACATGATTTTTGCAGTGGGTCAGATAAAGCATTTGAAAGTTCCAGAGTGTGATATACATTATCATCTGGGGAATATACATCTATATTGTGTGATTTACATTATCTATGCAAAATATGTTTTTTTTCTGCACTGATACATTGTCGACCACGTGCACCAGACATAACTGTCTATGGGATATACCTTTTCATTATCTACTGTGCATTATCAATTTCTAAATATAAATGAATATTTCATTCTGTGCTATATTTTTACTTTGCAATATACATTATCAACCATGGGATATACATGGTCTTTCTTGTAATGTGCCTTTCACTCTGTGCGCTTTCATTATACACAGTGCACCATACATTCTTAATTGTGCACTTTACATAATCGTCTATTCACTATACATCCTTTGGCAATGCAACACACCAAATTAACAGTTTTATGTACATTTTCATTATGGACCCTACAACATACAGATTTGGAAACGATGCACTCTGCTTGTCTTTCCTTTCTTCATTTTCAGCTGTTTCTTCCTCTTGAAATTCACAGCCACAACCACAAATTTAAAAAATCAGTCAACAGCTCCCCAATTTTCATGGATTACTGTCCATAATGAGATTTGATGTCATTTTCTTCTTCATAAGCTATTATCAAAATTGAATTACCATCCTATTAATCCAGCCAGAGATGCAGATCAGACTGAGAGTGTTAAAAAAAAAAAAAACACTTTAAGCTTTGTTTGCTCTGCTTTGGTTTCCATCCAGCGACTCCTTTTTAATAGCCCGTGAGCACAAATTTCAATGTTTGTTTTGCGTTTGTGCCGGTCGCTCCTGTCCTGTTTGCCGGGTTTTTAACACACTGAGCTGAATCTACTGTCAACAGAGATGAATCAATGTTTCTGCTGGAGCCAACAGGCAGAGGTGCAACATTAGACGGTGTTAGTCACAGCAGCTGCACTCAGGTGGGCCGAACAGAGTACTACTGAGGCGTGTGAAGACGGGAGGACAGGGAGGGAGGCTTCTTTTGTTTTTATCAATGTAACTCATGGAAAAAATGACTAATATTTAACATCAAACCTTTGCGGTCTTGATAGTTTACTTTCTTTTCCCTTTACATTCTCCTAAAATAAGGAGAAGAGCTTTCTGACTCATTGAGGTTGTTTATTGCCGAGTTTGTGGACTGGAAAACATTAGCCGATTGTTTGGCTGGAGCGCGCTGAAATTAGAGCCGAGCGGTTAATCAGGTTTTAATTTCAATAATAAATTTACCCCTTGCAATTATGAAAATATGATAACAGAGACTGAATGTGCTGTGTTGCCTGTACGTTAAATTACACGATGTCCTTTAATCCATTTTTTTTAGAATAATAATATTACTCAGTGCAGCTTTAAAGTGGTACTTTACACCTATTTGATCTGCTTCCATCCAAAGTAAACGAGCGGCTGTAATCAAACAGTGAAAAGAACTCCAACTCTAGAGAGGCATTTACGCCCACGCAGGAAAACATCAGCTCGATAACGCCATCAAACGCGGTCCACTTCCAACAGAAACACTTCACATCTCATCAGGTCGCGGCTGTAAATGCAGGCTTCCTGTCACAACACCTGCGAGTTCACATGAACTCGGACTGGAGGTTGTGCAAAACCGTCAGCGGCACGTTGATTTCACAACAAAGACTATTTTAAGACGACAACAGCATTTGATTCCATGTTATTCTAGGACCAGAATCCACCTCTGAAGCTGCTCTTCCAATAATAGCTGTTTATTGGCCTAGTTTACACATAAATCTACCTCTCAACACTTTAATCACAGACTTCAGGGCTCTGGCAGCTGTTAGATCTGAACGCCACAGATCATTTCTCTACATTTAAAGCCGAATTAGTGACTCCATTCCTTAGTTTTATGTCGTAAACTGGCCTGATTGATAAAACCAGGATTTTCCGTCGAGAAATGACTCAAATAAACGGTTATTTGAACTTCCAACACCTCAACGCCGGACAAATGGGCCATCCTGACAGCTCAGGCATATCGTCTTCCCCTGATGGATCCGCAAACACAGCAGGAGTAAATGTTAATATTGGGAGAGTCAACAGGCGAGGTGACAGTCAGAATGAGCTTGAGTAAGTTCCCCCTTCTTCACAATCGCAGAGGAAGGTTCAACATTTTCAACAAGATCTTAGGGGGGGATTGATAGTGACCCCACAATACGATATTATCACGATACTTGGGCCACGATATGATATTATCACGATACTTGGGCCACGATATATTATCACAATACTTGGGCCACAATACGATATTATCACGATACTTGGGCCACGATATGATATTATCACGATACTTGGGCCACGATATATTATCACAATACTTGGGCCACAATACGATATTATCATGATACTTGGGCCACGATATATTATCACGATACTTGGGCCACGATACGATATTATCATGATACTTGGGCCACAATACGATATTTTTGCGATTTTTAACATTTTTCAAATGTTTGTCTTATTTAGCATTTTGCTTTCCTTTATTTTTGTCTAAATTACACAATGTTTTATTGTCATGTAGCACATCTTGCAAACCTACGAAAGAGGATTAGAGCCATATGAAGAGAAAAAAATTACAGGAAGGAGATTAAAGTCAAAACTTTGAGATCCAAATCGAAATTTTGAAATTAAAAAACTCAAAAATCATGTCAATAAAGTCAAAATTTCAAGATAAAAATTTTTAAATGTCGAGATTAACGTCGAAATTTCGAGATTTACAAAATGTTGTGAATAATGTTGAAATTTTGAGACTTAAAAAATTTTCATTTTGAGATTAAAGTCAAAATTTCGAGATTAAAGTCACAATAAATAAGGTCAAATTTTTTTATTTTTAAACATCTTGATCTTAATCTTGAAATTTCAACTTAAATCTCGAACTGGATATTGTAAAAATGTCACCTCTGCCAACTTCACTGGACATACAGTTGATTTCATTTTTCCATTGTCATAGATTTGACTTCATATCATCAATTAATTTGAAAAATTGGTATTTGGGAAATGAGACAATAGGATATATCACCTGACAAAATATCGCAATACTATGATGTATCGATCTTTTCTCACACCCCTACAAGATCTCCAAACTAACCAAACTTCTGTTCTTGATTCATAAAATTGCCACGGTAACAAATTTACTTCCCAACCAAACTGAGTGAAAAATATGAGCATCAAAAGTTTGAGAGTTCGGCATTTTCCGAAACCGTTTCCTGTGTTTGACAGATTCAATCTAAAAAAAACAACAACATGGCAACCCTTTGGACACATTTGACTCTGTCTGGAAAGCAAAAGGTCAAACTGTCACTGACGATCCGAATGAACACGACGATGTCCGATAGTGGCAGGTCTACTAATGAGGCCACGTTGGTCAATAACACCCATAGCAACGAGGTCAACGGTGCAGAGGCAATGAAAAAGCCATACGGGTTAACAAACAGGATCATCCTCAGCCGGAGTTTATTCGAGGACAAACTAACAAACTACTCAGAGAAAATTCAAACTTTTTAACTATAAATTTCTGATCTGGATTTGTCTGCAACCCTTCAAAGACTCCAGAGACCCACAGTTTAGAGATGTGAACAAGCTGATCTCTCGGATTATTTGTCTGGCCCGCTCACAAACACTTGGGGATGTATTTCCAGATCAGACGACGGCTGTTCCTCTGAAAAACATCAGACTCCACAAACCTCCAGTGTCGGGCACAAACAGCCCTCTTCATTGAAAATCACAGCATCCTCACTACAAACTCGTTTTTTTTAATGATGTCTCAGCGATTCCGAGAACTTTCTGGACCTTGATTTATGAGTGGACTGAAGTCTTTGTCCCCCCAATCAATCATGAGTCTGTTTTTTCATTTCTCTCCACATTCAGGACTCTATAAGTCCTCAAGACGTCTAGACTTTACTGGTGTGTCACACAAGATTTGGTTCTGCAGCTCCACTCCTAATCAAATTAAAAGACGACAAGCACAGCTGAACAATTTGTTCTCGTGACCTCTATAAATACCCCGTGATTTGTAATATCTAACGCCGGAGCTGAGTCGAGGGACGGTCTTTGAAGTCCAGAAGTAGTCCTCCCACTGACATGATAAGCTCTGGAACACGGAGACAGAAGCTCTATAAACGTCAGCAGTGTTTGTGTTGAAGGAGAACGATGATGTCCAAACAGCTATTTAAAGTCAATATCCCGAGTTTCCTTATAAGTACATCGAAATCTACTCAAGGGTCATGGTGGAGAGTGTTTGTTTAATTATTGATCTGTTCCTGTGAAAGCAGAGGGATGGTCCTGGTGCTGCTGTACTAACTAACTTACAGTTCTTTACTGTAAATAGGCATGTCTTACAATCATGTAAAACATCATGTAAAATTAATGTATTCAAACCTGTTCCCCCTCATAGATTAGTATTGAGGTCATCAGTAGGAATATGCTGCACAAACTTAATAAGTCTGAAGATAAGGAAACATCGATTAAAGGTGGGGTAGGTAGGCAGGATCTGAGGAAGCGCCAGTTTTCGGGAGACATCTTGAATGTAAACACAGCTTCCCTGTTGTTTAAGATGATGTTGACCCGTTGTTTTTAGCTCTTGTCCGGTCTACCTCCGTTTTGAGCGCCCCGTTATTCCGCCAGAGTCTCTGGTATTTCTTGCTTGTGTTGGTGGTCGTGGCCAAAGAAGGATTCAGGCAATTTCCTGTACTTTCTGGTTGGTTTTCTACTGTCCGATATTGTAGCACGCTAACTTTCTTTGGGCTTGTAAACGACAAAGGGGAGCAGCTTCTACCTCACAACCAATCAGCACTAAGGAGCAGCATCCGCCTCACAACCAATCAGGTTAGGGGAGGCGGAGAACGGCTTTGTTTATGGTCAAAAAATTTTCAATGTTGATGACACAGACATAACAAAACACAGCGATATCATGATATTCCCAAATGTCATCAATTACTAATAGGAACTCCAAACCTGAAGATAGTCAACATCAAATTAGTTTAATAAGCATGGCTACCATTAGCAGAGCTAGCGCCCAAGCTAGTTGAATGGTTATTTGCTGGAGCCAAAGACAAAATATGAAGAACTTATGGGCGAATTAGACTCTAGTCGAAGTGGCAACTTTGAAAATGGAGCCAGCAGGAAGGGTCAAAAACTGCAGTTCCTTGAGGATCTGCTCAAGACCGGATCCAAAAGCCGAGAATACTCATTGGGATCCATGTTAAAGTAGAAATTGACGTGGTTACAGTCTGGGGTTTAGTCTCAGTGACTCATTTCTCTATCTGTACAAACTGTACAGAAAAGTCATTTTAATCATATTTAATCATACAGATAAAGTACATCCTCTCTCTCTCTCAACAGGAGAGCACGGCTTGACCCCTCCCCTTAAACAACTCTCACACTCTCAAGTTTGGAGCCATGAAGAAGTCGGTCTACTACAACATGTTGTGCAACACTGGTACAAACTATTAAACAGCCACAAGTGGAGAGAGAAGAGCAGGGAGAGGAGTAGGAGAAGGCAGTTGTGTGTAAATATAAGAGTCTGAAAAGCCAAGGGACGGAGTGAGCACGGCCGGAGAGAAAGACAGTAAAAAGAGTTAACAGTTTTAAAGAGGTTTTAAGTTGCTTAAATGCGGATGATGCAGGTGTCAAATCAAGGGTAATCCTTTTTTGCAATCATGATATCAATTTAAAGGGATATTCCGGCATAAAATTAATTAAGGGTCAAACACACCGTAACACCAAGTTAGACACCCCCTTGAGAGATGAATGTTGCAGACCGCTTGCTTCTCTAGTTATACCAACTTTAGTAACGACCGCAAGATAGCAATACACAGCGGTCTGAGGAGCCATAAACAAACCTCAACCAAAGCGCCACTCTATAGCCACAAATAATGCTCAGAACAGCACCTAACTTCATCAACAGGACATAAAGGGTCCAAGCCATAGTACTAGCCACCAAACCAATCTTTGGTGGAGACTAAACACAACTCACCTACTCTCTTCCAGCAGCCGCTTGTTTGTAGCGTGACCTCAGGCCAGTCCATTACGGACTACAGCGGGGTGACACAGCTCAAGGAAGAACATTTCTGATCATTTCTTCATGGAAATGCAATCAGACCGAGACGCAAAGGCAGAAGAACTACCGCGTCTGCAGTGAAAAATGATTAATATGGTGATTATTACTTCAAGGAAATGATAAAGAAATGATCATAAATGTTCTTCCTTGAGCCGCGAAACCCCGTTGCAGTCTGTAATGAACTCGTCTGAGGTCTCGCTACAAACAAACAGTTGCTGGAAGAGAGTAGGTGAGTTGTGTTTACACTGGAATATCCCTTTAAGTCAAAATAACCCTGATTTTGATTTTCAAGCTGCCCTATTTCAAAACATCAGCAGTGAATCAAACAACTATTTGTGTGTAAGTGCTTCAATTTGGGTGAACTGACCCTTTAATATCCCCCTGGAGGTTCAGTCCTGGGTCTTTTATTCCTGTAACACTTGAATGCTGCCACTAAAATAAGAAAACAGGATTTCTGACACCACACCCAGCAGCTTTCTGACCAACAAAGACAGTTTGTGCCCGTGTGTGTGTGTAAGTGTGTAAGCATGTGTGTGTATTTCTGTGGTTGGCCTGTACGCGCGTGCCTCCTCGCGCGCCATGCATCCCTTGTACATCCAAACACACAATCTTGGAACAATGTCTTCAGAGCCTGGCTGCGTGTTATCAGCAGGGGCTCCACTTCACTCAAAGAGCAGCGAGGCCGCGAGTCTCCAAATGCGCTATGACTCACGGAATCTGCGCGTGCGCGTACACGGCGCAAAACCTGTCTCTGTGTGTGTGTGAGAGAGCAGTGTGTAGCCATATGAGAGACGTGCCGGTGCGTGTTTGTCTATGTGCATATGCGCGTCCTTGGTCTGGCACGACGCACAGACGCGTAACATTTCGCCCTTTTCGCTCGCATAGATTCCATACGAGGAGGCGACGCTGCACCTTTTTCGCATTTCTTCTCACGCTTCATCCGAGCCAGAGAGGGGGCCACTGAGCGCACACACAGGGGGACACACCTCCATTTGACATTGACACACATTAATACCCCCTAGTCTGGCGCCAAGAGCCAAAACACCCCTCACATCCTCCCCCTTTTTTTACCAACCTCAAACTCTCTATCCACAAAATATCACAAATATCCAACCATAAAAATTCTGCATTTTTAAGTAGAGACACCCACAAACAAAGGAGTAGCAAAGACGCACCGGTTGGTTGGATGGAGTGTGGAATGGTAAGGGGGGGAGGGTGGTGGTCAGGTTCATGTATGATTCAAGTTCATGCGACACAAACACGTCAATATTGGCCTATATTTGGCCATTGAGCTGTCATGCCTGGGTCGGCTATAATAGGGGGGGAAAGGGGAGGGTATAGGGGTGTGGGGGGAGAAACAAAGACCCCGCTGGCTATGCCACATGTGCGCGTCAATAACATGCACCCTCTCCATCAGACACTTATCCAGGTCATGTGCATGCAAAAAAAACAACAACCAGATGGGTTTATTCTGATTTATTCTGCGGATGAATGTCTTGCAGGGTTTGTGGATTTCATCAGGGAGGACTTTGACATCATGCAAAAAAAAAAAAAAAGAGAGAGAGAGACCACCTTGCATCCCCCTGCAGAAAAAACACATTTCTCCTGTTTTAATATCTTGTTGCACGACTCTCCAAATCTGAACAGGCAACTCCCTGACTTTCCCTGAACGAAAACACCCCCCAAAATACAAAAACAGCTTTATTCTCCTTCAAGAATCACAAACAGGACACACTCACCTTTTATTCTTCAGATGGGGAATCAAAAATCTTCACACCAAAAAGCGAGCACTTCTAAAAATATATTCGCAAGTCTCCGGCTCCACTTGCTTGCTCTCTCTCTCTCTCTCTATCTCCAAACCTGTTCCTCCAATCTTCCCGCAATTCTCCGCTTATTTTTTTCACTTCGTCCTCCAACCTCCTTTTATTTTTCCGCTGTGCCTCTTTTCTTCGCTCTCAGTTTCCCCTCCAGTCTGTGTTGTGTGTTTTTTTCGGCTTTCTCCAGCAGGAGGAAAATTCAGCACAGAGGGAAAAATATGGAGCGGTCAATCAAAATGCGAGAAAAAGGGAGGCGGTGGAAGTTTTAAGGGTGGTTGTGGAAAGTTGTTAGCTCGTAATACAACGATTTACTCGATTTTAATCGTTTATTATCGTCTAAAAATGTGTAAAATTGTCTCCTACACGCGCTGATTTTGCTAACATTTCGACAAAACCTTCTGTTGACTCGATATTACCGCGCTTGAGTCCTCGTCCCCCCCCTCTGCTAAGACCCCACAATGGTACAGTCCAGCCGTGTTCAGCTAGTGGAACCGAGCCTAGCGCGAAACCAGCAGGTAAACAAACGCACCTGGAGTTAACAAGCGCCAAAAATTGCGAAAAAATGCCACTTAGAGGAGTTGTAACAGTAAGAGCTTCGATAAGGGAGACATGTGTGGTCCAAACTCCGGTTCTGGGCTCCTTTAAGGGGGTCAAAAGGATGGGGTCCGGGTCCCCTTGTCTCCCGGAGGAATGTTTGATTTACTGTCAGTCACAGGCCCGGAGAGCTTGCCAACTTTTCTGCCACGGTACCCCTGAGAGATTGCTCTTCTGTCCCTCACGGGGCTCCGTAAGGTTGACCTTTTCAGTGCCATGTGAAAAAAGGATAAAAATAAATAAATAAAAGCTGTAATAATAATTTCTGTTAACCCTCCTCCTGTGTTAGGGTCTGCACCGACCGTTTTTGTTTTTAAACGCTTAAAAGAACCACTTATATTCGCTTTTTTGACTTTGTCAGGAACCTTTATTTCAACAAAATTAAAATTGAAAATTAAATTGACTAAATTAAGATCAGAATCTAATAAAGCAAAAGCTAAAATCATATGTGCACTGTCAGATTAGTGTTGTGTTGTTCGCAAACGATTCGTTCAAACGATTCGTTGTGACAGAATATTTATTGCAATAAAAAAGTACAATTACTCTTAAAAAGTTTTATTTTACTCCAAATAAGCTGTATAAACTTACTCTTTATTAAAAGTTCAAACACTTAAGAGTGTTATTTAACTGTGGTGTCATTAGTATGATGAACTGTTTACATTAGGGGTTCTTTACTCAATATTTTTAATAATTTTTAGTGTTTTAACATTTGTTTATTTCTGGTTTTAATGACAGGATCGTCTTTTACTGAGCTATTTTGGTGCTCTTATTTTAGTATCTTTTAATGTTGTTTTTATTTCATATTATTTAATATTTTTTAAATCTCATGCTATGTTACTTTGTTGTTAGATTTTAACCCTGGGTTCTTTTATTCCTGGGTTGGATTTATTTGGGTATTCTTTGTTTCTTTTATTCCTTTTTTCTGTGTAAAGCACTTTGAGCTACATGGTTGTGTATGAAAAACGTTATATAAATAAAGACTGATATGTTCAAATATTTCTTTATAATTCTAAAAACTCTTATTTTTCTTCTTCCACGTTCCTCTATTTCCCCCCCAGGCCTCGATGCCGCCTCTCGTCCCCCTTTAACCTTGAAGTATTGAACTTGCATAATTCTCCCCTCCATGCTGGAATCCGTAATGAGCTCCTTTCTGCAGGAACAGAGGGGGAAATAAACATGACACACGTAATCCTCGCTGACACTGTGCTGCACTGTATTCCAAATCCAGAGCAGAGCCGCTGAGAACCAGACCATCACTCATCGTCTCTGCGGTTATGTAAGTCAGCTCATACTTTCCCCGAGTGACACACATACACTCGTTTGTGTTGCTGTTGGATGACCGAACTGTTTCCTGTGTGAGCTTCCCAGCTGCATTTAGAAAGGAAAACCAAAACACTAATGAGTTTCCACTCATGAGAGGCCACCCCGGCATTGAATCCTTTATTTTAACACCATTAATGTCGCTGAATGAGGAGGATTTTTACTAAAAGTTGTTTTAATTCTTCATTATAGTGATGCTTTTTAGTTTTCCATGCAAAATTATTTTTCCACAGATAAGAATCCAGTTTTTTCCACGGCCTAATACTCGCTTAATATGCGATCTGCATCATAGTCTGCAGTTGAAAATCCCTCCATGGCCCTAAATTAACCACCTTACATAATGATCCTCAGGCCCTGGCCTTTGTCATGCAGGGTGAGACAGATATTTGTTCCACCCCGTCTCACTGACGCACATTTACTTACTGTGGCGCTGTTGAAATCACCATTTTGAATACTGTCAGAAGGAAATCCAACGTTTTTTTTTAAGAAACGACTTTTTACTTCATGAAAACATAAACGGTATTTGCAGAAAAGAGCCAAAGACATGCTGCTCACAGTTATACATCACTGGTCATCGCTTATCTTGGCCAACCAGCTGTGCGGCCTCAGTGGATTAAAAGGCTTTCAGGTGACGTAGCAGAAACACCGTTTTTGAGCCTGATGCGAAGTCAAACATGAACACCGAAATTGCTCGATTTTCAGGAAATTGGCCAACGCAGCACTGCAATATTGATGAGAGGCTGGTAAATGCAACAGCAAAATCTAAAACATGGATTATTAAAGTCAGAGATACTATTTTTGTCGCATTATAATTGTATTTAACACCGCTATGAAAATAAGAAATTCAATCATAGAGATATTTTTTAGCCCAATTGTTAGAAATTTGGTAAAGTATTTGTAAAAAATAAAAAGAATGTGTTATACTTATTAAAAGTTAGATAAGGACATTGATACAATTAACTCAACTCTGCAGGGGTTACGACCGACGCTCAGTTAGCCTAGCTTAGCTTAAAGAGCTGAAAAAAACAAAATCGGCCAAAGTACAGGTCAGAATTCTGACTCAGAACTTTTTATAAGAATCCTAATTTTTTTTTTTTTATTCAAAGCTTTAGGTCAAAATTTTGACTTTATTCTTAAAAAAATGACCATGTCCAAAGATTTTTTTTTTCTTTTTTTTTACAGAATTCTGACTTTGTTCTTAGCGACCTCTGACCTCTGATTTGCTTTTTTGCGACATGAAACGCTGGGAACTTGAGTGTGACGTCATTTTCAGCTCCAACTTCTGACTTCTGTAGTAACTCGAACGCAGCATAAGACCTCCCTATCATCGCTGAAATGTTAACATGAAACGCTGTGAAGGTAATTCACATTAACATAAAACCTTTTTTTAATTTTTGCAGTTCATTAAAACTTTCAGAATTTTGCGGATGCGCATATTCTAGTAAAAGTGTGTAAAGGTGAAGTATTTGGAGCTCCCCCTGCTGGCTGGCTGTAATATAGACAAAAGATTTCCTCCTCCATGCGAACAGATGTGACATTTCAAAACCTGAAAATTAAAATACACATCAAATAAATGACTCTGTGATAAAATACAGATTTTTTCAGTCTGAGCTCAGCCTCCAAAAGCATCTTTCCTCGTTCAGACACATCTTAAACCCGTGTTGTCGTCTCTGAACAGCTGAGATTCATTGGTCAAGATCTGCGTGTTTACCTCCATCTGTGCTGACCTCTTCCTGACATCAAGCTTTAAATCAGTCTTGAACCAAGGTCGCCGTGTTAGCAATCACTCTGACGTGGCGGTACAGGAGCACCTGTTCTCCACCAAACAATGCCACACTGGACGGCTGATGATAAGTTCTCTCCCCCCGTGTTTTATCCACTGAAAAATCAAATATCCATGTGTGGTCTGTGGGGGTTTTTGGCACGCCTCGGGTCAGTCAAACAGATAAATACCTTTGAGTGTAAACAGGCCGTTTAGTGCAACTGAGGACTTTGTTTTGTACTGCTGCCAGTGAAAAGGTTAGCAGGAGGAGCGCATGGAGAACAATCAGCGTTGAAATGTTTGTTTTATGATTAAACTCTGGCTGCTGTGTCACACAGACATGCCAACAGCTACACACAGAGCAGGATGTGACAATACAGAGTGTTTCTCAAGGGCTGGGTGCAATAATGTCACTCAAACAACACTTTCCAATTTAAACCGAGGTCACTTCACATCACTGTTTTAAACAATAGGCACGCCAATCACTTTAAAGGGCGGGTCAAGTGTCATCTGATCTGCTGATTGGGTTTGATTTCTCTGCTGTCGAAGAAAATTAACTGAAAAACCATTAAAAAGTGATTCATGCTTGATTATAAAGGAACTTTAGGGACCTAGTTGCCCAACAAAATTAAAACATTTTAATATTCTAACAAAATAGTTCAAAGCTGCAGTTACTTTCTTTGCCACAAGGGGGCAGCAGAATTCAGCTTGCCTTCTGATTTTATCATTAAACATCAGCCATCATTCATATATATAAAAAAACATTATAAATCACTTTGGATCATGTTAAGGGTCATGGATTTTGGTCTCCCTTGGCTCGGTTTTGGTCTCCACCAACTGCTGAAGAAAAACACAAAAAGGTCAACAAAGTCCGACAGCTAGTGGCTAATGTTGTCTTAGGCAGAATGGTCTTGGGTGTTTGGTTCATGGTGGGGTTTTTCCAGGAAAAACACAATAATGATCAAAATCTGTTGTTAAAGAACCAGAAAACCAAATAAATTGTTGTTTTAGACAACACAAGATAAAAAAAAACACAAGATACAAAAATAAGCTAGTTTGGTTGGTTTGTCACCACAGATGATGCTAGCATAACAAATCTGATTGCACCAGATGTCGAGGTCATAATGAGGTTTAATTGTAACCCAAAATATACAGACATATTATCTTGTGCAATTACACAGACGTGGTCTAGACCGGCTCTTTTTCTTTGGGAAGCATCTTGGGATGACAACTGTTGTGAATTGGCGCTATAAAAATTGATTGATTGATTGATTGATTGATTGACAGACAAGCTGTTCAGCAAAATACCAACAATCAGTGTTATTCTTGCAGTAGCGGTAGGTGGCAACATGCTCTCCTTCAGCATCGTCATTCTCATCAGCTCCTCTCCACCCCCTCGTCCGGCTCTACAGATGCCCCGCGTTCTTTTCAGATTAACGATAACAGACAGGAAGATGAAAGACTTCAGACCTTTAGCGTTACTTTGAAATCGTTCTTATTCATTTCACTGAGCGGTTGAAGAGTCCTCACCGCTGAGGTCTTTGATCCTCGTGGGTTTTATCAGTTCTCTACGGTTCAATCAAACATCTGAATCAGTCGTCATCTTCTCTTCCGACCGTAGAGGAACAGAGCGACCTTGAGGTTGACCTTCAGCTCTTCTCCTGCTGTTTTTGTCGTTTACCCCTCTGTGACTGATTGATCTGGCCGCTCGCTCCACATCTCCTCCTCTTCTCTCGGAGTTCGAGTCGGCCTCATTGGATCATTGGCGACCCTGATCTGGATCCTTTTAATCTCTGCTCTTGAACTCTTGACCCCGTGTGGCCTCGGACACGTTTTCTCTGCAGTCCAAAGAAATTAGCGCTGATGGAAACCAAGAAAGGACGCAGACCAGTAAAGGAAACCTGACGCTAATGATCCAAACTCGAACCTGTACATGGCCAGGCTTTGCAGATTGTTCATTTTCGTTGCTTGCAATCTCGACACTTTCCTTCTGATTTCATGTAAACTACCCCCACTTTGCACCGAGTCTTCGAAGGGAAAAAACCTTGAAATTATCCAAAAAGAAACCTTAAAAGCCGCCTCTGACATTTGGAGTGATTTCTCGCTCATTTACGTAAACTGTTTGTGAATTATTCATGCTTTTTGTTTTGCCTCATATCCACCTGGTGCCCTTCAGCCGCACATCTCTACACAACCTTCTAACACAGACGCCGTACAACACAACTTCTGCTTTCCAGGCGCTGAGCTGACACACTTTTCCAGCGTGATTAACACCGCCGCGTCACGAGGCCACACGAGCGCACACACACGAGCAAACAAACAACACTCTGATTATGTCGGCCAGATTATACTCTTAACCAGGGAGAGCGGGATTGCAGTAATATATTGTCGCTGTAAGGCGAGAATGTTCGGAATCTGATTTTAATGATTTGGTCTTCAACAGAAGGACTCGAATATCTAAAACTGTGGATCACAAGAAAATTGGAAAAAACAAGTTCAATTTTCCGTCAGGTTGAACTCTTCAGTCTGATAAAACATCTACGTTAAAGAATAAGAGAAAGGCGGGTGATCGGCGTGTTTCGACACATTTTGCCTCTTTTTTCTTCTCTGAATTATTCCACTCTCTGATAGCTCAGGTAGGGTGACCATACGTCCTCTTTTACCTGAACATGTCCTCTTTTTTGGGGTCTGTCCAGCCTTGTCTGGGGGAGTTTATAAAATCCTTCAAATGTCCAAGGTTTTGTATGTAAGTTTTGAGTTTGTGTAGCGTGGACTTACTGAGTTAGAAGACCCCGTCTGTTGGACAAACTGATTCGTTGTCTCACCGTTGAGTCCTCCTTTCTCCTTTCCGAACATACGCTCATTTTAATCTCAAACCATTCGAGAGAGTCCAATGGTGCAAAAGAAAATCAATCCCCAACTGTATTTATTCATGTATTTTAGTGCGACTTTACGGAGCTGACTCATAGAATAGCGTGTAGTCAATTTTAAGAGTTGTTCAGGTCGGGTTAACTGTTTTTTTACGCGCAACTGCAGACATTTGAAGGATTTTATAAACTCCCCTGGACAAAGTCGGACAAGGCCAGACAGCTCTCCAAAAATAGGACATGTCTGTGTAAAAGAGGACGTATGGTCACCCTAGTTTATTGGAACACAAGCAGAGGTCTGTACACAAAAAGGTGGTCAGATCAGGCGGAGGTATCCAAAAACACGAGGCAAAAAGGCAAGGTCCGAAGATAAACAATGGCTTGACTATAACTGGGAAAAATGCTGGAACGAGACACAAGGTACAACAGTGAGACAAGTACAAGGTTAAATACAAGAGGTAATGAGGGTGATGGGAAACACAATCAGGCCGCAGGTGTGACGAGACGGGGGCAGGACAGACGGAAACAAGAGTTAGTGATCTACAAAATAAAACAGGAAATGCATGACATGAACAAAACATTAATGTGCAAAAATAAAGGAAACCTAACTGATAAATTAACAGAAGGAAAAGGAAACTTAACAGACATTTCATTTGTTGACGTTACTTTATTATCAGCGTTTTCCCTCTTGGGTAATCAAAATCGTAAATTGCGACGATTTAAAGCTTGTGTAAGGAGTTTTAGCTGGTTGTAAAACAGACTGAAGTTAACACAGACGTCTCTTTTTTGCCGTAAAATGTAAACAAGACCCTTGACACGAGTAGAGACTATTATAGATAAATAAAACTGTTTTTATTTGTTCACTTTCTCTTTTCTCTCTCGCATAAAGAAAAAATCCGTCCGGGCTCTTTCCGTCATCTTTTCCATTACTCTCAAATTTGAGCCTCCTCTGCCTGGAGGGTTTGTGTAAAAGCGGAGCCTCACGAACACTAACCCACACTCGCTCCTCCACAAAAAAAACTCAGACATGAATGCGCCGCTCTCAAGTCCTGATGAAGGACAAGAGGATTTGTTTGATGCCGAAGAATCAAAAGAACATCAGAAATAGCTGCGGCGCGGAGCAAGGCGCAGACGTCCTCTTTAGAAGCTGGTGAGCAAAGAGGCTTTCGCTAAAAGTTGACGGTTGTAGGGGGTGGTGGTGGTGGTGGTGGGGGGGTGTTAAAGTAACTGCATCTCCTCTGGGATTATTATAGTGGTCTACTGTTACTGTCAACGTCAGCCTTCAGAGCAGCAGCAGGAACGTTCATGTGTCCATGTCTGTGATTCGAGACAGCTGCAGAGGAGCGGAGGGGAGAGGGGGGTGCAGTTTATTTTCCTGTGGCGGTGGAAAAAGGGGGCGTGTCTTTGCTTCTGATTGGCCCGATGCGCCGTTTCCAGTGTAAGTGACATCACAATTTCGTACCTGACCTACTTAAAGCGTCCGTGACGTCACCGCTGTCTCTTCCACTCTGTCCTCTTCCACCCTCTCTTATACAACTCCTTTCTTTCACCTCCTTCGTTTTTTTTTTTCCTCCTCATTCATCTTTTTCTCCGTCTCTCTGCCCCCATTTTACAAACACACACAAGAACAGAGTTAAATGGAGTCTAGAGAGAGAAGAGTGCGAGGAAGAGGAGGAAGAGTCACCCACTGTTGCCAATAACCCAATTTCTACAGATTAAAGTCATATTGATGAATATTAATGTGCTGGAAAGCAGATTTGGCCCGTGACACGACAAAACGAGAAGGCGAGCTTCCACCATATGGACAGAGAGGCTCAGAGGGACCATAAAAGAGGGGGTTTACGCTGATTCTGCTTTTTTATGTAGCCTATAGGGTCTATTTTCATGAAGAGTGGTGAGTTTTATAAACATGAAATTTAAGGCCAATGAAGTCATGTAACGTGGCGCATAAGAAACACGCTTATCTAATTTCAAAGAGGAGGAAACCCAAACAGTCTGTTGGTAAAATGACAATTATAGTAACAGTAGACCTGGAAAAAAGTAAAATCAGTTTATAAAGTGGAGGTACAGCGAGTAGATTCAGGCCTCGTTTATACGTACCCACGGTTATTTTTAAAAACAGAGACATTGACTATCGTTTGCACCCTTCGTTTAGACGCAAACAGAGAATTTGCCCCTTTGCTTTTTAAGAACTGGCCAAAGTGGAGATTTGAAAATCTGAGATTTGGGTAGCCGACGGCAGATTGTGCGCCAGAAAGAAGGAAGGGACCAGAGGTGGGGGCTTGACGACTCGACTCGAGACTCGACTTGGACTGCAGTCCCGTTTTTGATGACTTAAGAATTGCTTGATGAGGACTTGGTTGGGACTCGAAACAAAAAGTTCAGGACTTGGACTTGACTTGGGACTTGAGAGCAAAGACTTCAGACTCGACTTGGACTTGCAACATAGGGACTTTCCCCCACCTCTGGAAGGGACGTTGTTGTTGTTGCTGCTATGTGAGATTCTGATTGGCTAATATGGGCTTGAACTTCTCGCTAAACTGCCACCTACAGGTTTGGCATGCTCTTGACAGCGTATATACACGGGTTAGTGTTAACAAAAACTTCACTGAAAACGTAGGGGTGTGCGCACAGTTTTTTTGTAAACAGAGAGGGTGAAATGTCTATTTATGAAAATAGCCGCGCAGGTGTAAAAATAGTCGCAGACGTTCGGCTTGTTTTTGTGGTAAATAAAGTTGTTGAAATTGTTGTAAAATTATTTCAATAACAGTAGAAAAAGAGTAAGTTGTAGAGAAAGTAGTAGAAAGTGTTTCAATGGTGTATGTCAGTGTGCTTCATCCAGTTTTCTCCAACATCTTGGTGTCATTAATGGCGCTGGGTTTTGTTTTCTCCACTAACAAGAAGCTTCATGTTATATCTATATAATCGGTTCATTCAAGTGAACCAAAAAGCGCATTTTTAACATCAAGTTTTCTCCACTGCAGGTTCAACCATGAGGTTACTGGTGGAGCCCTGGTGTGGGCGGTGGTGGGGGGCATCCTGTTTTCTCTAATTAAAGGTTACCCGTTAGAGCATTGTGTTTAAAATATTAAGTTTTCTTATTTAACAATACCACAACCTTTAGGTTCCAGGCGTGTTTTCTCCACTAACAAGAAACTTCACATTTGATCTATTATTTGGGAAACCAAGTTAACCACCAAAAAGAGCAGCACTGGTGAGGGCAGAGTCCTGTTTTCTCTACTTAAAGGTTACTCCTTCGAGCACTGTGTTTAAAATATCAAGTTTTCTTATTTACCAGTAAGGAAACCTTTAGGTTCAAGGTGTGTTTTCTCCACTAACAGGACTTCTAATGAATCCTGCATTGTGATTTTGCAGGAGGGCAAATGCCAGTCTCCTTTATTTTCTCGAAAATGATGCTCATGAATTTACCTCATTAATGCAAAGGTGGACTTAGTTCTGTTTTCTCCACTAAAAGGCCTCTTGATAGGGGGTATAAGAATCCAAAAGTTGACACCAAGAAGGTTTCTCACCTGGACAGTTGCTCTACAGATACTCTACAGTAATTTGTTATTTCCAAAAGTCTCACAGAGGATTCAGTCTTGTTTTCTCCTCTGAGGGAGCACCTTTGTTTGAAAGTGCACGAGTTTTCTCTTTAGTAGTTTCAGTGACGCTTATACACTACACTGTTCTCTCCACCTCGTGTCTTCACACAGTGAGAAGTCTCATCCTGTATTCATGTATCTCCACTACAACTCTGTGAAAGGAGTCACACTTCTCATATAGTATTTATGCATTTTGCTGCTTCTCCGTGAGTAACCCTGACACTTTCTCCAACAATAGTCTCAGCCAACAGCTTCAGCATGTCGTGTTTGTACCATCTGAGTGTATTTGAGGTGAAAAACACATGTCCCAGCAGATTTTTTTGTGTGTTTTAAAACACGAGGAGATAATCTGTGAGAAGCAGGGATGCTGAGGGCTGATTAGAGCCGAGGGGTCGGATCTAATCTGCGGCTGCAGTCGGATCAGACAACAATCACCCTGGAGTGTGAGAGCTAAAGGAAGGAGAGGAGAGTGATAGTGGTCTTATAGTTAGAAAAGGAAAAGAGATACGACTGCAGAAGGAGGGAGAGTAACAGAAAAGACAAGATGTTAAAAGGTCGCAGGGATTGAAGAAGAAAGAGGACAAAACAGAGGAGAGGTAATCCAAGTTTTCCCCTCTTTGGTGAAAACAGCCAAAGGGAGGAAAAGAAACAGGAGGCAAAACGGCCTCGAGCAACAATTCCTCCTCCTCCTCTTCTTCTTCTTCGTCTCTTCTTCCTCCTTTGTGTTTGGTGGTAACCCTCTCTCTCACTCATTTATATTCACACCAGCTATGGGGCTAGTCACAGGGCAACCGCTGCACAATGCTGCTCTAAACACACACACATACACACACATGCGCGCACACACACACTGTTACAGTCAGGCTCTTCTTTGTAGAGCGAAATTAAGTGCAACCAAGTGCAGCCGCAACAGGCTGAAGCCAGAGAGAGGAGCTTTCATTCAGGGAAATCACGCTGCTGTTGAAAAGGTTTGACAGAAGGTGATCTGTCACAAAGAGAAGAGAAGAGGAAAAAGTAATTTCAACATCTACCTGAACAAAAGAGGGATTTTTCAGGACCTTGAATACGGCATGGCAGCTGCCACCGTCTGGAACAAGTTTATGATCGCAAATGTTTCGCTGATCGATCGTTGAAGGCCTTTAGCCTCCTCACAAACAAGTCAGCTGTGCCAGTGTAGTGATTTGAAATGAGCCTCATACGGTCGCACCAAAATATATGTAGCGATTTGAAATGAGCCTCACAAGGCCGCACCAAAATAATACTTGGCGATTGGAATTTATAATAAATGTCTGAAGATTAATAATCTCAAATTATGACATTTATGCACTCGTTGAAAGGGGCACCACCCACCCTTAATGGTGGGAAAATAAAGAAAACAAAAGTTTAATTCAGAAATCAAACATCATGTCAGTTTTAATTAATCAGTCTTAATTAATCAGTCTCATATCTTAAGTCGAAATTCTAATTTCAGGGACTCCACTTCTGGAAGAACACTAACAGACAGGAACTTAGAAAAATAATGATCTGTTTATTACAGGATAAATGATGGTACAACACACATGTAATAAATGATGATAAGATAATGAGGATAAAATAATAATAGGTGAATAAATAAATATTCTGAGTCAGAATAGGAGCACTAAAGTTAATGATAGTGAGTGAATATGCGCTAACATATTAACCTACACTAACTTTGGTGTCGAGATAAACTCGGATGTGGATTTGGAGGAATCTAAGATCACCAGAAATAGGTGGATATCTGAGTTATGAACGCATGAGACAGCACCAGCCCTCTTTAGAGCTCTGGAGGTTTGCATACTTAAGTGAGACTGGTCCTTGGAGAAGATGGAGCAGGTTCCGAAGGTCCGGGCTACTGGCGGTTCGAGCGGTTCAGCTCAGAAGACGACTGAAGTCAGCCGAAGGATGAGCCAGGAGTTGCAGCACTCGGGCCCGAAGCAAAGCCAGCGCCTGTGGATCCTGTGGATGCTCGTTTGGGTACTTCTTTGGTCTCACTTAAAAACTCTGGCACAGAGGATGACCTGGGCCTGCTGGGTTGCGTTCAGAAGTGACTTTGAATCACGCAGAAAACTCAGAAAAACGAGGCTCAAAGAGCAGAGAAAACTTTCAAAAATGGCTTCGCGAAATTAAAGGAAAATCAATCAAAGGCTTAATCTTGAATTGCTATGTGCACAAAAAGTTGAAGTTTCAAAACTTGAACTAAGACGATGTTAAAGAAAAATCAACGTGAATCAACACGTGGCGTAAAACTTAGAAGACTAAGAAAAAGTTCTAAGATAAAACAAAGAAACGCACCACAGAAGGGTGTGGACAGAAGAGAAGGGGCATAAGAGCCGGGGACAAGAGAGTCAGCAGAAGAGCAGAAGCATAAGAGAGATAAGAGACATAAGAGAGCGTAAGAGGAATAAGAGCCGTGAGCAACCCCACTCCACTGGTTTTATCTTCTCACACTGGGAGTGTCTGAGGAGAAAGAGGAGGGGTCATCGGGTCTCTGATTATTTGATCTAACTTATTCTTTTGGCTGGTAAAAGAGTCAGATCTGATACTCACTCACTATGATTAATATCATTGAATGCTTGGTTTCATGATAAATAATTTGATACTAAACACATATGAATGAAGTGTAGGATCACATCAAACATTCTCATTATGTTTTAAGTATCACATTGAACATGCTAAATTACTCTGAAATGAAACAGATAGTAACACATAGAAACTGTGAACAACAAAAGAGTAAACACATGTGAATGAACGTCATCATGATTAATAATGGATTCTAAATACTCACATTCAGATTATTCAGTGACATTATAACCACCTAATGGTTAAGATACTAAATAAATAACTAAAATATAAACCAAACATTTCTAAACTATTTCTGTTACTTAGAGTAAACTTAGGATTCATAGTCAATAAATTTAACTCTTAAAAGTTCATGAAACAGTCTGAAAAGCTGTTGGTCTAAAGAACTAAAGAATAAGGATTTATTCTGTCAGATAAGATAACTTGGCTTCTGAAGCACATAGAAAAACGGGAAACATCTCATTTTAACACAAATTTCATGATTAGACAGATTAGTACATTGCTGAATGCATAAGATGTCATGATCAGTCATTTGTATTCTTTCACCAAAGGAATGCAGTCTTTATCAGTGTATGGTCGAGCAGGGTTTTACGACCGAGGTCTGGAGGTCAGTGTCCCCCCTTATCCTGGGGTCCGTATGTTCACACACTTTAAGACGCTTAATCTCAAATGGGAGATCTGGGTTAAGGTTAATATTTATTTAGATGGTCAGCAAATGGAGTCAGTTTGAAAGGTAATAAAAACTCTGTCTCTGTTCGCCGAACTGACCAATCCTGAAGAGTCAGAGGTTTAGTCAACCTCCGGTTGGGTCACTTATTTAACCTGAAAGGGCAAACACGTCTGGAAAGATTTATATCCTGTGTCCTGGGACCAGATAAGGAAACTTTCCTGTAAGGAATGTGTGGGTTTCACATCCAGGGTTGTCTTGATTGCTACAGTCCCCCCTTCGTCACGGTGGTCCTGTCCATGGAGCATCGGGACGACGAGTAGACAGCCATGAAGCAGCAGCAGGTGTATGCAAATAGGACTGATGCGTCTCGTCATCACTATGTGAATCACTAGTACTGCTTTGAGATAAAATTAAGCATGCATTAAGCTATCAAATAAAATAGTCTTGTTGTTAGACTTTTCTCAGTTAACTATTGGTAGACTAATGTGAAAGAAAATCTCCTAATTTTCAGTATTAATGAGATTTAGAAAAGCACTATTTAGTCTGAATGCTAACTGGATCTAAAGATATAGCTGTTTTCCATGCTTGCTGGAGAAGTCTGAAAGTTCAATTTCAGTTTCAAAAATGGTTAAGACTTAGGTGGAAAAGAAATGTCTGCTATAGACATATTAACCATCTGTGTATGAGCATAGTCAACCTGAATCACAAACATCAAAAGTTTACTGCACAGAGTTTCTCTTAAACTTTGTCTGTTAAACTTGGGGATGATGCTCTTATCGGTTTGACTAATTATCTGCTGTTGAGTCTGAAATTTGTCAATCTGAGTCTTAATGACAGAAATTTCAGCTTTTAATCTGTTCATGGGATATTTGACAGCTGACGAGCTGACTATATTGACAGAGGAGAGACAAATGCTAACAAAGAAAGCAGCAACTGGTATTGCAGTCATCAATGTATCACCACAGCATTTGGATATCTTATTGGAGTCATTTAGCTTTGGCTAGGTGACTTCTGCTTTCGCAGGACTCACACCTTCATGACTCCACAGTGTTAATCTCAGTGGTTAGCTGAGTAGTCATGTTTATTCACCTTCAAAGTGGATGAAACCGATTGAGGTGGATAATAAGATCGTCGTTTCTGAGAGTGTGATTTACTCTGATTCTGCCAGTCATTCACCCCACTTTGGCGGTGTTGATGGTTTTTCCTTTGTCTGGGATAAAACCCACCGTGACGGGAGTCTGAATAACAACAGTTGGTCTCAAAGTTTACCTGGCATTGGTCTGGGTCAGACCTGGGCCTTGGTGTGTAACTTTGACCTTTGTGAGTTTGTTGAGGTCGAAAAGGTTTTGGAGGCCTGGTTAACCACTCATTTGGAGGCTTATCGGAGCCTGAAAAAACACAGTCTGAAGCTTCGTTCAGCTCCATGGGCAGTGATTTTGTCTCCATAGCCAAGAGAGTAACGGGCTCTGCTTTCTTAGCCAAAGTTTGTCGTTGTTTGGCAAAACCTTTTACAGCAAGTTCACGAAGCTGTCGGCTAGTCGAAGTATTTGGACAAGCTAAGACGCCAAGGTGATGACTGGTGGTAGGGTGGAGGTTCTGGACGAACAGCGTTTTGAAGTTCAAGTCCTCCTCCATTTCTGGTTCATTTCGGAAACCAAAATAAGCTTCACATAAGCGGTTGTAATACTGTTGGGGAGGTTCTGATCTCCCTTGTTTAATAGACAGAGCAGCAGAGAGGCCTGTCTGGGTCAAATAGTCAGAAAACTCTTCAATTAATGCTTGGCAGAGCAAGTCATAATTATTTCTGACATGATAAGGCTGTCGTTCAAGGAAACTGCTAACCTCTCGACTTGACGTTGCCTTAATAAGGTAGATTTTGTCATCAGTGGTTGCACCTGGAAATTTCCTCAGGTAAAAGTCAATATCTTTCAAGTAGGTGCAGGTGTCAGTAGCACCTTGGTGCTCAGGTTCAAAGCGTGCTATGTTACGAGCAATTTTGTCAAGATCCCTGTCTGAGGGAAATGGCAAGAAACCATCATGAGGAGGAGAGTAGGACTTTTGGCTTAAGGATGACCTCTCAGGGTCAAGCAGGGTCCGGTCATGATGCTGAGAGAGATACTTAAGAGTTGGTTTGGAAGGAAGTGATGGCGCTCTCTCAGGAGGCTGATCATATATCATTTCTTCGAGAAAAGTTTGCTTCATGCGTTCTCTTTGGGCTCGACCTGACTGGAGGGAGCATCGTAACTCTCTTTGGGCATCTTCAAGTTCTTTATCTGTCTTTTCTTGCCGTTCTTGACAAAGAATTAACTGTCTTTGAGCTATCTGGAGCTGGTGCTGTAAGGTAGAAGTTTGCTTCTCCTTAACTTCAAGAGCTTCAGCACGCACTTTAACCAGTGCTTTCAAAGCTTTTACATCTTCTGTTGCTTGCTCTTGCAGGGATTCTGACTGTATCAGATCCTCTGTGGTCTTAGCAAGCTGCTTATTCGTGTCATCAAGTTCTTTCTCCTTTTTGTAAAGGTTTTCATTAAGTCTTTCAATCTTGTCTTTGAGATCAAGATTTTCTTCATGACTTATCAGTGAGGGAAGCCTTGACGCTTCACATCTGGCACTGTGTTTTTCTAAAACACTTAAAGACTTCTTAGTCTCCTCTAGCGTCTTTTTCAGAGCGCTGTTTTCATCTTTTTGCGCCTTTATCTTTGCTAAAGCGCATTCCAGCAAGTAGTCTTTATACTCAAGCTGAGAAGACATCATGACAGACATGCATCTAGTGAGCTCTTTGTCACGAAGTGTCGTGGTTAAGGCTGTTTCCAGTAAGTCAGCCATTTCATCCTCCGGATTGGAGGGTTTGGCCTTTTGAATCTTAGTCATGTACTGAGGTATCAGCTGACTAGTCAAGTTTGCCAACACTGTGGGTATGTCCCTCAGGGGGTCTCCCTGGCTGGACTCTTTTGTGTTAGGCATGTTTGGTTTTGGTAAAGAGGTGCAGCTGGTTGGTTGATGAGTTTGAGTTGACTTAAAATAAAAGGAAGAAGCAAAATATCAAATTAAGTGGGTTAATCGACTTAATTTATCAGTGCTTGATAAAGAGGAAGAGCCTATCTGAGTAGATTTCTAATGGAGAGAAAAATAACATAAAGTTAAATTCATTTCAATGAAAATTGAAAGAAAAACAAGGTGAAATAATGTTAAATTAAATTTAACATCAGATACAGAACCATTGAATAAAGGGTTCAATTTGTCTCCGTGTTGCAGAGATCAGCAAAGCTTAAATAAAATGCCTGATGCAGTTGGATGAATTTGAAAAATCAATGAAATTGTCAATTTAAGGAATTAACTCTGAAGTCAATTCACAAATTGCAATAAATCCAAAGGTTCAACTACCAAATCCATCTGGAGTGTTAAAAGAAATTTCAAATATTAATTAATTTGTTCATTAATTAATTAATCTTATGAGGAGGGTTAATACATTCATGTATTATAGGGAACAGTAAAACTGCTCAATGGTGTGATAAGTAACAACAGATCAGGTGATTGATTCAAGGAGTTACTTCATCAATACATTATGGAGGCTCTTATAACAAAGATAAAAATCAAAAATCAATGATCAATGATTTAGAATAAGCACATCAAACTTCATCAACCAAGTCAATCACTTGAATTATGTCTGTAGAGTGTTACACACTGACTACAGAGAGGCAGTACAGCTGGCTGATACTGCAGACAGATAATAGCAGTGTTAGCTCAATACCAAAAGCAACCATGTGGGGCAGTATGGAGTTGGGGTAACTGCACAAGCTCAACACAAGTGGAGAAGAAGAAGAAAAGAGGAAACAGTCATCCAACTAGCCTCTTGTGGCTGTGAGGAGTTGGGAAGTGTGCAGGAAGGGGCCTTTAGGCTCTGCCTCCTTGAAGGGCCTTATCTGCTTAAGGCCAAATGGTCAGTCTCTCCACTGACAACAAAGGGTTAACATTTCACAGCAGGCTGCGTCTGCACCCTCAAACATAGAACTTTACACCATCTGCTCAGGCAGATTGGTTCAATAAAATCATTTACAGGAACAAGGATCAAAGTGGCAAATCCTTAAACAGCAGATTCAACTGCAGACTTAAAAAAAAAAATCACAAATGCGGCGATTTGTGATCACGGATTTTGTCTGAATTCATTCAAACAACAGCCTCCCACTGTTACAGTGGTTTCCTGTGACAGGTAGTTAATCTGTCAGGGGAAAGGAGGAAATCTGAATCCCATATAGTTACTAGAACTTCATAGCCGACTATAGAGACAAGAATCAAAGTGACAAATCCCTCAACAGCAGATTCAACTGCAGACTTTAAAATCACAAATGCGGCGATTTGTGAACACAAATTTTGTCTGAATTCAATCACAACAACAACCTCCCACTGTTACAGTGGTTTCCTGTGACAGGTAGCTAATCTGTCAGGGGAAAGGAGGAAATCTGAATCCCATATAGTTACTAGAACCTCGTAGCAGACTACAGAGACTTCAGGGGCTTGAAACCACAGCTCGGAGCATCGCGAACACTGGGTTCAGCTAAAGGCCTTAAATACAAGCGTACGGCGACGCAACAATCGTGCACTTAAATATTGGACAGTCTAGACAGAGCAGAAGAAGCAGTCTCACTGCTACTCAGAACAACATTTCACGCTGTCCAGCTCAAACACAGACTACAGGCATGTAGTACAAGAGTGTGTGAAACACAGAGCATAAAGGTTTTATGCATAGATCAGGAAAACATCAGAACTTAGTCAAGCAACTTCAGCAAGCATAGCATTTATTGTGATTAAGTCTAGGATAGCCTGGAAATAAGTTTCTCTCATCAATTTGGAAGGCTAAGTTTTAGGTTGTCTGTTAGTATCCAGAAGTTTTGTTTGAAACGCCTCACGCAGGGGCTCCAAAATATATGTAGTGATTTGAAATGAGCCTCATACGGTCGCACCAAAATATATGTAGCGATTTGAAATGAGCCTCACAAGGCCGCACCAAAATAATACTTGGCGATTGGAATTTATAATAAATGTCTGAAGATTAATAATCTCAAATTATGACATTTATGCACTCGTTGAAAGGGGCACCACCCACCCTTAATGGTGGGAAAATAAAGAAAACAAAAGTTTAATTCAGAAATCAAACATCATGTCAGTTTTAATTAATCAGTCTTAATTAATCAGTCTCATATCTTAAGTCGAAATTCTAATTTCAGGGACTCCACTTCTGGAAGAACACTAACAGACAGGAACTTAGAAAAATAATGATCTGTTTATTACAGGATAAATGATGGTACAACACACATGTAATAAATGATGATAAGATAATGAGGATAAAATAATAATAGGTGAATAAATAAATATTCTGAGTCAGAATAGGAGCACTAAAGTTAATGATAGTGAGTGAATATGCGCTAACATATTAACCTACACTAACTTTGGTGTCGAGATAAACTCGGATGTGGATTTGGAGGAATCTAAGATCACCAGAAATAGGTGGATATCTGAGTTATGAACGCATGAGACAGCACCAGCCCTCTTTAGAGCTCTGGAGGTTTGCATACTTAAGTGAGACTGGTCCTTGGAGAAGATGGAGCAGGTTCCGAAGGTCCGGGCTACTGGCGGTTCGAGCGGTTCAGCTCAGAAGACGACTGAAGTCAGCCGAAGGATGAGCCAGGAGTTGCAGCACTCGGGCCCGAAGCAAAGCCAGCGCCTGTGGATCCTGTGGATGCTCGTTTGGGTACTTCTTTGGTCTCACTTAAAAACTCTGGCACAGAGGATGACCTGGGCCTGCTGGGTTGCGTTCAGAAGTGACTTTGAATCACGCAGAAAACTCAGAAAAACGAGGCTCAAAGAGCAGAGAAAACTTTCAAAAATGGCTTCGCGAAATTAAAGGAAAATCAATCAAAGGCTTAATCTTGAATTGCTATGTGCACAAAAAGTTGAAGTTTCAAAACTTGAACTAAGACGATGTTAAAGAAAAATCAACGTGAATCAACACGTGGCGTAAAACTTAGAAGACTAAGAAAAAGTTCTAAGATAAAACAAAGAAACGCACCACAGAAGGGTGTGGACAGAAGAGAAGGGGCATAAGAGCCGGGGACAAGAGAGTCAGCAGAAGAGCAGAAGCATAAGAGAGATAAGAGACATAAGAGAGCGTAAGAGGAATAAGAGCCGTGAGCAACCCCACTCCACTGGTTTTATCTTCTCACACTGGGAGTGTCTGAGGAGAAAGAGGAGGGGTCATCGGGTCTCTGATTATTTGATCTAACTTATTCTTTTGGCTGGTAAAAGAGTCAGATCTGATACTCACTCACTATGATTAATATCATTGAATGCTTGGTTTCATGATAAATAATTTGATACTAAACACATATGAATGAAGTGTAGGATCACATCAAACATTCTCATTATGTTTTAAGTATCACATTGAACATGCTAAATTACTCTGAAATGAAACAGATAGTAACACATAGAAACTGTGAACAACAAAAGAGTAAACACATGTGAATGAACGTCATCATGATTAATAATGGATTCTAAATACTCACATTCAGATTATTCAGTGACATTATAACCACCTAATGGTTAAGATACTAAATAAATAACTAAAATATAAACCAAACATTTCTAAACTATTTCTGTTACTTAGAGTAAACTTAGGATTCATAGTCAATAAATTTAACTCTTAAAAGTTCATGAAACAGTCTGAAAAGCTGTTGGTCTAAAGAACTAAAGAATAAGGATTTATTCTGTCAGATAAGATAACTTGGCTTCTGAAGCACATAGAAAAACGGGAAACATCTCATTTTAACACAAATTTCATGATTAGACAGATTAGTACATTGCTGAATGCATAAGATGTCATGATCAGTCATTTGTATTCTTTCACCAAAGGAATGCAGTCTTTATCAGTGTATGGTCGAGCAGGGTTTTACGACCGAGGTCTGGAGGTCAGTGTCCCCCCTTATCCTGGGGTCCGTATGTTCACACACTTTAAGACGCTTAATCTCAAATGGGAGATCTGGGTTAAGGTTAATATTTATTTAGATGGTCAGCAAATGGAGTCAGTTTGAAAGGTAATAAAAACTCTGTCTCTGTTCGCCGAACTGACCAATCCTGAAGAGTCAGAGGTTTAGTCAACCTCCGGTTGGGTCACTTATTTAACCTGAAAGGGCAAACACGTCTGGAAAGATTTATATCCTGTGTCCTGGGACCAGATAAGGAAACTTTCCTGTAAGGAATGTGTGGGTTTCACATCCAGGGTTGTCTTGATTGCTACACCAGTGATTCGCCAATCTTGTAATCCTAATTTTTCAGATAAACTTTAAGTAGGAAAAAATACAGCTGTAAAGTTGTCAGTGTTTTTATCATCAGGCTTACGACCCGTTAGCTTCTTGCTAACATCCATCCATTTTCTACCGCTTATTCCCGGGGTCGCAGGGGGCTGGAGTCTATCCCAGCATCTTCGGGCGAAGGCAGGGGACACCCTGGACAAGTCACCAGTTCATCACAGGGCTGACATATAGAGACCAACAACCATTCACGCTCACATTCACACCTATGGGCAATTTGAAAGTGGCCAGTTAACCTAACCCCACTTAGGCATGTTTTGGGGATGTGGGAGAAAACCAGAGTAAACCCACGAAGACACAGGGAGAACATGCAAACTCCACACAGAAATGCCCTGACCCAGATTCGAACCCAGGCGACAGTGCCAACCACTACACAACTGTGCCGCCCCAAATCTAACTCTGCCTTGCATAAACCAAGCAGTAACTGTAGCTCGACTGAACTGTGCATGTGAACACACTGAGTACTTTTTCATGGAAACTTGAAACAATGCCACAGAGAGGAAACTGACTTCTGGTGAAAGTTATAATTAGAGCAGTTCATGACCGTGTCAGCGTTCAGAGCATCAACAATTACTCAAGTAAAAGGACGGGGAATTTGGT